TATATACTTACTAAGGGTTTTTAGTTAGTCCTAAGGTATCTAGGTACGTAGTACTAGGTACTTTAGACTTCTACTACTTATTACTACTTCCTAGTAGAGAAGATTAGCTAGTAGCCTATTAGGGCGATAAGTAGATCTACCTTCTCTATACTATAGATATAAGCTTTTCTACGATACTAATCGGCGACCGAGACTCTAGGTAGCTTTCCGAATTCTTTAAGGTAGTATTCGTACGTCTTAATATCCGCTTTTTAGTAACGAGCGTATACTACCTATAGATAGATAGCTAGTCTAAGCGGATAAATTAGATAGTAGAGATCGGCCTCCGCTTTTAGATCTTCGAGTATACTACGACGCTAGAAGCGAGAAGCTAGGCTATATTCTTACTCTAGCTCTAGATAACTCTAAATAACTTATATAATATAACTACTAGATTTACCCTAAACGAGATACTTTATAGCTTCCGTACTAATCTCGACTTCTTATTAAGGCTTACGGACTTACCTCTAGACAATATAGCGCGTAAGAGAGCGGCGGTCTAGTAGGAAGTATAGGATTCGATTACCTTCGCTAATATAAAGATAAAGAATAGATATAATACGAAGTATAAGTCTCTACTTTTATAACTAGAGGAGCGGGTATTCCTCCGCCTTAGACGAGATTATAATCTTCTTAGATAAGCGAGTAAGATAGTACTATAGTAAACTAAGAAGAGCGTTAAGATAGGCTATTATTATAGCGAAGAACTTAGAAGTATAGAGTATAGATATCTAGACAGTCGCTTCCTAAGTTCTCGATATAGCTAGTAGAAGCGCTAATAGTCTAGACATATAAAGCTAAAAAGGGTTAAAGTTTCGGAAGTACTACCGATCTTGTCCCTACTACTACTACTACTCTTGTGTCCTCTAACGTTACGATAGGGAGCAGAGTATTACTAGAGGCTCTAAAATTAAGAGTTTGTAAGATGGGTCGTTTAGGTTTCCTTAACAGTCTCAATTCGTTCTATCAAAGCTTGCGCTAGAAGCCCTGTAGCGTCCACTGACACCCAAGCATCGTCAACCGGAACACGCAATGCTCCAGGTGATATCCTGACAGCTGTGTCTCACGAGCATGCGTGCGACACTACAACGTCGCACGACGCAGCAAATGCTCAACATACCGCATGCACCTCATGACCACCCTATATCGCATCACGACCAACCGCATTTCGAGAGTGGGCTGCGCACAGCGCTGCTCAAACAGCTGGAGACACTTCTCCATTCTCTCCCGTATATCTTTCATCTGACTTCGATGATTAGTCCTCATGGAATCGGTAAACAGATGGGGCTTTCCTGCGAGTGTGGTTAGCGGACTGTGACAACGCATCCGAATGAGTGTCTTACTCTGCAGGATCTTCCGACTCGATTCTGCGACGCAGGCCATTACCGTGACCCCGAAAACAGTCCACGGGTATAGCTCGCTACAGAAGATACTCTGATAACCATCGGCGCCGGACATTTGAAGTTGTCTGAAGAAAGAGCGCATGTTGCCCACCTTGCCGACGTAATCGTTTGGCGTAGCGAAGATGCGACACAGGCCTTCCACTTGTGTACGGTCTCGATCCAGACCTTCAAGGAGTTGGGATCCATCCTCGGTTTGGAGAGTGCCTTTCTTGAGCAGGGTCTGTTGATGCGCTGGCACCTTTGCGATTTTCCGGAGATAGTTTATCGTGGAATTCCGGGCACGGGCTTCACCGCCAGACAGAACTGGTGCATTCGCTGCATCGCGGCTGGCATAGTCGACAGCTTCGTCATCGTCATCAATTTCGAGTTCGACGTCCTCCGCTTCATCGATTCGGAAGCGCAGACGCTGGGCGGCCAGTGGGTCCTGGGGATTCAGCTTGGCGCTGTCGAACTCTTCACACGCGGAGAACCAGACCTGCCCTAGGAAAGGGTCTTGCATGAAGCCAATGGCGAGGTCCGGGTCCGGTGTGAAGTCCGCTGCTCCGTCCACTGGCTCCAGCTTGATGGTCGAATCCATCTGAGACCAGTACCAAACCATCTCGGCCTTGAGCCGCCTGACGGCATCGCACATGTCTGCCTTCTCCAGCCCTCCTCTTGGTTCGAGACTCAAGATCGAACCATCTCCCTGAACTGAGATATCCGTTAGCTCGGGCGGGGTTTGTGGAGTGGCCAAATTCTTACCTGGATTGAGTTTCAAGACAGAGCACCTCGCGCGGAGAGAAGTACAGAACCACACAAAGAGGATCGAGTCCGCTGTATGTTCGAGTACCCAATCCAACGTGCGCTCCACGTCTTCAAGTTTCCGCGCATCGGCATCGTCTCGGCCTTCCGAATCGTCTTTTTCAACATCCAAGTGCCAGGTGACCCGGTCCAACAACTGACACCATCGTGTTCCCTGATCCGTGCCAAACCGGGTGGGGATCTCATCTGCGGCGCCTTCTGCATGTTCCCGCTGCGAAGCATCCTCCATCTCGTCCGATGGCTTATCCGAGATACCGTCGAAGCCAAAAGATTCCTGCGCTGGTCTGTAAGGCAAGTCTTGATCGTATGCCTGGGCAGCACACAAAGTGCCCTAACGGTTGATGATGGGTTGATGATGGGTTGATGATGGGTTGATGATGGGTTGATGATGGGTTGATGATGGGTTGATGATGGGTTGGTGGTTGGAGGCCGGTGTATTGGTAGGTGTGTTGGTGTGTTGGTAGGTGAAAAGGTGGCTTGTTGAAGTTTGACTGTTTCGACAAACGAGACTCTTTTAAAGTTTGAGAGGGGCGCAATGATCACGTGATTATTGCCAAGGCGCTAGTCTCGGGAGCTTGCATGTGAAAGGCAGCGAACTCTTCTCTTACTTCACATGCCCCTTTCGATGGAAATCTTCACGCTCATGGTTTTATAGTGCACTGGTAACCGAGAGACTTTGCCGACGCCAAACAATTCAGCCCGCCGGCATGGCATGCTACTGCGGAATGGTGTAAGTAAGGAAATCAAATAGACATTCCCAATGCAGGGCCGATGGGGTTGATGAAATGAGAATGAAGGAAGTCGTTAGAGGCTGGGGAGCTTTCTCTGCTTGATTGTGCTACTATACAGCGTCCGCCACGGAAGATTGCCTCGATACCTTCCGCTTGTTCCGTAGACGAAACCCCTCGCTCACACCGGAGCAGCCCGAACAGACAGGCTCTCTCTCCACCGACCCTCGGAACGTATGTTGCTCGTGATGCCCCATTGTCTCAAACCTTGCCGTCGCCCCTGCTTAGAGCTCAGCATTGAGCAGGTCTGCCTCCTCCAGGGCGTCCTTGATCTTGTTCCAAGTGTCCGAGTAGCTGATGCTGGACCTGAACTCTCGGTTGAAGACGACGAGCGACCACTTGAGGACGTGGGCCGCGGCGAGAAAGCCAGGGACCCCATGCTGGTCGGTGAGCTCGTTCTCGTCGGCTTCGGTGGGGCCGGCCAAGGTGCTGCGGTATGGAGTCGCCACGAGCACGATCTTGCGCTGCCAGATCTCTCTGGAGTGCCTGTCGCGAGAGGCCATGTAGTACTTGTCCCGCTCCTCCTCGCACATGTTGTCGAAAAGCATGCGCGATTCATCTGCACGGATAGCGAGCACAATACGCTGGGTTCCCTTGAGTACGCCGACTTCGATGCAGTTGCCCGCCGGAACAAATTCAAGCGCCTTCATGTTTTGGCGGACCTCAACGGCGTCGCGGCTCATGAAGTCGGCGTAGGTGTTCCAGTTGGCTTGACCCGCTTGCTCGTCCGGCATACCGGGGCAGCTGAGATGATCGCACTTGCGCAGGGATGGCGCATCGAGTTCGTTGGTAGATGGCGTGGGAATCATCCTGGGAAAGGTCAGTATGCGTGTGTGCAGTTTTGAATCGGGGTATCTTACTCCATAACCGATTGCATGTTGATGCAGTGTGCTGATTTGCTTGGTACCTGTAAGAGTCAAAAACAAAGTGCGAAAGCACAGACCCATTGAGCACATACCACAATAAACGGCCCGCTCTTCGGATGACTAACGGTGATCGAGGGAATTGATGTCGTGGTGCACCGGTCACCGATGCGAAGTCGTGTCTGGTACTTGGTTTACGAATTCGCGCCGTCGTGGTCGTGCGAGGATGAAATGCGATGAAAGAAGAAACGTCAAATAGTTATGGCGATGGCCCGTGCGCTTAGCGTCGGACATGTGACGACTGTCCCGCGGTGGGCTTTGATGCGTGGATAAGCCAACCAATACCCAGAGATAGGGATTTTGAACGATCAAGGCCTGTATACGTACCTCTTAAAGCGAGGATTTTAGAAACGACCAAGTCCTTTTCGTAATAGGGCTGTATATATACTCCTTATGGCCGAGAGGTTAAAGACCTAAAAACGACCAAGTCCTTTTCGTGATAGGGCTGTATATATACTCCTTATGGCCGAGAGGTTAAAGACTTAAAAACGACCAAGTCCTTTTCGTGATAGGCCTGTATATATACTCCTTATGGCCGAGAGGTTAAAGACTTAAAAACGACCAAGTCCTTTTCGTAATAGGCCTGTATATGTACCCCGTAAGGCCGAGAGGTTAAAGACTTAAAAACGACCAAGTCCTTTTCGTGATAGGCCTGTATATGTACCCCATAAGGCAGAGGTTTTAGAAAGTCAAGAATTCAACTAGGCATATCCCATACGCTTGCTGCTCGTCCAGACGATCTCCCTATTAGACATACACTCACTTGACCTTGCTCATCACCGTCTCTGGTCCTCTCTCCACATTGATCGCAGCAGCGGTGCTCTTAACAGACGTGAGCATGCTCCGGTCAAAGTCGTCTCTCGACCTCAGGACCGCTTCCACCCAGCCAATCTGAACGTCCCAATATTGTTGCTTGAATCTCGAGTAAGCTTCGTTTACGGCCGCACCCTTTGGTGCCGAGAGCAATCCCTCCATCGAATTGACGACTCTCCATTTGTCTTTGATCAACTCAAAGACTTCGCCATACTGGTTGAAAAAGCCAAAGACGGTGACAACATCCTCCTTGATTTTATCAGTGAAAGGATCACTGCGCCGGAACTTGACGCCGCGGTTCTTTACACATTCAAGATAGCGGACCAGGAGTGCATCGGACAATTCCTCAATAAAGATCTCGCGAAGCGACGGATGCAGGATCCCGCTAAAATCTTTCAGGTAGTCCTCAAAGGTTGTTGTGATAGAAGCCATTGTCGTCTTCTGATACCATGACGGTGTAAAGAATTCAGCGAGAACTGGCTTGATGTCGGTGGCAAATATGACCGACGCAAACAGTGACATGCAATGTGTTGCCAAATCCACATAGCCATTGGTAAGTGCTTCAGTCTCCGCGTTCGAGGTGACTGCGTACGATGGGCTGACCATGGGCTCGTAGTCAGCCTTGAATCTGGTCAAGAACGACATGGCTCCTTGCTCCGGATTGTCATCGATGATGGTGATTTGGTCGTTGGCAATGGCGACCAGCCATTCTTGCAAGCTTCCAACGCCCTCCAGCTGGCTACTGTCGGCTGCATTTTCGATCTTGCGGAATTCGTCGTCCATAAGACGCTCCCACATTTGCTGACGACCCTTCAGGGCGCGAATCATGGCATCGATCACGCCTTCGACTACATCTGGACGACCTGAGGACTGAGCGACAGATAGCTGCTCCCTAAGCATCGTCCACATGTCGCTGAGACTCTTGGTGTGAAGTTGCTCGTTCGCGTCTTGGTCAAGACTGCCCTCCGCCCTAGAGAGGAAAGTCTTGCGATCTGACGCAGCCATTCTGTCCATCCATTCCTCGACTGCTCGTGTGATCAAACTTCGGTACTCACGAATCAAATCGCTCTCCCTCTCGTCGATAGCATGTGGCTTGAGCTCATCCGGCTTGACTCCTAGGCGTGCCATCTTGTTGTAGTACTTCTCCACCCAATTGAGAATCGCCAGCATGTGGACAGGCGTGATGTCTTTGTCATCAAGCTTCTCCACTAGAAAGTCATGCATAAGCTTGTGGTAGATGTCAACGTATGTCTTGAAGATCTTCCACCTGTTGGGCATCAGTTCTTGCATTCCCAGCTTGACAGTATTGAGGTCATTGAAGAACCATCTGCAAGCCTTTTCGAGCTTCTCCGGATCCTCGTTGAATGCATCCTTCACCTGGTCAAATTGAGCCGTCGCCGAGCCGCGTACTGCCTGCAGGAACTTGTCCTTGTACCCGCGAAGCTCTCGTTGACCGACATTGATACTCTTGAACCGAGCTGCGACTTCTTGGAATTCTTCTCGTGCATTCTGCAAAGCTTCAATCTGGCGGTCTTTCTTCTCTTCTTCCTCAATAACCAGTCCCAGACGTACGACAAGGCCGTTGTTTCCCGCTTGCACCAGTGGTATGATGTTGATACACGCCGTCCCAACATGCTCATCAAACCAATCGACCACCTCGTCCAATCGCGTAAAGTGATCGTTCAGTGTGACACCTCCCTCCAACGGCAGATTCTCGATCAACTCCAGGCCGCTTTCATCCGTAGAGTTCTTGACTTGCTCCATGGCCTGATCACGGACATCGCGAAGCTCTGTGAGACCAGCGTGTATAGCAAGCAGATTAGTCTGATTTTCAAGATCTTCATCATCCTCACGGAGGAGGGTTTCCAAGTCGCTCAACCGCTGCCCAAATGTATCTATAGCCGCTTTCACGTTCTCGACAGCCGCAAAATTCCTCTGCATGATGCTCATCTTGTTGATTTCCGGGAAGTCCTCGATCATGCCCTGTGCCTCGGCGCATAACCGATCAATCTTCATCATCTCCTCTTTAATGAGACCAACAATCTTGGTGCCTTCGTTGATCGACGTCATCCCGTTTTGGGTGATCTCGAGCTGTTCCTTGAGGCCATGCTTAAGCTGACCATCAATCGCGGCCTTCTTGCGAGTGAACTCTGATCTGAGTGAAGGCAACTTGTCGAGATCGTCGGGATTCTTGAGCAGCTCGGCCAGCTTCGAGGTGGTGTCATCCTGTTCCGCCATCGTTGCCGTATGGTGAGAGATCGGATCGGAAGTGCAGGAAGTATTAACGACGGAACGATTAGACAGGTTGGTACCAGAACTGGAGGAAGCAAAGAGGATGTCGAAGTCCAGCGACTGCCGGCGCGTGTTTGAGGCGTGGAGTGAGGTCGCGAGCATGTGAAGCTAAGGTACCGGACGGCAAGCCCGGGGGTTCCCTCTCTCCATCTCTCCCGAAACTCAATCCTCGACACTGTTGTCGACTCCCACCTGCCTCCTACGAACACCAACTACACTCATCCTCAATCCACGCAGAAACAGCCTTCGACCGAGCCACAATGTCTTTCTTCCGCATCACACTCCTGCGATCCGGAATCGGTCTCCCTAAGAAGACTCAGGGTGTCCTCTACGCGCTGGGCCTCAAAAAACGCCTCCGAACAGTCTATCATCCAGTCTCGCCCTCCGTTGCCGGTCAGATCTTCGCAATCAAAGAGCTGGTAGACGTGCAAGAAGTCGATCAGGCTTTGAGTAATGAAGAGTTGAAGGATCTGCGTAGGCCAGATCCCGGATTTTACATCGAGACGAAAATGAAGGAAATTCGAGCTACATCGAAACGCTCGACACCATCTCGGACGCCCTAAAAGGTCAACTCGACGCGGGATATTGCAGCGAGAATGGGAATGCTTGCGGTAGGGGAAGAGCAGGAGGCGCCATCCTCCACAGCGAGCAGAACATAGTCATCAGGACAAGGGAGATCGAAGGCGCAGGTGTGAACGTGCTAAAGAAAAAACTTGGGATGGACTCGCGTGTAGGTGGATGCGACAAGCTCAGCTGAGTCCTCTACGGACATATGCGTCCTTCCATGAGATGAATCTGTGGTGCGCACATTTGAGAAAGCACATGATTGTTGGCTTGCTGGAGAGATATGGATTTGGTCCTTGGAGCGAGGCGGGTCAGTAGGATATACGACAAGACGCAGAGTATCCACGAATAAAGGCCTTAGCCGAGAAGCCCATGCGTCCCCGGCACTGGAGAATTCGGAGAGACCAACGTCGAAGACAAAGCTGGGCTGGAGCCGAACATTGTATGTCTGCTACGGGAATGCCACCTTACTATACTAGCAAGTAACATGGGTGGTGCCAAACTTATCCATCCATGGCCTGACAACTTGGTCCACGATTTCGAGATTGTTCTTTTCCAAGAACGCGAAATGGGAGTTGCCGTGGATCCCAACATCGCCCAACTGTACATAATCAACGCCTACACCGGCCTGCTCAAGATATTTGACTGTGCAATGATCATAACTGTTACCACATTAGCACTCATCAACCACGAGAAGACTGCCGAGACTGACACTCTGTGATAGGATGCCTCCGCAGTCAACATCAATATTGGCACTTGAGCGATGTTCACCAGTTTTTTTGCGGGCTCAACTTGCAAGGTACATGCCGAGACATTCGCATTCGCTGCTAGTACGGTTTCCGTCATCAACTCGGATCCGTCTCCTCCAATACTCGGCTCATAGTGCAATGGCAGATTCGTGACTCCAAACCGTCTCGAGCCGCCGGTAGACGAAAACCCGGCAGCAAATGGCGGTCCAGCCCAATTCTGGAACGGAGGCCCCTGTGGCTCAATCGCTACAAGTGCGCGAATCAAATGAGGTCGAGAATCCGCCAACTGCCAACCGAATGGACCGGACTGGGAATGTGTCACGACAATCACAGGCTCACCGATCTTATCCACAAGGGCGCTGTACGAAGCGTTGTTCAATTCGGCCTGCAATGTTTCGTTCGAAAGCGCAGGCACTTGACTGGCATAGAACGCATCGAATATCGGGTCGCCCACATGTCCTGTCCCCGGCCACTGGGTGTGCAAAGACGCCTGGGGGTAGGGTAAAGGCCGAACATCCTGCGATGCCGTGAACTGAGATTCGACTGTGCCGGTGGAGAAGGCCGTGAACGTTTCTCCACCCGGAATGTACGGCGAGCGTCCTCGCTGAGCCATGTCGGTGATGTACACTGGATGACCTTGCCGAAGGAAATAGGATGCCCAGCCTTCGCGGCCATCGGGAGTATTGAGGAAGTTGGTACCTGACTGGCCATTGCCAGTTATAAAGACGATGGGGGCTCTGGTCGCTTGAGAAAGATGTAATTCAGGGACAAGATGCTCAACATAAATCTGGCCGGTCATGTATTGGGATGTCGTGTTAGACGAAGGGAGCGTGGCGTTGACATAGTGGCCGCCAACGTAGAAGTACGTCCTATCTGTTTCAACCCCTTGCCCTTCTGACTCTACTCAGATGCCATACCTGCTCGCAAGTGCCTCCACGGCATGCGTTGAAGGTGTAATATGGCCTGGTAAATCGTACCGGCCGCCATTTTGGAGAGCATAGGCTGAGGAGGGCAATGATAGAAGACATATAGAAAGCAGCATCTTGGCAAAGTGATGCACCACAGATTTTTGGAGCAAGGAAAGGACGAAAATCAAATACCTGAATAACTCATGCGTGATTCAACCGAGTGAGCCAGACTCCACTCTTGTGTACCATAAAAGATCGTCACGGCGTCTGCAACCATCGTTCCACAGGTTCAGCGTCGAGAAAGTTTTTGTGTGCCTTAGGCCACAACTCCTTACCCGATCGAGCGACCTAGCTTTCCGCACCTCAGAGCTTCCAGTAAAAAAATCCGCGACAAGCAACCACTATATACCACCACAGCACACCTTTCGAACATCACATCCACCATGGCGAAAGACGAGGTACGTGAGAAGAAAGAGAAGAAGGACAAGAAGCGCAAGGCGGACGCAGTCGAGGAGGCCGACGCGGGAGCAACGCCCGTGAAGAAAGAGAAGAAGGAAAAGAAGAAGCGGAAGACCGCCGAGGCCGAAGATGAATCCATGATGGATGTCGACGGCGGCCAGTCGCTCGTCAAGGTCGAAGCAGAGGACACCAAGGACGACAAGGCCGTGGTCGCCATCCCGCTCGCAGCCCTGGTGCCGTTCGCGAACCCTCTCGCGGACGAGAAAGCGCAGAAGAAAGTGCTCAAGGCCGTCAAGAAAGGTATGCCCCCAATCCGTCCTCTTCAAGATCGAGACAACAGGCTGACTTTTCCTCGTCCCTCCCCGCTTAGGCGCCAAGCACAAAACCCTCAAACGCGGCGTCAAAGAATGCGTCAAGTCCATTCGGAAATCCCCCGCCGCAACGCCTGCCTCTCTCTCCTCGTCCGCCCTGCCCAACGGAATCGTCATCCTCGCGGCCGACATCTCCCCCATGGACGTCATCAGCCACATCCCCGTGCTCTGCGAAGACCACGGCATTCCATACGTCTATGTCCCTTCTCGCGCAGAGCTGGGCGCGGCGGGATCGACGAAGCGACCCACAAGTGTGGTCATGTTGATGCCGAAGGCGGGTGCCAAGGGCACCGAGGAGATTGAAGAGTGGACGGAGGCGTACAGAGACTTGCACAAGCTGGCGGTGAAGCTGGGCCAGACCGTGCGAGTGTAGAATTGCCCCACGATGCCCAGGGCACCGTCTCTGAGGGTACTTTCTTGTTTGCTGTGGGCCCGTGTTAATCTGGGAGATGGGAGTTTCCGGTGTTCTTCTGTTGCGAGTTGTACAGGCGGGCGGGCGTCTAGATGTGCTTCGGGTGATGGGCCAGGGCAATTTTCAAGCTGCTCTGTACTGTGTGAACAGGGAAGACGCCATGCACGAACAATTAGACCCGGTCATGGTCAATGTCATTATAAGTATGTCAATTCGTACAGCATCTCACATCAAGAAAATCAAGACAAAGATCTCGGATTCCTTTCCCGGCGGCGCCCTGGCCTGCCCATTCTTTTCATCTTCGTTCCATCGTGATAAATAGTAGTCGCCTCAGCGCCGTCGCCGAATTGACTGGAAAAACGCAGGATTTTGGTATCATCGAAAGAGAAGGCGCGAAACTGATCACCCATGTCTCTCCAGCCCGCAGTCGTCACCTCCCCTCGTTACGCGCTCAGACTCGTCCGCGAATGCTTGTCCACCCTGATCTGTTCCAGGATCCCCTTGATCGCTTCCGCTCTTCCCCGACCCGCATCGGCCTCGTCTACCAAAGCCAGCGCCTTCTTCGTCAAGCCACGAAGCACTCTCCGGGTGTAGGAGAAACTCCCCGTGCGATCCATGTACGCAACGGCATACCTCTTCACCTCATCATCCGTCGTCTTCTGTTTGAGTATATTAATCAGGACGAGGTTGGAAGGATCCGATCGAATGGCATGGATGATCGGAAAGCTGAATTTGCCTTCGGTCAAGTCTTCGCAGAGGCCTTTGTTGTTCGTGTACGTCGTGTCGGAGAGATTCTTGTAGTCGTCTAGAATCTGGAAGAGGAGACCGATGGTGTTGACGAGCGGGACGTAATTGGTCTGGACGGAAGGTGGTTCATCTGGAGCGTGGAAGTTGTGATTGTGTGAAGGGGATTCGCAGCACATGAGTTTGATGGCGAGGCGGAAGAGGCCCCCGGTCTTGTTGCCCACCATTTCCAGGTAGTCATCCTCGGTGGGGCAGGTTAGGGTGTCTCGCCAGAACAGGTCCATCCCTTGGCCACGATGCAGGTTCAGGAGTTCGTCTGTGTAGATGCGGATGACCTCGGGATTGCTCAGGGTGAGGAGTTCCTGCAGCGCGCAGAAATAGACGTAGTTGGCGCTATTGATCGTTTGTGCGGTGCCGAAGATGGAATGAGCGACGGGGATGCCGCGGCGCAATTGTGAATTGTCTTCCACGTCGTCGACTAGTAACGAGGCTGTGTGGAGCATGGAGACAACTTTTGTAATGACGCTCAGTGATGAGTCGGGGACCTGCAACCACTCGTTGAACGCTGTGATCATCTGTGACCGGATGTCCTTGCCCGGGTGTGATTCTAGGTAGTCAAAGGGGCCCTTGAGGATATTCTCCTTCTCGGAGCTCCAGCTCATGGCGGTGCCGTTGATCAGGTCGGAGCTGATCATGGTGGGCGACAACTTGTCGGCGGCTTGCGAGAAGCTGGTGCTGGCGGTCAGCCGGTGACTCGTGGAGCGAGACTGAGCCATCCACTCCTGCTCGCCCGGCTCGGGCAGCTTGCGCCGCTCTTCAGGTACCGAGACCAAGCTCTTGTGCTTGCGCACGCTGACGGAGCGCTGCGAGTTGGGACTGGTACTGTGGCGACGGTCGCCGTTTGCGAGAGCCTTGGTAGAGCTGGTGCGAGCGGGGATGGAGGCGGGATTGATGGCAGGCGGGGAGGAGGAGGAAGAGGAGTCGAGGAGGCTGTGGCTGTGGCCGTGGCCGTGGCGGTTGTCGTTGTCGTTGCCGTTGCGAAGGATGTCGTCGGTGATGGTGGAGGAGGACGTTGCTACAGCTTGCATGTCTTCGGGTGTGTCGCCTCTGGACTTGCTGCGGCGCAGACGACGGTCATCGGCGTGTGCATTCGGCGGCGCTGACAGATGCTGCTGCTGCTTCTTGGTCGCGCCTGCAGCAGCACCGACAGCTCCGAGAGCGAACTGATGGCCGAGTGAGGGAAAGCTCGCGGGCGGGAAGAGTGAGTACCGGGCTCTCGCACGTGGTTCGGAGGCGACGCCGTGGACCGTGTTGCCGTTGCCAGTGCCGGTGCCGGTGCCGGTGCTGCTGCTGCTGCTGCTGCTCGTGGTGCTGTCGGCGGTGGAGGAGGTGTTGGGGATGAATTGGTGGTGGTGGTGGTGGTGATTGGCGATGATGTTGTTTGTGTTGTTTCGGCTTACACCCAAGCTCGGTGCTAGTCCTCGTTGGTACGACATGGACAGTGCAGTGCAGTGCCTGAGCCGCGAGTATACAGCACAGCTTCACCTTCCGAGTTTCGTGTTACAGCAGGTCGACGTTCCGACAGGCGAGACGGGCAAAGGATACTGTCCACGCAATCGCATGCCGGGCCAGACAGGTCAGAGGACGAACTACTCTCTTGATGAGCTCACCCGCCCCGGCGTCCGTTATGCCTTAAAAGCTTGGTGCTGGGATGCGCTCGCCAATGGCCGCCGAGAAGCGCTGCCTGGACAGGCACACAAGTCATGCTGCTCCGCGCATCGCCGTTGTACTAACCGCCAACCCCTCACTAGCAACATCGTCGTCTCTGTACCTGCATCTTGCAGAACCCTCCCTCGGACCGGCGCAAAATGGGAAAGCCATCACTGAAGGCCGTCCCTGTCAGGTCATGACAACGCAACCAGCCAGGAACTAGGATGACGACGCACACCCAATCACCATCCTTCGGCATCGCAGGACTGCAAGGTCTATCGGACAACGAACTGCTCCGAGAGAAGTCTCTGCACAGAGTAGAGTGCAAGGCAGGAAACCGAGCGCCATCGCATCAATCGATCCACATTGCTACTCTATCAACTTTGGTACTGTTACAAGAAACATCGAGAATCAACTGGTGCTAAAACGCCTTCACGAGCCCAATGCCAATGGGTATCAAACATCCTTGCCCAACCAAACCTATCCTCGCCAACTCTCTTCTGCCGCCTTGCAAGCCTTCCGGATTAACATTACTGCGCGCCCTTCGTATTACTCTCCTCGTCACCGGCATAAGCAAATTTGGAGAATTTGCGGATCCTAGCACCGTAAACCCAGAAGACGAAGGGGATCGCACAACACGCTAGTCCAATAAACGCCAGGAGCGTACTCGCCCACTGATCACCCATGGCATCGTACATCTGAATCGTGAACAGTACCACTCCAGCGCCCCAGAAAGACCTCAGAAAGGTCTTGGCCGCAAGGGCTGAAGCCGCTTGATGCTGGTATGAGTCGACCAGATAGTTGTTGGCAGCGTTGTAGAGGAAGATGAATCCAAAGCCAACACACCATCCACCAAACGCGGGGCCGAACCAGTTCAGTCGAGGGTACGAGGTCCATGCGAAGATGAAGAGTCCAATGGGAATGAACCAGCAACTCAGCATCATGGGAATCAGCCTGGCTTCCGCGGGAGGCTTCCCGTTGTGCTTGCTCGAGATCTGGAGGTAGTGCTTGTTCACCCATGGAGCACAGCATGCGCTCATGATGACGCCGAGCGCGAGAGGAATGAACATGAGTCCTGTGATGGATGCCGAGTATCCTTTGTGGTCCTGATAGACGATGGGGAACGCGATGAAGAACACTGAACACGATAGGTAAGCAGGCATCTCCGACATGAAGACGTGTCTTTCACCAATGCTTTGACTTACTGTATAGCAGCCCGTAGAGTACCGACATGTACACGGAAATGAAGAACACGATCGGCTCAAGAAAGAGCAACTGGAAAGGACGAATGAGGAAGACTCGTAGTCGTTCTCCCAGAGGACGCATCTCCAGATCGGCCTCGGTCACGAATCGATCGCTTTTCTGTTCCTTTCGCATCTTCTTCGCTCGGCGCGCAAGAATCGTCGGTGCGTATGTTTCTGGGACCGTGAAGGTGATGAGGATGTAGCAGAACCCCGAGAGGATCAGCTGCAACCAGTAGAGCCATCGCCAACCCAGATGGTCGGAAGTAAAGCCTCCAATAAGGGGCCCCACGGCAGGGCCGACAAAGGGAGCGGCAGAAAATGCGGCCATGGGAACTCCTCGTTCTTCGTTCCTCCAGAGATCGGCGAGCGTGCCTCCGACCAGAGTCATCGGTGCCGAGAAGGCAATTCCATCGATTGCACGACATACTAGGAGCGTGGCCATATTCTTTGCGACAGCACATGGAATGATGAAGATGACCGCAATGAACAGCGTGCTGGCGTAGATGATCTTCCTTCCGCAGATCTCGCTCAGCGGTGCAAAGGCCATCGGACCCAGTCCGAATCCCAAGACGAAAAAGGTGATGGCAAGTAAGGAGACCTCCCGACTGCTACCAAACGTGTCTGCCGGTCCAATGAAATCCGCGGTGATGACACCGCTGTTGAAAGCAACAGCGAAGCAAGTGATTGCAACGACCATGGTGCACCACCACTTGTACGCCTTGCTCCAATTCTTCGGGTTACCGGGATCGCCAGGCGTGAACGTCACGAGCTCATACCGTTCGCTTTTCCCAGTCTTGTTGGAGACGACGGGCTGCAGTCCACCAGGTCGCTCTTCTGTGTACTCGGCCATTCGAGCTTGTCCCGTGAGCGTGCGGTAAGGAAGGTTGATCACGTCTATTGAGTCCATAGCTTCTCGGTTTACACCCATGTTGTGTGCCTGTTCTCCTTCCTTCTCACGACTGACATCCTCCTCGCCGACAGATGTAGTCTGACTGTTTGTTTCTGAAGATCCATTGGTAGCGAAGTCTCTAGTGTTTGTCGCCCCGAGGGATGTAGTTTGCTCAGTAGCAGGCAATGAAATGCCCATGACATGTTCGGTTGCCATGTTCGAAGATGAAGTGTGGTCCAGATGGTAGCGCGGTGTACAGCAAATGAGAAGCACCTACCTCTCCTATATAGTTCGCATCGACATCGAGTGTCTGCATTTCATGGTCAACTGGCCGCGTCGAATCCGCATTGCATCCGTATGACAGCATCCGCAAGCCAAAGATTCTGAAAGGTCTTGGCTGACGCCGAGCCGCGCGCGAACTTCGGTTCTTCTTCAGACGTCGTTGAAGCCACGAATATAAGCTTTCGGTCCGGACCGCGAGAACAGGGCGACATCTGATGCTGGAAGTAAGTTTCTGGGTCGAACTGTTCGCCTTGCGGCCTCCAGCAAAAGGCCGATTCAGCACGAGCATAAATAATGCACAATCTGACCTCGTTCCAAGTGGTAGAACGACGTAAAAGTGGCTTTGGACTTGAGCTCGCAGCCATGCGGCGGGCTTTCTCATCAATTCCAGAGCTGATCAATATGACTGCGTCGTCGCCCATCTGCGGATCATTGGCGCACGCGCAGTTGTCTTGCATATCGTTCAGCGCGAGACTGTCCACTTGGATCCAACTTCCACCCTCCTTGGAAGTGACAACAGCTCGTGGCCAACAGAAATACTCCCATCTGAACAGAAGCGCTGTCATGTCTTCCATCTGAAGACATTAGAGAGGCGCATCGCCTTTTCGATCGGAATATGAAGCCCTCGCAAAGCTGGCGTTGCAACAGACACGTTCGTTCATCTCAGTCCGGTCTTCCATACGAAGGAATGCAACATCTTCATAGCCGACAATGTGTCCAGAAAACGTGAGCTGACAAGACACTTCATTCTGCATGCCGGACACCATTTCATATCGAGGACCAGACTCAAGCTGCGGGTAGCTGTCGTTCATCAGTGGTTGGAGCGCTGGTGCGTGGTTGTCGCGAGCCCTCTCAGACCCTCATGAGTCGGCCGGTGGTTGGTGAAACGAGGAAAAGGGGTTGGCTGCTCGATCACTGGAATATGCGCGTTCCTGTGATCTGGTTGTGTTAATCAGTAGTGCTTGACGCAATCAGGCAGAGGGCACTGGCCCAATCGTTCTGGAGGTTGTCGCTGCGCCTCTCGAGTCGCAGAAGAATGACTCGACCTATGAAGCTGAAACAGCACGCCGAAAGAGTTCGATTCTGCGAACCGTTGCGGAGCTGTGCATATCGACACGCCGAGCAGAATCCACCCCAGATGCAGCTCCGACGCAGGAGAGTCCTTTCTTCTCGACGTGAAGTTGCCGCTAGAGCGATCAAGCGGGTCTCCTTGTTGTCGCACGGAATGTTAGTGATGGACCATGACAGCTGCACTTCTGGCGGCTGGCTTGACAACCAGAGATGTTAGAAGTTGAACTCAGCCAGGAGTCCTCGCTCGACGGAATCTCGAAGCAGGCGAGTCGGCTGTCGAGGTTGCCTCGTGGCAGGTTCCTGAGGGAAAAGCGGTGGCTATCATTCGCGGGATCCTGCGTCATCATGGGCGAGGATGCTCCTGGCTCCTGGTGGTGAGATGTTGCTGGGAGTGGCCATCACGTGAGAAGAAGCCAGCTCTCGTCGGCGTTCTCTCTTCCTTCCCCTTTTGCTCGACTCCCTGCACCCTCATCATCTCATCATCGCCGACCGGCCAGCACACAGCGCAAGAGCTGGTCTGACGCTGCGTGCTGATATCCTCCCGGTGCTGTGAGTGGTGGATGTCGGGCGATGGCTGGAGAGCGGACGCGAGAGCATGACTCGGAGCGAATGGGCGATCGACACGCGCCTGCCAAATCTGCAGGAAGCTCTTCTCTGTCACGGCGCTAGTGGCCCTAGTCTGTCTTGGCCGTCACACCTCCGACGAGGGCGGGGATGAGCGGACCGCACAGACCTTTCTCTTTTCCAATATCATGCGAGCCCGCCCGCCCTCATCCCTCAACCTTCTCTCCCCCAACCCTTTGCTCTTGCTGCCCAACCTCGATACCCAATCTCCCCTTTACCTACATTTATCCCTCAGGCACATTTCTCCTGTCCCGAAACATCGATACACAGCATCCAACTGCTCGCTCCAAGCCTGCTATATCATTGGATCATTATACCCAAGCTGCTTCCTGCAGCCTTGATACAGGACTACTGCCCCAGGATGTCATTTCGCACCCGCGAGGATTACTTGGCCGCCAGGTACATTTTCCATCGTGTTCTTTGCTTTGCTTTGCTTTTCTCGCGACCTGTTCTGCTATTTTGCAATGTACTCGTGAAGCATCACGCTCTCGAGATGTTTGGTGTACCTCACCAGTCAGCCGACTGCTATCATTGGAATAGACGGACCCTTCCCACACTTTCCGGAGATCCATTGGACATGCAGGCCAGAAAGCCATGGAGCCATGCAGCCTACCACACCCAGCTTTGGATTGCCACTTGCCAGACCAGAGAATCCCTTTCGGATCTTGTCTAGATGTCGTGATCGACGGGACATCCATCAACTCATGAGTGGTTGATGTGGTTTTGTCGCACGCACATTTTGACTACACCTTGGCTACATCTGGACTACCGTTGCCCTGAATTGGGATCCTGGGCCGATTGAAGTGTCCATAAGTATCCTGCTGTTCTACTGCACCGGCCATAGCAGACTCAAGAGCCTCTAGAAGCTCGCCAGACGCCGGTCAACTTTCCATTTGGACCTCGAGGCATGTTCCTAGCTCCATGGACAATGATCTTACACTCCCCCGGGGACATCAGCGACAGCCATCTGCACACCTGGTCTCGTATCTTCCTGCTGTTTCTCTTTTCTGGTCTTTGCGTTGTTGCTACCACCATGACATGGGTTTGCATACTAACTTGCCTTGTGTCCAGTGAGGAGTTTGCTCCTTTCACCCAATCCGGATCTCCACTGTTCTCCCAGTTCTCGGAGGTGGATAATTGGTGCCAATCTATTGGATTTCCCCTGACTCCCCCGGATACAGCCTCGGAGTGTTCCACGTCTGACTGTGCTGATATGAGCATGCCACCTTGGAATCAAGTCTCACTGCCAGGGGACGCCTGGAACACAGCACCTGTACCGGACCATAGCACCGTGATGCAGGCTTCTGGCAGCGACTGGTCCTCCCATGGCCACGCTGTGACGGCCCAGGACTTACAGGCCCTTGAAGCCTCGTCCTGGTTGAATGTGCCCCACGGTTCTGTAGATATGGGTTTGTCCCCTGTTCTGAGCCAAGAGAGCCAGAGCACGCATACCCTCAACACCATTTCCGAGCCGGAAGTTCCCCTGCTGCCGCCAGGCTTGGACCTATCTTTTATCAGCGAACCCAGCTGGGATGTTTCGGGACCTGTTGTCTATTCTAGCTCCCATGTGCCTCAGGATTGTTCTCCCAGCTTTGTGGCATCTTCAGTCCAGACTCCGTGTGGTCACTCCCTTGGCCAATTTCCAGGGTACGGTGTCCCCCAGTCAGCCGCTTGTGGCCCTCATCAACCCATGTACCCCTTCCAAGGCGGACAGGTTCCATGCCCAAGGAGGTCTGCTTCTGATCCAGCCCTTGCCCAAAGGAGGCCATTGTTACCCAGGACCGACGCGCAGGGCCAGTATGCTGTGCACCAGCCACAGATCGCTGCTGGTCGCCCAGGATCTACTGCCAGCGTAAGTACTTCGCAAGGCCAGATGCAGGAGACCGTCATGCCAGCATCGTTGTCGCGACAGTCGTCAGGATCTGTTGCAACTTACTCCAGGATGAGCCCGCCTGCTCGGACTGTCTTGAGTCCTCGGCTGGAAACCGCGCCTCAGGCCAAGGGACCCGCCACTAGTATGGTAGAATCTGCCGCAGAGGACTTCAGCAGTTTCATCCGGTATGACCAGGATGATAAACTGGCACCCGGTCCCATGAGGTTAGATTCATTAGAGACGCGGTCGTTTCGTCGCAATACTAATGTATTGTGTAGCTATGGCCCTAGCACTTACGTGTCTGCGCCATCGCAAGTCGGGCCCACTAGAGACGTAAAGGCCCACAGTGAATCTGGCCCGCCCCAGGCCTCATCTACTGCTTCTAGCGAGATGGACGAAGGTCGTCATAGGACCCATCACCTGTACAATGAAGGCCCAAAGGCCGACGGACTGTACCACTGCCCTTTCAAGACCGACCCTAGCTGCGGCCACAAGCCAACTAAGCTGAAGTGCAACTATGAGTATGATGACCCACCCTCTCTGCTCATTACACTACCCATGGCTGCATGCAACAATCGCTGACACCTCGTGTAGCAAGTTCATTGACTCGCACTTGAAGCCATTCCGCTGCAAGGTCGAGGCCTGCTCCAAGCAGGAGTTCTCTTCTACCGCATGTCTCCTTCGACATGAGAGAGAGGCCCATGGCATGCACGGACATGGTGACCGTCCACATCTCTGCTTTTATCCCGGCTGCGAGCGTGGTATACCTGGCAATGGTTTCCCCAGGAGGTACAATTTGTTCGATCATATGAAGCGTGTCCACGACCACCAGGATGAGCGATCTCAAAGTTTCCGCGCCCCGGAGTCTCGGGGCAAGGCCGCCGGCCGCAAAAGGAAAGCCGGTGCTGCAAGCCATGAGGCTGCTGCCCAGCGACAAAAGGTACAGCATGTGCAGCAACCTACACCTTCCAGGACCATGTCTCCAGGCGGATTCGCTCAGCAAGCTCCCATGTTCCAGGAGCCACGCCACGACCCGCTTAGGCAGAGACAGATCTACTCACAGTGGAACAACCAGCCAGAGCTTTTGGAATTCCAGCAGAACAGCCTCCGGCCTGATGATGAGGCTAGCTTCCAGTACTTCAGCCAGAATGTTGACGACCTGCGACATCTTTCGCATGAAGCTAGGCAAGGCTGAAGAGCCACGTGAGGCCAGCGCTGCATACGTGGTAGGTCCATTGTACATCCTGCCTGCTGGAGACACGTACTAACACATCGACAAGCATTCTGGCCACCTGGAACCACACTCCTTTATTATGGCAAATTTCCATCTACTCAAAGGGAAGCCCACGGTAGACCATTCTACATGCCAAGGAATGAACACTGTCACCATGGACTCGCGCCCCGTCCGGGCTGGATCAGCCACCTCCATTTGGACTCCATTTGGACAGGTCGAGCCACTTTCCAGGGAACCCACCGGGTAGTACTTCATATCCGGACACTGCCCAAATGGATGCCACTTGTCAGGAGAGCCCGATTCCATTAGCAGGCCATCTTGCGATTGCATTCCGAGTTGGCCGGTCTAGGACCAATCGGTGGAAGCGCGACACCGTCGCTGAGATGTGAAGGGACCGTAGTGTGCCGACCATCTTACTTGTGAACTGGGCCCGAAAGATGAAGTGCACGCATGCAAACTGCACGCGCAGACTGACAGATTGTGAGATTGCAAGACATTTGTGAAAATTTGAGAGGAGTTTGGGGATTGGAGCTTTTGGGTATATAAAAAAACAACACAGTAAACCAAGTGTACTGCGGACCGATTTCGCTGCCTCTGTCAATCCTCTCGCAAGACGCCTTGCCGTCTGACACCAACCCACACCGTCTGCCTGTCGAGGCTGCCACATTATCACCAAATCAACTTGAAGACGAAGAACCACGCGTACACAATCGGCTTGAGAAGCAGACTCGTTACCCAAGGCCCCATTTCGCCCTCGACGGCCCTCACGACATACTTCTCAATGGTACTCCTGGGCGCGCCGGGGGTGTAGTACATGGCATTCATCATGTCGTAGGTGAGTTGCTGCGTCTCCGTCATGCGCTGGAACATGTCGCGTTCGAACTCCTGGATCTTCGCGTCCAGTGATGATGTATCGCTCGAGGTAGCAGCGGAGATGATTGCTTCCGAGAGTTTGAGCGCATCTTGGAATGCGAGATTGACTCCCTCGCCGGCGAACGGGGTCATGACGTGTGCTGCGTCCCCGATTAAGGTGACGCCGGGGACGTGTTCCCACGACTGGCCGATGGGAAGCATGAAGAGGTCTCGTGGAGCGATCTTGTCGTCGTCTCCTGTCTGCGTGAGGGCAACGAGTCGGGGGTCCCAATCTGCGTATTCCTTCGCACAGGCCGCCTTCACGGATGGACCGTCGTGGACGTCGTAGCCGCAGGTTGTCTGCCAGTCTGTAGGGCGGACGGCCCACGTACCGACGTTGATGCTTCCGTCGCCCATTTGTTGGCCCATGATGGATTTTCCGTCGGAGAAGGCAAAGACGCTGCCGCGATTGACGAGCTTGTACAATTCGGGGTGTTTCCTCTTAGCGTCGGGGATGGAGAAGGCATGGCCGCCTATGCCGGAGTAGTAGGGTTTGGCATCTGTGAGGAGAGTGCGAGTCTTGGACCAGGCGCCGTCTGCGCCGACGATGAGATGGTAGCCAGACTGAGTTGTGCCGTCGGCGAAAGCGAGGATGAGGTTTGATGGGTTTGTCCAGGAGCGTTCGACGGAGAGCAGTTTCTTGTTCCATTGCACGGTACCGGTCGGGAGACTGTCGTAGAGGAGTTCTCGAAGCTTTGGCCGATCGATCTCGGGACGACCTCCAGAAGCCTCGGTGGAGGGGCCTTGGTGGACGTAGCAGAGCATCTTCTTGTCGGCGATTTTCATTGCCTCGCCGTCGTATCTTGCATGCTTGAGGAAGGCATCGTAGAGATTGGCTTTCTTGATGGCAGCCAAGCCGGTCTTTTGGTGTAAGTCGAGGGTGCCGCCTTGGGAGCGGAAGTTGATGCTGCCTTCGCTCTCGAAGATGGTCACGGTGATGTCTTGCGATGATTGTTGCAAGAGGCGGGCAAGAATGGTGCCAGCTGGACCGGCGCCCACGATGCCAATCTTGAAGACCATGTTGGTCTTGCTGATCAGCATATACCAGTCAGCAGTATGTGTAGGTCTGCTTGAATCTGTTGAGGATAGGTAGAAATCGCTCAGGGTGTGGTGTGTGCTGGTGTATTTGTGGGTGGAGGAGGCGAGGTTACGACGCGGATTGCTGTTTGACAATGAAAGGAACAACGAAGGAGCAAGAAAGGCTGGACTTATTAGGCATCTCCCGAATTGGTCGCACGAATCCTTTAGCACTGGTCGCAATTGGTGACCACCGACGCGGCGCTTGAGGAGCGGTTCTGGGAGACTCAGCTGCCAGCAAGCGCGTGCAGAGCTGAAAAGGACTTGGCCCAAGGTTTCACCCGAGCACCTCATCTCCTGCTGTGCCTCGCGTCGTTCATTCTTCGCAGCTGCACGTGGCGTGACATGAGATCAGCACTCGCGGTGCAACGGACAGACCGCGTAGTATGGCCAGACGTCTGTTGGAGGCCCAATGCTGTTGAAGCCAAGAGCGTACGGTATGGAAAGGTATACCCAATGTCATCAGTGTCCGAGTCGTGAGGGTGCAGTCGTCGGTGAAGGGCAATCACCGAGCGCACCAGACTCGGGTCGGGATTCGGAGGGGAGAGGGGATGAAACGGTGCATCTCCCCTTCGCAATGTCCATGTTGGACATACATGTATTGACAACAATGTCTTGTTAGTAGAGATCAGACTGAATGGAGGCTGTTTGGGGCGAGATGGATACGGCCGTTGCTCGGTCGCTGGCCGAGGCTGGCGTGATCGGAAGGACGCTATCCGGCCACATTGCTGTGCATTACAGTATTGTGCAGTGCAGCATTGTGCTGTGCAGTATTATTGTGCAATGCGATAACGCTTCTGCCTCGCTTGTAGTAATCGCATACCACCACACCGTCTAGATACCTCGATTCGTTGAACGGTAATAAGCAGGGCAGTGAGTGACACATGCAGCTACCTCGCGCCCTTAGCACCCTACGTTGCTCCGCCATACGTTGTTCCGCCACCACCCGAGGCTTTCCCTTTTCCTCGACCTCCATCATCATCCCACCAAACGCCTGCTCAACTGCCAGATTTCTCCTCAACCACTCCTCTCCCAGATCCTGCTTCGTACCACCACACCACTCATACGCAACCATGGCATCCGCCACCACCTTCTACGATTTCAAGCCAAACGACAAGAAGGGCCAACCATACCCACTGGCTGATTTCAAGGGCAAGGTCGTCCTTGTCGTCAACACTGCTTCCAAGTGCGGTTTCACCCCTCAGTTCGAAGGCCTGGAGAAGCTCTACAAAGGTATCACCATCACTCCCTTTCCCTTGACGTCTACGTCTACCTTGACGTCTCAACCTTGCAGGACTGACATGACTCGGCAGAGCTCAAGCCCTCCCACCCTGACTTCGAGATCATCGGCTTCCCGTGCAACCAGTTTGGCAACCAGGACCCAGGTAGCAATGATGACATTCAGAGCTTCTGTCAGCTCAACTACGGCGTTAGCTTTCCAGTCCTGGGCAAGACCGATGTGAACGGCGACAAGGCCGAGCCTGTCTGGGAGTGGATGAAGAAGAGCAAGCCGGGCATCATGGGCCTGCAGAGGGTCAAGTGGAACTTCGAGAAATTCCTCGTCGGAAGAGACGGACAGGTCAAGCAGCGCTGGGCCAGCACCAGCGCTCCCGAAAAGTTGAAGTCTGCGATTGAGGCAGAGTTGCAGAAGGGCTCGCCAACTGCTACGGAGGCAGAGAAACCCACCCCTACCTCGTGACTCAAACTGTGAAGAGGAGGAAAGATAGACAGAAGCACGCTCGGCTTGCTTCACTCGTATACTTCATACTTGCGAAAGATACCCTCAGGCTACTTAGCTTATATCAACACCGTACTTATCCGCCATTTCTCCCACATCCAGTGCGACCAGAAATCGCGACACGGTGTTGTAAGCAGCTACGGTAGCAGTGATCTCGACCACCTCCCGATCGCTGAAAAGTGCTTTGAGCCCCTTGAAGATCGCTTCTTTAACAATACACCCCAGAGTCATCGCGTTCGTGTACTCAAACACAGCCAGATGCTTCTCATCCAGCCCGCTGCCGTCCCAGCCTCGATCCTTGATCTTCTCGACTACGTCCTGCTTCAGGGCACTACTCTTCTCTAGTATGGGCTTGTGCTGATCCCATTCATACCAAGCATGGTTCAGAGCAGCCACCCTGCAAATCGCAAGCTCGCGTATCGAATCCGGCAACGTCGTCTGCGTTCGTATGGCTTTGAGGAAGCCGTTCCAGCCATCGGCAACGGGTGGAGCATGTAAGAGGGTTTTGTCCAGCGCGATGAGCTTGCCTCCTCGTCGTTCCTTCACCCGCTCGACCACGGCCTGGTCTTCGGCGGTGGACATTTTGGGGTCATCGTCGATGTAGGGGAGCCGCATTGTGGTGATTTGACGAGAGCTCTATTGGAGAATATGGACACACGTGAGGTGGACAGATGATATTGCTGTGGTTTCGTTATGGATAAGTATCTGCAGGTCTGTCTACTCGGCGAGGTTGAATCCCACTGAATGTCTATTCCCCTCCTTTATCATGAGAATGCCCCACGGTGCAGCGATCTCGGTCCGAGAGAGCATCCGCCGAGAGCCAATTCAAGCCGACACCATTCCACGTCATTCATCATGCATTAGAAACAGCAAAGCTACATGTATCGCGGCAGCGAAAATGCTACTGTAGAATGGCCAAGGGGAAGACCACATCCGTGCCCGCGAAGTCCAGGCCAAAATCCAAGACAGCAAAAGGATCTCCGGCCGAGACCGCACCTGGAGGGGCCTTGAAACTGCCAACCAGGACAGTCACACTGGACTTGCAGCAAAAATGCCTGAACATCTTTCGGGACACGTTCAGACCGGGCGAAGATGATACAGCGCTGCTGCAGGAGGTCAAAGGCCATCTCTACAACCGGGACTTTGCCGCGGCCTTTGGCAAGGAAGATTACCTACGCGTCTATGCTTCTCGATGGAGTCCGAGTCGAGCACTCGGGTACTTGCAGGTTCTGACGGATATCCACGAGCACATCTCGGCAAACACGGAGGCCACTTGCAGCGAAGCGGAGAAGAAGGACAGGTTCAAGGCTGTTTGCATAGGAGGAGGCGCTGGAGCCGAAGTGGTAGCATTGGCCGGATGGACGCGTTTGGCAGAAGGTCAAACATCAGATCGCCAGGTCAAGTCCATCGATTGCAGATTGCTGGACATTGCAGATTGGAACACGGTTGTAGAAGACCTCCAAAAGGCAGTCACTACCCCACCGGAGCTGTCGAAGTATGCATCCGCGGCCGCAAAGGAGACCAACGTTGCGCTACTTGCTGGGAATGCCTTCCGCGCCGAATTCCACCAGACGGACGCTCTCAACATGGCCGAAGATCAATGTCAAGAGCTGTTCGTCAACGTTGACTTGGTGACTCTCATGTTCACCCTCAACGAGCTGTATTCGACATCCGTGCCTAAAACGCAGCAGATGCTAGCGGAGATCACGAATAACATAAGGCCAGGCGCACGACTGCTCGTCGTGGATAGTTCTGGAAGCTATTCGACCGTGTCGTTGGATGGAGCGGAAAAGAAATATCCAATGCAATGGCTCCTGGATTACACCTTGATCGGCACCGCACAGAGTGGGGCGAGAGGAACGCCGCAATGGGAGAAACTGGTCTCGGACGAGTCGAGATGGTTCCGCTTACCTCAGGGCTTGAACTACCCCATTGAGCTGGAAAATATGCGCTACCAGATCCACCTCTACAGGAGATTGACAGATACCCAGCCTGGTTGATGTTCAGGAAGCGAGGGAAAGGTTCACCCATACATCGAGACAGACCCCTGTCTTGCCAAGTCCACGTAGGACGAGCCGAAGCGGACTGCCCCACGGCCGACTGTGCCAGGCTTTTCAACTTGGAAAACAATTGCTGTCTGCTTCCACGCAGGGATAGCAGCATGCTCAGTGTTCCAATCCGCTGAGCATGATGAGTCACATGCCTGCGTCGAAGAAGGGAGTAATATAGTCCTCTTCAATGCAGTATTGTTCATCCCATCAACTCCGGTATAGTCTAGTGGTCTAGGATATCTGGCTTTCAATCGAAGGACTCAACCCAGGGGACCCGGGTTCAAACCCTATTACCGGAAACTCGATATTGTCGCTTTTGCGAGCTCATACTTTGCGATGTCGTCCGTCCATTTCTCGTACCTTTCGCTCTTCCATCGCTTAATCGAGTTTTAGAAACGAAAACGACGAGAAGAAATGGCGTGAGGCGGAATGAAATGGAGATGCTTGATGAACGTGGTCTGCGCTTTCTGGGACTCAAATGGCGGTGCAGGACTTTGTTGCCCGCATGATGGCTGTCTATCTTCGCTAGCCATGGATTTCTAGAGCTTATGGCTCCTGCTAGTTACCCACTTTGATCGCAGTTGTCGTCCAAATATTGGCATTCCGCAATGCGAGCATGCGCCTGCCAAGCACTAAAGTCAATCCACGCTATGGACAGATTGTCACATGTCGAACGTTGATACTTTAAATTGTTTGCAAAGGACACAGCCCAACTATCGAACGATGCTCAGATGCGTTCTTTCGATGGAATATTCAACTTGTGTATCGTACGAGTCTGCCGAGCGAGGGTGTGTGAAGTGTCCGGTTGGGCATCACGGGCGGAACGGTTCCGGCAAAGGAAGCGAACGTGGGGGGGGGGGGGGGGGGATTGGCCCCACCAAGGATGTTGCATGCCATGTGAAGTTTTTTGAAAGTCCATGAAACAAAACTTGCAACTTTTCTGCCGCCTAAGAACCACCACCTCTCGCCTTCTCCTTCTTCCACCCAGAGGCCCACGTCAGCGACTCCTATTCCTCCACCAACGAACAAGGACGGCTCGATCTCCTCCTCCTCATCACCACATCACCACCACCACCACACGACAACGACAAGCCAGCATGTCGTCGGAAATCACGCACCCGACCATCGAGAATGGCTGGTTCCGCGAGGTCAGCGACATGTGGCCCGGGCAGGCCATGACGCTCAAGGTGAACCAGGTGGTGCACCACGAGAAGTCGCAGTACCAGGACGTGCTGATCTTCGAGTCGTCGGACTACGGCATGGTGCTGGTGCTGGACAACGTGATCCAGTGCACGGAGCGCGACGAGTTCGCGTACCAGGAGATGATCACGCACCTGGGCATGTTCGCGCACCCGAACCCCAAGAAAGTGCTCGTCATCGGGGGCGGCGACGGCGGCGTGCTGCGCGAGGTGGTCAAGCACGAGAGCGTGGAAGAGGCGATCCTCTGCGACATTGACGAGGCGGTCATCCGGCTGAGCAAGAAGTACCTGCCCGGCATGAGCGTGGGCTTCCAGCACCCCAACGTCAAGGTGCACGTCGGCGACGGCTTCAAGTTCCTGGCCGACTACAAGGATACGTTTGACGTGATCATCACCGACTCTTCGGATCCCGAGGGCCCGGCCGAGGCGCTGTTCCAGAAGCCATACTTCCAGCTGCTCCACGACGCCCTGCGCGAGGGAGGCGTCATCACCACGCAAGGTTGTAAGCCCCAACGGCGAGAATGCGCACGTGTTGAGGATTTGCTAACTGGTTTTGCTCCTATCTAGCCGAGAACCCATGGCTGCACCTGAGCATGATCGAGAAGCTCAAGAAGGACTGCAAGACCGTCTTCCCCGTGGCCGAGTACGGCTGGACCACCATCCCGACCTACCCGAGCGGCCAGATCGGTTTCATGGTCTGCACCAAGGACGGCAGCCGTGACGTGACGAAGCCGGTGCGGACGCTGAGCGATGCCGAGGAGGACAAGCTGTTCAAGTACTACAGCAAGAAGGTCCACGAGGCGGCCTTTGTCCTGCCCAAGTTCGCGGAGAAGGCATTGCGGTAATGCAAGAGGCATCCTACACACAAGGAGTATGGAGGTGTAGATGGATGGGAGGTCATGCTTATGATGATACCACTCGAGGCGTTCGTGGAGTAGCATCCTACATAGATGGATGGACGGGATAGACAAGACCAAATCGTGACAGTTCTTTCGAAAACCCCAAGCACATTCCGGCTCAGGCGCGCAGTCGAAGCTTGCTCGAGGTAGGCGATTCACGATGAAGCGAGATTGCGAGAGAACGAGATGATCTACTAGCTCACGTCAACACATGGGGCAAGCGGAGAACGGGAGGAATTGTCTGTCTGTGAGAGGTTTCTTCCCATCTGTACAATTACAGCATCTAACACCATAAGCTACAAGCCAGATCGGTCCCAACGCTCGCCGTTGAGGAGCTCAAAAAATGCCAAGGGCCGTATGCAAGCAAGACGCTCGTCCCCTCCGTTCCGCCCATGATGCCGGGCCGGGACGGTACGCATGACGTCGTCGTGGTGTGGCTCGTGTCTCGCGTCAAAGGAATCAAACATGGTATTGGGTATCTCGTCATCGTGGTGGTGGTGGTGGTGGTGGTGGTCGTCTGAAGGTCTCCTGGCGATTTCGCGGCCTAGTACTTGAGGATGATGTACAGCGCGTGGATGATACCGGGGATGTAACCCAAGCAACTGTTTGTATCATGTCAGCACGTTGATTGGTGGTGATATACACGGTGGCTGGGAGGAGAGGGAGAAAACGTACGTCAGGACGATGTTGATGAGGAGGTCGGCGCCGCAGCCACGCTCGAGGAAGACACCGAGCGGTGGGAGCAGGATGGCGAGGATGATCTTGATGATGTCGCTGTCGCGGTGGTGGTTAGCACACGTCGTCGTCGTCGTCGTCGTCGTCGTCGTCGTCGTCTGCTGGGCGCTGACGGCTAATGGACAAGAGCAGCAGCCGCGGGTATCCGAAGAACGTCGCCGTCGCGCTGCGCTCGGAGGGAGGGAAGCTTACCTTCCGGTGAAAGGCATGTTGACTAGAGTGTGGTGTGGATGTGGATGTGGAGTGAGTAGTTGGTCCTGCGGAGGAAGGGCGATTGAAACCTGTGAGATGGGGAAAACTGTTTGTTTGCTGTGGTATGTGTTGTTGTTGTTGTTGTTGTGACGGAGACGGAAACAGAGAGAGAGAGAGAGGGAGAGGCACAGAGAGAGCTCTATTTAGCGCTGGCAGCCAGCGGATGACGAGCAGCCAAGTCCAACCGTTGATGTCACTTTCCCTTGCGTTGCCAAGGCACAACCACCAAGACTGTGCACAGCTGCTGCTCTTCCCGCGCGCGGCCGGCCAATCATCCCCTGCCATTGTCGCCGCATGCAGTGCTGCGCGCATGGCCACATGAGTCTTCCTGCGCCCGAAGTCTAATCTCCCCCTGCCTGCCTGCCGTCTAAGACGAACGAACAAACAAACAACGCGTACGCTTCACAGCTCGCAGCTTGCAGCATGTACTGTGGTACCACCCTCGAATGCTTGCCTGCTTGCGCCACACATACACACACCAAGAACAAACCAAGATCCGCTTCCCCTTGGCCATGCATGCCCCGTGGACAGGAAAAATTCACCGCTGGCAGGGCGCAAACATCACCGCAATTGGAATTGAAAAGCCGTTGGGCGTCCCTGATCGAACGATGATGCAGAATGCCTGACGATCTTCGGCGACTTGGGGTTTCATCAGCCGCGAAGGGCAAGGGAAACGCAAAACACGGTGGCGCATGGTCAGCACAGCCACAGCCACAGATGCATAGTTACGTCATAGTGGCTGTGCAGGTGTTTCGTCCGCCTCTCCCTTGCAGCGTTCATGCTTCCATCGCCATGAACTTCCTCTCTAAACGGGTCGGATCTTCCAGTGCCCGTTTCAATGGGAAAGCAAGGAGCGAGATAACAAGGCTGCTAATCTACACTTTCTCGCCAGGTAACGTAAGAGCTGCAATTAGTATAACTCTTACAATAAGACCTCTATCGTCTATAATCTATTTCTACAATACTGGGTATCACATCTCTATCAAGTCCTGTTCTTCCTACTATATCACCGCAAACGATAGCCTTTCGCTTTCGCTTTCCCTTTCCCTTACCCTTCCCGACCGACGCCGAGCCAACTGGAATCCCGGAACAGCAAAACGAAACATTCCTACTTTTCGCGACACGGCTCGCTCGCTTATTAGAAACTGAACAATCCAGACCGTCTCTTTCCAAAAGGATAAACGACAATGGCGCTCAAGAATAACCCAACCGTAATCCCAATCGCCACTTGAACAACGGAATAGCCAACCGTGAACGCAATACTGTTCGATCCCTCCATTGCTGTCCCGATGGAGGTGCTGTTGACAACTGTCGTACCATTGGTGCTGTTGCCAGTAATCTGGTCCGCAGAGGCAATTCCCGAGACCAGCGATCCATTGACAGCCAATCCACTAGGGACCTGTACGAAAATGGCAGGCAACATGGCGGCAGCGGCAAGACCATACCCCACGCGTCGCACAGCAGGCTTGTAGCTGGCCGCGTCGCTCACATCGTTCATGGCGCTGCCTTCCTCCAGGCTCTTAGCACTGTGAACCCGACTCTGCGTGCCAAATACCCGTTTCCGGAAAGCTTTCCAGCGAGGACGGAGCCTTCCTTCCCAGATGTCCCAGCCGCGATTCTCGAGCCGACCACCGATGCGAGAGTACAAGTTCGCCAGGACGCCAATGGCCAATGCTCCAAGGGTGTTGCTGATTTGGGTATTCCCGGCGAAGCGCTTGGCCGAGAAGTAGTTGACTACGTAGCCGACAAAGGCGATGAGCATCATGACCGGCGCCTGCTTCCACTTGGCCTGGTTGATGACGATCAAGCACATGGTAAAGCCGGGCACAAAGAAGAAGAACCAGTATTCCGGGATCGAGTCGTCGCACGTAGTCCGGGAAGTGGCATTCTTGTCAATGATGCCGTAGACGGCGGTACCAATCGTTATTCCAAACCCCAGGAAGAGCGAGTATATGATCGCGTACACCATGCGAACGCTGCCCGCCACGATCGAGCGGGATTGCAATTCCAGAGATGCGCAAAGGACCGCATAGCCGGGCAAGATGAGCGCAATGGATGACTGCGCCAGGGCCGAGAAACAAAACAGGCGTCCGCCGTTGTAAGGAATGCTCCCAAACGCTCTCGCCAGGAAGGATGTGATGACGGCCGCCGAGATTTCGAACACGTTGGCATACAATTCTGAAGCTGGGGCGACCCAAAGTTGCAGCCAACCCAGAATGCAACCCAAGAGAAAGGCAATCGGGATATCGATCAAGCGCGCACCGAAAGCAAAAGGCCCCACACAGGCCGCTGCCAGGCCATAGACCGGCAATCTAATCCATCGATTGTGCTTAACCTTTCGAGAAGTCACCTCCTTCAGGCGTGCGTGGGCGTCTTCGACATCCAGCTTGTCGTGGATGACCTCCTTGTAGATCTCGTGCACGTCTCGAAGCTTGCCCAGGTCTAACCCGTGAGCAACCTTGACCAGCTTCACTTCGCTTGTGTGGGTTTCTCTGTCCTCGAATGACACTATCATTGCTCCCGGAATATAGAGGAACTGCGCATCAATCTCGAGCACCCTGGCGCTCATCGTCATGTATTCCTCAAGCCGATGAGTGGGAGCGCCATACTGCATCAGTGCCTTGCACAATCTCAGCAAATACTTCTGCCGTGCCAAAACGCCGGCGATGTGAGTTTCGATTTTGAACTTGGTCTGCTCTCGGGGGTGGCCAAGGCGTTGCAGTGCAGCATTGATCATGTTGCCGCTCCGAGTGCGCTTGCCCGCGCCCGGCCGCTTCAGTTCCTGCTGCTCCTTCAGCCTCTGACTGACCTGCTCCCCCAGTCCAGAGACCACGGGGGATCCGAAAGATGACGACGTCCCTACGAGCGTATTGAGAGAGCCGCTCGAGGAGTTCTTGCTCTTGTACGCAAAGTGAGGGTACCAGCTGGAAGGGCGTCCGCCTATGGGCGTCGTTGCCCCGGAGTCGGGCGGCGGAGTCGCCGGACTGGACATCGCGCTGTAGTCGCCGCTAGTATGTTTGAAATGGGCTTTTGGCATGCCCGAGGGCGAGCGGGCATGCGCACTGCCTTCATTGTACAGCTTCAGGATGGAACCCAGGATACCACCACGGTACTGCTGTGGCTTCGGTCTGTAGTCCTCCATGAAATGCTGCTCCTCGGTCGGAGTGACTGCCCCCGAGCGTGTGCCAGGAGTGATGTACCCAGTCGGGGAAGCCTTGCTGTGGAACACATTCTGGGCAGCGGTGTGTCTTCTCACGAGATTGGCTGCTTCAACCTGCGATTTCCGCTGTTTTGTGTGAGATGGAATGACGTCCTCATCCCCAGAATCTGGATCATTCAACTCTCGCAACGGTATACCATCGGAGAGGATGCTGGGTATTCTTTGAGGCGACGACGATCTCGAGCCCGGTGCAGAGCTAGCCATGCGCTCGGCATGCAACTTGCCTCTCTCGTGGGCGATTCTAGCACTTCGCTCTCGCTGTCCTCCATCTTCGGGGCTTTCATAGATTGGCTCTTCGAACCGACCCGTCGAGTTGCCCCGTCGAATTGCAGGCCTCGGGCGCGGCACATCCAAGCTGCGACTGATAGCGCCTCTAAGCTGTTCCGTCTGTTGCTGAGACAGTTCTGGTAAATGTGACTTGTCTGTGGCTGGGAGCAATAAGTCTCCGCTCCCATGCCGCGTGTGATGCCCGGTCGATGGCGTGTTGCTTCCGCTGCCACCAGGTGAATCATAGTTGGGACTCGAGAATGGCGGACTGTTATTACCGGGCGAACGCGATCCGTCGTTGGAGGCATCTACGAGACTCGATCGCTGACCAGAGCCCGAATCCGCACCGCTGAAGCCGACTCGTTTCTTTCCCTTTGGTGGCCTGTCTGCTGGTGCTGACGGGGTGGTGCACTCGGCGCTCGTCACAGCGCCACTCGAATCTTCTGGCGATCTGGCTGGGGAACCGGACATGATGGCTCGCGCATCGCTGAGAGCGTCCCTATGCTCTTCCGGTGAAGTGCTCATGATGGGTCTTGCTTGTCCTGAGCTGCAGCCCAGGACCTTGGCGTCGTCGAACAATCAACGTCTATTTCGAGAGACAAGCCGGATGCGGTGTCGTGTTGAGAATTGGCGGATCTTGATCGAAAGAGGCGACGGCGGGGCGAGTTTATGAACAAAGGAATGTGTCTAGTAGAAGCGAAATACGGGCTGGGGTTGCCAGAAGCCGAAGCCCGACGGCAATTGTGCTTGCGACAGTCGATGCTGAATACAAGTGTTCTGGAAGGCGTGGACTGGGAGCGCACAGTCGTATGTGAGATGCGAACGGGTGTGGGTGGTAGTCTAGCGTTGGGTACCAAGGTACCTGGGAGGCGAACTTGAGGATGCGCTGCGAAAATGCCAGAAGTGTTTGCTGAGAAGCTAATGGTAAGCGGCGGATAAGGTAAAGTGTGCAGAGAGGGACGGATAGACGGGCGGCGAAAGAAAGGGTGAGGTACGGTGAGAGGGAGAGGAGTGGCGGGAGAGGGAGAGGGAGAGAAAAGAGAGATGAAGGGTCGGGTGTATCAGGTCGACGACGTGTTGTGGTGTTGTCGGTGACGGATGCCAATGATGCTGCGGGAGGCAGTTGGCGGGTGGGTCTCTGTGCCTGGAGAAGGGAAGGAGGACAGGACCACAGGACAGTAGTGGACAGCAGGCACGACCACAGTTCTGTGGTTTGGCGATGGCGACCCACCACACACCACACACCACTTGACCACCTACGGTACGGTACCTACAACACTGCATCAGTGATGATGGACGGTGGGGCATACCACTCGCACGCGGCTATCGGATCGGGCGCCGCCATGGAGGCACAACCTCCTTGCTGTCCTTGCCTCCTGGACGAGCTCGTGCCGCATGTGCATTCCAGCGACCTGACACGCAATGCAAATGCGACCCGAGAAAGCGGCGACGCTCTGATCTCTCACACGAGCCCTGGCCATTGCTTGGTGCGGCTTCGTATCTCTGGCCCCAGCCAGCCAAAAGCAGACCGCCGGGCGATTCGACGGGCGTCAGCGTTCGAACGGGAGGCAGCCGTTTGGATGGGAGTCGGCTCAGCGTTCTTCGACAGGAGCCAAAGCGGTGGGTGGTGCATGTCGTGGTCGAAGAATCAGCAGCAGCAGAGGGAGAGAGAGAGAGAGAGGTCGTTGAGCTTGCATGTGCACAGGCGTCTGGCCGGCTTGCCGCAATGGGACATCCGGCCAGGCGTGGTGGGATCCGTACGGGCCCACGGCGCTCCCAACACACACTCGACTGCAGGGCAAGCACCACCTCACACACCTCCTGTGCTCCCGTCGGTGGAACGGCGTCTTCACACGTGTTAAACCCTGACGTTGTGTCCAGGTCGTCGTACCTACTGTGGTACGTACCAGACTCGGCTTCGTGCCCTGCTTATCGTCGTCTTATCTGCCTCTCATTCTACGTCAACTCGCACCTTCCCAAAAATAATCAAAACTCCATCCCCTGCCAAGCCACTATCCACCAGACGCCAAGAACGTCGATCACAGATCCACCGTGCATGACCCGCCCTCTGCCATGTCTCACTCCTTGGACACCCAACACCCTCTCTACTACCACTTTGCGCATCAACTCCATCGCTTCTCACTGCCATTGCCGCCGGACTCCGAATAGCCACTATCTTTCGCGCTGACAGTCTCATCGTCGTCTTCAAAATCAATGTCGAATTCTGCCTCTTTCTGTCTTCCCTCCCTCTCCTCGTTCTCCGCCATATCCGCACCGTCTCCGTCGCCCTCGCCGCCAGCACCACCCGCCCATCCTTTCTGCTCCGCCGCTCTCGTGTTCCAGCGCAAGGTTCGGGAGATGCTATCAAACCATTCCAAGGGCTGGCCCATCACCGTCGGGAAGGGGTATCGAGACGCGCGAACGACCACTTCGTCGCCGCGACCGAGCTCCACGCGACCTTTGCCGTCGAATGAGACGAATGCCCCACCGCGTCCAGAAGAGGGTATGGCGACTTTGAGAGCCATATCATCGTTCAGTAGCATAGGTCGGAAGGATAATGTATGTGGACAGATAGGCGTCAGGAGAATGGCAGGTATGTCCGGATGGACCAGACTCCCTCCAGCGCTGAGAGAATACGCCGTGCTCCCCGTGGGCGTACTGAGAATGATGCCGTCGGCGCTGATGCGAGTGAGGAGACTGTCGTTCGCGTAGAGATCGAGACTGGAAATGTATGAGCTTGGGCCGCGGTCAATAACCAGCTCGTTTAGGACTTCATGCGTTTCGCCCTCGATCTTGGGTGATTGCGGCTCGCCACCGTACTGGCTCGCGGTCGTGGACTGGCTCGCGGACGAAGCTGCGGACGAGGCTGTTACTGACGACGCTGCAGATCGGTACACCGTGCATGTAAAGCGCATGCGTAAGTTCACTCGCATGCCATGATCACCCATGATCCGGTTGAGCTGATCTTTGTACTTCTCAAAGTCGAAATTCGTGAGGAAGCCCAACGAGCCCAGGGCAAACGCTAGGACCGGGGGAACGATGCGCTGAAAGAGCCAGGAAGTGAAGAGCACTGTGCCGTCGCCGCCGAGCGTGATGACAAGATCAAACAGTTCCGGCCTTTCCAGGCATAACGCAGGTGTCCAGAAATGCAGCATATCTTTAAATCTCTCATCTCGTGCCAAGAGCGAGTCAAGGTCAAATCGCTTCGACTTCTTCAACTTGGAGTCTACCCACACGTTGACACCAATGTGCTTGCCGTATCTGGGCGTTGCAAGCAAGAACTCGCTCAACTCTCTCGTAAGAGTAACCAGCGTGTTGTCCCTTGCTTTCGTGATCACCATGACGTTCTTCACCGCGCGCTTCAAGGGTCGTCTTTGCAACTGTCTGGACACCTCCCTCACCGACGCTGCGGTCTGCATAAGCCGACTATGGCTCAGCTGATCATCACCTCGAATCTCTTCCAACACTTTCTGGATGTCCACTGCATCCCCGAAGCGCTTATGAAAGTAGCACGGGCTTGTCAAAGCTGCCAGTCGCGCAATCGAGGGCGTATCGGAGCAGATGTTGAACCTCGAAGAAATGGCCGCAGTCAAGTCTTGTTGTTCCCGTGGTGTCCGCGACCGTTTCTCTTCCAGCACCTCCTCAGCCGCGGCCTGCGCTGCGAAGACTCGCGGGGCGGGCATCGGGATTCGCGCGGCGCCAGTGGAGAATCGTCGCGGGGTCAACTCGACCTGCGGAAAGCCGTCGAGGCGATCAAAGGAGTCCTTGCGGATGGGCGTCCGGGCGAGTGCTTCTCCCATGGCCGTCTTGCCGTTACCGTTGCCGTTGCCATTACCATTGGCGGTGCCGTGGCCGTGGCCGTGGCCGTTGCCTCTCCTCTCCCCATTGTTTGGTGTGCCCGGGTAGGAATCCCGATCCTCCATGGTGATTATTCTGGCCGTGTGTATGCGCTGCGCGTCGTAACGTGAGAGAGGCTGTCGCGATAGGTAGTCGGTTCGGTGTCTCTGCGGGTGAGTGATGATTAAGCGATTGTTTATCGCACGATGAGGTAGGGTTCGTCGGGGTTAGCGGACATGCCAGATCCGCGAGACGTTATAGGGGAGCGTCGCGGGAGCGCTCGGCGTGAGGGATGCTGACGGCCACGATGATGCCATGAGGAAGGGAGAAGAGCAGGAGGAAGGGAGCGGTGGTGGTGTTGTTGAAGAAGGATGAGGTTGCGGGCATGGTGGCTTACCGCCGATAATGCTCCACGGGGCTGTCCCAGGCCCGAGTCCGCTCTCGCCGACGGCCGTTACAACAACACCATGTTGCGACTGCCCATCGCCGCCAACGAACCGATGCTCTGGAAGAGGAACTCGGGTGCGTGAACGATTCGGTATCCGACCCCGTGATGAGATGCCATGCTGCCAGCCGACGAGATCATCTCCCGAGGTCGGACGAAGAGAAGGCGACTACATGTACTCGCCATGCCATGTCATACAGGCAGACTACGGTGGACAGTATTCCGCATCGGCAGGCTGCCTCTGGTGGTGCATGTATCAGTGAGCGCTTCGAATCATTCCAAAGAGCCGCGTCGATCGAGTTTCCGCTTCTGTCGCTGACTCGTACGCCATCATTCACATTGCGCCTACTAGTAGCACACTGGCTCGAGCCACGTTTTGCGCGAACGCACTTGTATTCTCTGGAATGGTCTGTCGTGATATCTGTGTCTAAAGCTCAAAGCCCAGAAAAACGCCCTCCATGCACTCGCTCACTGCTTGTTGGCCTGAGCCTGGGCCTGCTTGTCCAGCTCGCTCTCCACGCCACGCTGGAGCGTCTTGCCCTTGTCGTGCTGCTCGGCAGCCCGACGCTGGGCCTCGCGATCACCCGTTACGCCAGCGACCGCACCTCCAACTGCCCCCGACATCCTGTCCTTGATACCACTCCCCAGGTCGCTCAGTTGTCCCTGAGCCTCCTGTGCCTTGCCCTGCTGGTTCTGCTTCTGCCCTTCCTGCTTCAGGCCTTCCATCCCGAGAGCACCGCCAACAAACTGATTACCAGTATATCAGCATCAAAACTCGTCCTGTAGGGAATAGGACGTACCTCCTTGCCAGACCCAATCGTCTGGTTCCACGAGCCGTCCTGGCGATTCGGGTCGTTCTGCGCAACACCCGACGCAGAGACAGAGTATCCGCCTACTGTTCCTCCGGTGTGCGAGAGAGCATCTTTAGCCTCGGCTTCCTTCTTGCGTTCTTCGGCTTGACGCTGGTCAGGCTGGCTGCCGGTCAAGCTGCCGATGGCACTCTGCACAGCGCCGGTAGCAGACTGGAAACGAACGTCTGTTATTAGCCTACAGTTTCTCCTCAATATGATCCTTGCATTGCAGCGAGCCTTACGTCGACGTAGGATTGCAAGGTCGAGGTATTCTTGTCAGACATGGTCGCCGTGTGATCGAGGGGTCGTGGTCCGTATCAGAAAGCTTCGCGATTCGGAATCGTTCGTCGATGGGGCTTGTTGTTTGGAGGCTGCTGCTGCGATCTCGGTTGTTCGTCGCTGGTTTGTGAGAAGTAAGGTAGGGAAGAAGTTGTAGCCAACTGTTCTGCGCGCCTGCCTTTAATTCATTCACACCGGGGCAACGCGTTCCTCACATGCCCCACCTACGTGACTTCCCGTTGGTCAGGTTGTGCGCGAACCACTGCTACGTCATCTTGCGCCTGACAGCGTCCTGGTGTCCTCGATCAGAAGGGCACCACTCACACGTGTGCCCTGACGAGAAATAGTGATCACCTCCCATCTATCATCATTCCACAGAATTTAGGTATGCAGACGACAGATCTAGACCAACGCCGTCTTCTTTGATTCCATACAACGCACTGGCAAAGCATTGCAGTTGGGGCGATTGAGTCACTTTTCCCCATTCATGAGACGGCTATACAAGAGACAACTAGCTACTGTCATCAGACATCATTGGTATAGAACAGATTCATCATCATAAGAGGCCTCCAATATTCCCTTTCCAGACAGCCAAAACCCAAAGCATCCAAGCCGCATCCAAGCCACGCCCAAGCCTCACCAAGTAGTACAACAGATACCTTCACTACAGATTCAATCCACTAGTCCAACCATCTCCCAACGTCAAATCGTCTCCCTGCGGCAGTACGATCCCCCGGAATTCAGCTTGAGTGCTGCCGCTCTTGCCCGTCGTCCAATCACCTGTGAAGTCTTCAGAGCTGCTCAAACCCTCGTCGGCGGAGGAGAAGCTCAGAATACTTCCCGCGGTATGAGCGCCGCCACCGGGGGTCAAGCCTGAAGAAGAACTCGTGTTGGTGTCGGTTTGACAGATAGCCCATAGGTCGCCGTTCCACGCGATTGATGCAGACTCGGCCGACGCAAGAGCCGGCGTAGAAGCGTTGTTGCTGCTAAGTCCGAGAGAGGGCGCGTTGAGAAGCGCATCGACGGGTGGGCCGCCGTAGCAGGCATCGTAGATATTCGTCTCGCCATTGTCCAGGGAGCCGAGGAGTTTCTCCCAGTCGGTAGGGCCTGGTTCGGGTTTGATGAGTTGTGTGGTTCGAGAAGGCGGAGGAGATGGGGTGTCGGGTTCGTTGCCAAAGGAGAGGTAGTCGAGGTTGGGAAGCTTCTGAGCAGTATTGCGAGTTTTGTGTTGCGATCTTGGCGTTGCGGCAGGACGGGCGTTGTTGATAGTAGGGCCGGGTCGGGAGTACATGTTAACGGGGCTTCTTGCAGGTTCGGAGCGGGAGGTTGACGATGGAGCGTAGGTTGGGGGCTGCAAGGACGGCTGGCTGTGTGTCTGTTGATTGTACGGGAGGAGGCTGATGTTATGAACGGTTGCTCTCCGGCTGCCATCAGAAGCATCCAGCTTGGGAGTCTTGCTGTTGGCGGTGAAGCGGGATGCAATTGCTTTGAGCTGCTTCCTGGTCGAAGACGGCAGGGATTGGGTACCGTCAGAATTGTGTCTCGAGAGCGAAAGCATCTTGGTCTTGGGCACAGGTGGCGGGCTTGGTCGAACTGGCATAAACGATGTAGCAACCTTTTCAAATTGGGCGGCGCAGGGCGCTTTCGACTTGGTGAGCGTGTCGATAATCACGGACAGCATTTTGCTGTTGTCCCGCAGGATCTTCGAGTTAGGGTCGAGACCGAGACCTTGGAAGAGCAAGCCGAATCCAGCGAGCACCAGCATTTCGTCGCGGTTGAGGCAGAAGGAGAAGCTCATGCCCCTCTCATCGAGCAATTGAATGATCTGAACGATGTGTTTGCAGGAACTCGCCGTGGCCATCACTGATGATTGCGACCTGGCACCTAACGAAGCGCAAACCGCCGGTCGATGGATCAAGGCTCGGATGTAGTGATATGTGAGCGAGAGAAGGGGCGAGCGGCTGCTGATGGTGCCGGTACTTGGCTTGTCCTGCGCAATGTCAGTAAACATGGTCTCGGTGGTAACGATGCTCTCGCGAAACCTACCTGCGCAAAGTGCAAACGGAGATGAGATGGCAAAGAATTGATCCAGTTATCCAACTCGTCGGAAAGCTCACTCAGCTTCTTCAGTGACAACTCGTACGAAGCTTTGGCCGGAAAGACCTCCTCCAGTACCTTTGACAGAATTCTGGACGCGCGGAAGAGGGCCAGCGCGCTGGAGAGTTTTGTCGATTCGCCGGGAAGAGTAGGCTGAAAGCCCCGTTCGGTGACATATTCGTCGTCAGCGTCAATGGGAATCTCGCAGCAGACATCCTCGTCCTTGATGTGTTTTGGAAGGCCAAGAAGGACTGCCGTGAAGCTATCGACGGCGTACAGGGACCAGAACACTTTCTTGCGAGTCTCGCACGCCAGCGTGCCCAAGGCGAAGCGCTTCTGAGATTGGTGAAGTCCAAGACGAGCGGACAGGGAGGTCGACAGTCCCTTATATGTCGCTAGCCTGGTGAGATCCCCTTGCTGGATACAGAAGAGCTGAGCCAAGATCAATGCCTGGAGAGTGGCCATCGAGTTCTCGGTTATGATGGCATCAATCGCCGATTTCCATTGGCTCTCGAAGCTGTCCAAGTCTGCCGAGGATCTTGTACCATCCGACAAAGCTGCAATACCGAAGACCAGGTTCAGCTGGGCGATCTCCGCTCTGTCGGTAACCGAGTCGAAATCGGAGCAGAAGCGTTCGTACAACGTCAGGAAAGTAGGTCGATGCAATATCGGAAATAGTGGCGCCCATTCTTGGAAGAAGATGTTGACAAACTGGTCCGAAACAAGTCTCGGTGGAGCCTTGTAGATCACAGGCGACTTTGGCGTCGATACTGCAGCGTCCGAACCTCTACGGGCACTGTTGGAGAGCAGAGCTCCAGTGTCAATATCCGCTGTTGATCTTCCACTCTCCTGCACCCGATGCTTGAAAGCTTCAATGAAGGTCCGCACACTCGAAGTTCCGCTAAAGTATGAATCCGACCCTTCCTCGTCCAGCAGATATGGCGATTGCTGCACCTTGAACATGTCATCCTTGGGCGGAGTATCGGCGTTTCCAACCGGAGAATTCAGCTCCACTGTTGTTGAAGGTCGTCGCGGCGACGGCAGCTGAATTGGGTGTGCTGACTGGGAGTGTATCCGCGATAGCATATCAATCTTCTCGTCCTTCTCGTCTAACAGGTCCTTCAGCTCTCTGACCTCCGCCTCCAAAACCCGTACCCGCTCTTCTAGCGATTCCGTGTAGCCTCTTGGGAACGCTCTCCTGCTCAATTTGTCGCTCGTCTTGCATTCAAAGCCCACATTGGCACACTGCGAGCAACATGGTCGGACGCCGTCGCATCTTATCTTCTTGCTGCGGCAGCTACGGCGACCCTTATCAGCAAGTGTTTCGGGTGGACGACAGCTCCATTTGCACCTACCGATCGCAGGCCTGAGCAATTCTGGTCTGCGCGTTGACGCCGACCTTGATGACCTTCATTGGAAGAATGCCGGGCATGGTGGGCAACGAAGACCAGTGAGCACTGGCTGCGATGTAGGTAAAGTAGAAACGCTGACCGACTCCTGGGGATCGAGTGGAGACGTTCCGGTCGGCATGCGACCGCGGTGCTGGCGGTTGAGTCTATTCTGCAGGCACCCAAGCTGTCGCCGGCAAGCAAAGACCAGGTCGCTCCGTCGAGAGGCGGTTGTAAGACGGACAGTGCAGGAGTAAGTTATGAATGCGTGGTAGGCCATGGCGCAAGTCGAAAGACAAGAAAGGAAGAATCCGGGGCAGCAGCAAGGGTAGCACGCTAACGCTTCCTCACACGATCACTTTGCGGAGTAGGTACGTCCACTAGCGCTCGACGTGGAGCTTGTGGTTGGGCAGCGCTGCGATAAGCTTCATCCACGCTGCCATAGTGCTGCCGGAAGTGGGGACGTCACCCAGGCTCTGCGCATTGCTGCTCCAGGACACCAATGAACCACCCTGAACCTTCCAGTCCACCGAAAGTATCCCGAGCTACACTCGCCGTGGCACTCCAGTCTGGGGGAACGTTCGGAAGGGCTGACCAGCTTGACCCACGGTCTCATCCCTACGAGCGAGCATTGTCCACTCCGGCTGCAATTCACTGGTCGATAGCTTTATTGCATCGAATGATGAGCAGCAGCAACCGACGAGGAAGCTGCCCAGCTGCTTTCGGTGGCGCAACAAAGACCCAAAGACCATCGGCTCGGCGAGGCTAGAAGGTCAGAAGGCTTCCACTCCTTATTTGTCAAGTTCGACCTCCAGCTAAGGCAACATGACCTCACAAGGCACGCGCAAGGCAGAGCAGTTCATTCCGCACGTCGTCGATGCGTTGGAAAGAAGCAGTTTTCTCGGCACGCTGCATGGCGCAGATTGTGTCCATCTCGGGATTGAAATCGCATCTGTCGAGGGATCCCAGCATCCACCGTACGGAACTGGCCCCTCGAAACTCGATTGGGACGTTTGCAACGCAATGTCCAATTGCGGGGTGCATCTTCATGCGCGCTCGCAACCACGTCCGAGCCAGGCGTAAAGAGTGTAGTATACGCAGGCACGGCAGCCGCAACTTTCGTTCGTTCGCATACTTTCGACCTGTGTCGCTAGCTGCAGTATCTCCACAATGCGTGGCTGCCGTTCAGATAGCCGTTGCGGAGAGCACGACGATCATGAAAAGTCTTCTACAGGCTCATCGACCGTGTTCGATGTACCCATAGAGGTCAGATACTGTTGAACGATAGATGTTTCTGCAAGCTCGATTTTCTACGAATCGGGGTTTGTCAGCATTAATAATGTCTCGACGTGTTTCGTGGAGGATGTAGCTGCATGACAGCCACGAGAGCTTCGCCTGTCCAATCCGAGGTTCTGGACCGCGCCGTGCAACTTGCTAAGGTCGGAGGGACTCACCTGTTTCTCGAAGTCCTCGTAAGCCTTGTTCAATAACTCGAACTCCAAGCTTCTCAGCTTGAGGGCTTGTTGGTACTGTGGCTCACGGATTCCAGTTCCATCGCCATGCGGCGTTGCCTCGACGGCGTCCTGTGAACCATACAGGACCTGTAGCTGATCAAAGACCCGTTGCTGGAGGATGACCATGGCGCGCAGCCTATACACAGGCCATAGCTGGCTCTGGACAAGGTGCCGATGCAAATCGCTGGCCCCGCGCTTGAGCTCTTGTCCGTTGAAAGTGGCCTGCAGTTCCTCTTGTCCATCGACAGTTCTGGCAAGCTCGAACTCAAGCCCATCTTCAGAGCCCACGCAGAGAAGCCAGATGAAATCTCCACTCCAGTCGATGTCGCCTCCGGTCTCTTCATTTTGATGGCTCCTCTTCTCGGCAGGGACGGGTTCGCCACAAACATCGATGATCTTGAAGCCTGGAGCGCAATCTGCGACTTTCATCTTGGCCGATTTGGAGACGTCGCTGTCGGGGATCATCAGGCTAAGGAAAAGAGTCTCCGCCGTATCCATCTGTTCCTCAATAAACCCGTACGAGAAGAGCATTTCGCAAGCTCCCTTTTCGTCTCCGTAGGTGATGCAGATCTCGTCGCCCTGCTTCAATTCTTTGCCCTCCATGAGCCGCAGAAAATAGGAGCTTGAGATGGGTTAGCTATGCGGCCGGAACTGAGCATGTATACATACCCTTCATTTCTATCGTAGAACGCAGAAGTCCTGTCTCCAGCAGCGTGGCTCGCGAGGTCCATGCCCGGTATCATACAGGACCCGTAGAAGTCTAAAGCTCGCGAACGAAACATAGCATCGACCTGCATCCAGTCGTCCAGGTCCAGGAAGGGCTCGACTAATTTGAACCAGCGTGTGTTGGCTGCAGAGGAATATAGGAGATCATACTCGCGTTGTAGGCTCTTCAGTTTTGAGGAAACGGCAGGTGCCAATGTCGTCCCTACCAGCAATTGCAATTCTTCTGAGGTCCAGAATGTCGGGAGTATTTCACAAGGCAGCGTCTTGACATAGCTGCAAACAATTTAGCGCTGTCCAGTGTGGGACTCGTTTTGGGAATTCGATGAGTGAATCGAGAATGGACAACGTAGCAAGACCCTATACTGCCAGCACTTTTGGAAAGTAATGTGCACGTACTCTGTAAATGCAGTGTGGACGCCTACACGTTCTGAGAGATTCGGACAGGAGATGGTCGCTTGAAACAGCAGAAAGGATAAAATACTCCCTCGTGGTGTCTGCACACAGGTCAGCACGACGCCAACTTCTCTTGGGACAATTGTCAAAGTAGTCCTTCATAGTAGAGCGAAGTGATCGAAGTGCATACCCTGTGACCAAGAAGATTGCGCTGAAGAGGACTGTAAGATAGCAAGAACGAATCAGGCGGGAAGTAGAAAGGGCCAACCTACCGTGCCGAATTCGCCCAGGCTTTCGAGGAGTTCTCGGAAGTCTTTGTCGAAAGAGGCATGCTGTTTTACGGCGTCTATGGACAGGACGAGGTCTTCGGCGAGCTCCAGGATCTGGCATGGCTTCTCGGCGGGCTCGGATCTGATGTCATGGTCCGCAAGAAGCCCAATACCGCGACCCGGGATGAAGGTAGGAGAGGCATTGGTGAATTTGATGCCACTAGCCGCCGCCCATTTCTGTACCGCATCGACATCGAGATGAAGCCATCCCTCTTGTTTGCCGCGACGGACTATCATCCCAGCGAGGGTGGTGTTGTTGGGTGATCGTACGTAGATCCTACTGGCGACTGAACGAGTGTGGCGAGCAGGCGGCAAGTGATGTCGCAGTGGATGTGAAACGGCGGAGAGACGAAGATGGTTGGAGGAGGTGGTGTTGTGCAGAAGAAGTGTGCATGGCACGAGCCAGGGTCTTGTCGCGTGTAGACTTTGCGGCCCGCCGGCGCCGGGACCGGGGCAGCATGGCGTCCGAGCTTGTTGTTGTTTTGGGAAGTCCATAGCAACCAAACATCCGTGAGCTCGTGGAGAAAATACCGTACCATAATACCTTACGCACTCCATTCTTGTTGTGCAACGCCTCAACACCCACATCCATACTACTCTCGACATCCTCTTCGCCGACGATATTGCTTGCCTCGTTCGCCGCATGTGCTTGCCACGATTACTCTGCCCAGTCTCCCACTCCAGATAACGTCTGGCCGCGAGGGGAACCCGCCCGCATCATCGGTGCATTATACATCTGTACCATCCCGCAGCGAGCGGCGCACCACACGACAGCATCCTCACACCAACAGCGCTACAGCAAGACACACACACAGCAACATTCCAGCAGTAAAGCAGTTGAGGAAGGCACCAAGAGGCTGACATGCCTCATCATTCCCGCCACAGCCAGGCCTCGCCGCAGGTGGAGGTGCCTTCCGCCATCACCAGCTATGGGCAGGTGATTGAGTACATCCAAGGTACGTGTGTCCCCGAATACGCACGCTGTTCACATACATCCTTCGCTCTGGCGCAGCATCACTGACTGTGTCCACTCGTGGATATACAGACCGCCTGTATCTCGCGTCGTACACCCATCCGCCAGACGAGACTACGCCCTTCCCGTATCCTCCCAAGCAAACTCGCTCTCCCGGTAAACGCTCCTCGCGAGCGCAAGGCGCCAGTGCATCTGGCCCTCCACCCTATTACTTCTGTGTCGACCAGAGCTTGCTGTACAATGCCTTCTATGCCGACTTTGGCCCTCTGCACATTGGTCACCTCTATCGATTTGCCGTGCAGCTGCACGAAGTCTTGGGTCACCCAGACAACGAGAACCGGTCTGTCGTCTTCTGGAGCAACGCGGACGCGAAGAGTGTGTATCACAATGTGGACAAAAGTTTCCCAAGCCTATGTGTACTGACCATCATCTCAAGGTCGAGCAAATGCAGCATGCATCCTCGCGACATACATGGTCCTGATCCAAAACTGGCCACCGCATCTCGCGCTTGCTCCCATTGCCCAAATGGACCCACCATGCATGCCTTTCCGCGATGCTGGCTACAGCCAGGCTGACTACTCGCTCACAATCCAAGATGTCGTCTACGGTGTCTGGAAAGCCAAAGAGGAGGGTCTCGTTGGTCTGAAGGAGTTCAGTCTGGAGGAGTATGAGAAGTACGAGCGCGTGGACATGGGAGACTTCAACTGGATATCTCCTGACTTCCTGGCATTCGCGTCACCACAACACCAACCGACCCACGTCATTACGCCAGGCGACCCGATGTACTCGCAACTCCCACGTTCAGTGTCAGCTGTCAACCGGGACAAGTCTCTACCGACCCCCTTCAGGAACGTACTGACCCACTTCGCGCAACGTGGCATTGGCTTGGTCGTACGATTGAACTCTGAGCTATATTCACCGAGCTACTTCACTGCACTCGGCATCAGGCATCTGGACATGATCTTCGACGATGGTACATGCCCAACCCTGAACCTGGTGAGAAAGTTCGTGAACTTGGCACATACAATGATCAACGACAAGCACAAGGGTATCGCAGTGCACTGCAAGGCAGGTTTGGGTCGCACGGGCTGCCTCATTGGTGCATACTTGATCTATCGCCATGGCTTCACCGCGAACGAGGTTATAGCATACATGCGTTTCATGCGGCCTGGCATGGTCGTCGGCCCACAGCAGCATTGGCTTCATCTCAATCAGGGTACCTTTCGCGAGTGGTGGTTTGAAGACACTATGCGCGAAAAGATCATGGCTTCGATGCAGCCAGCTACTCCGACAAGACTGCAGAACTCCAACAGACGTTTGGCGAGCAACGGCCAGACCTTTACGCCACCCAATGGCGACCGCCACGCTGGAAGCCCACGTCGCGCACTCGGCGAGATCACCAACAACGAGGGAGCAACAAGCCCGCATGTTGCGTACAATGCCAATGACGAACGGAAGGGTAGCCTGGGGGTTGCCGACGAAAACTTGCCCGCGCCAACGCCCGGGCAGCCACGGAAGACCAATAAGCTGTACGGAGGCCGTCGAATCGTGACAGAAAATCAGCCTTTCGGTTTGAAGCCCGACGGTGAAACGGTGTCTGCTCAACAAACGAGAGCGAGCGCCGATCCCAGCGAGATTGAGGGAGAACAAGCTGTGCGCATGCTTTCACGCAAGGGCAGCAACTCTCCTGTGAGCCGCAGTGGCAAGCGTAGGGCGGTGTCATGCACGACCACGACGACCACGACGACCAAATGGGACGTACCGACCGATAGCGACGCGGAGAATCGTCCTGAGGTGATCGACGAACATGATCTGCCCAAGATGGATCAGAGTGCCAGCCCCAGCCGGCCGCCAAAGACACCGAGCGCGAGGAGTGGTAGTGGTGTAGGGTCCCTGAGCGTGAGCAAGCGCTCCTCGCCAACTCGACGCAGCACAGAAGGCAAGACCAGCGTGCGCAAGACCAGTGGCCGCGTTGGCAGTGTGGGCACTCAGCGCTCGCATAAGAGCTCTTGAGAGAGATCGAGAGTCTGCGTTTGAGCGGCATTTTGTTTATGTTTCACGGTCTCGTATGAACAATCATGGCGCGGCGCTGGTGGATGATGGGATGGGCCTCTTTGATTCAGGGAGATGATTCGGTGTAGTTGCGTGATGACTGGTGGTGTTTCAAATCGATTTTCGCATGCGTTACGAGGGAGGCGCCACTCTTACTCTTGGATTGGGAACGGAAGCATCTGGGCGTCGGGGGGTACAGCAATCCTGGTTTTCTCTGCAGATACAAACACAAGCAGCAAAGCGACTATGACTATCTACGATAGACGTCTTCCTTGCCAGTGACTTTGTCCAATACTACATTCCACTCGCTACATAATGATATGAACTGCTCCCTGGCGCCAATCCGATGAGGTGAAAATTAAGCTCCTGGTCCCTTGCAGCACTATCTAACATCGACACAACATTACCCCTGGAATTGAGAATCTGTCTATTCCCATTGACCCGGACCAAGGTCGACCGGCTTGCCCTGATACATACAGTCCATGACCCAATCGATCGTCCAGGGCTCGTACTTGTAGCCTGGCGGGAAGTTGGGCGGGACGTCGCTCTCGTCGAAGCGGATCCCCTTCTGCATGTTCTCCACATTGCGCTCGTAGTATTCGTAGGCGTACTTCTCCGGGTCGTGGCTCCACACCCACTTGGGCAGCTTCGGCTGCGCGCGTCGCGGGTCCAGCTTGACTTTGGTCCAGTCCGTCTCCTGGAGGAGCTCGGCGTTGGAGAAGCCCAGCTTCTGCGCGCAGGCGTTGCGGATGAAGCGGAAGCGGATGTGGGAGCGGACGGCTTCCGGGATTTTTTCGGCGGAGCCGCAGAGTTGCAGGCAGGAGGCGAGGGAGACGGCGTCTTCGATGGCTTGTGTGGCACCGTTGGAGGAGGCTGGGAGGTAGGAGTGGGCGGCGTCGCCGATCTGGACTACGCGTGCGGAAGGCGAGGTCCATGATGGTTGAGGGTCGCGCCAGAGGAGCTCGAAGTTGACGATGGTGTTGGGTGGTGTGCATTTGACGAGGTCTTTGAAGATGGGCGCCCAAGGGTTAGGACCAACACCGTCGTCCATCTTGGAGAGAACCTCGTCGCTGTCAATCTTGTTGTTCCAGTTCTCGGATGAGGAGCCAGTCGCGTTGTGGTTCATGATCCAAATCATGGTATCAGGGCGAGTGAGGGTGAGAGCGTATGTTCCTGGGCCGAGGAAGGTTCGGACAATGGGGTTGGTGTTGTCTGGGCCAACCAGCTTGAAAAACTCCTTGACCTCGGGGTTCTTGTCGAGATGCTGTAAAGCGTCAGCTTCAATCGACCAGAGATATTTATTCCATACTGCTCACCTCCTTGGGGAAAGCAGCACGCCACATGGCTCTGCCTGAGGGTCTTGCCCTGACTTGACCGCCAACCAGCTTTTGCGACTTGGAGCCGACTCCATCAGCAGCGATAACCACATCTGCCTCGTACGTCTTGCCGTCGTCCGTGGTACATCCGCCCTTTCCGCGAGCCTCATCTTCAAAGTAATCAACCACACGACGGTTGAACTCGACGTTCACACCAAGCTTCTCCACCTGCTTGACGAACATCTTGTAGATCAAGGGGCGCATCTGAAAGGTTCCAGGAGGAGTGTTGGGATCCAACCCAGCATCTCGCAATCGCTCGGCGACCGAAAGGGGCGCCACCATCTGTTCTCCGCTGTGCTTGAAGGTCTCGATCCATGCATTGTGAAGGCCGATCGAGTCATATTCAGCCTTCATCTCGGGCCAGTGCTTGAAGAATCTCGTCGCACTGAGTCCCATGAAGTACATGTCTCCTTGGGTGTTGATATCCTCGTTGCGCTCCAGAACCCGGACATTGTGGCCTTTGCGAGTGCACTCAATGGCAGCTGTCAGCCCAGCAAGCCCAGTGCCGACAATCAGGACGTCGATGCCAGTTGGAGGGTAGGAGCCCACTGGCTTGATGTCGCTGTGGGTGCCATTGGCTCCATTCGTTCCGTTAACTCCGTTAGCTGCCATGATGAGGAGGATGATGGTTGGAAAATGAAGGTGCAGACTGATGAAGAAAAGGGCACAAAGACAAGGCTCGCAACATATTTTGCAACAATCAGGAGCTCGCGGATGTCCGGTCGCCGTCCGCCGACTTCATCATCGACATACCAACGGGTGTGTACCTGCATTGCCCCCAAACCTTGAGAGCTGTCTTGCTCCGTAGCACTTCCGAGGGCCCCTGCCACGCGGTCCGTCCACCGCGTACATGCAGCACCAGCACGGGAGCCAGTGGATCGCTTGTATGACGAGCACATTGACGGGCGTTGGGAACTGCCGCCCACTGTGCGGGAGGAGACGTTCATGATCTTTCACGTATAACGCGAGACAGGGCATAACAAGAGTCGCTATGCGATGCTTGTCGATGGTTGTTATGGAGGTCAATGGCTGTTCTGCCATTCTGGTTGCATGGATGGACCACGGCAAGATGTGCAGACCTGATCGGTATCGACCGCAAATAAGGTTGACGCTAACTGCGGTCCGCGCCAATCTTTTCCTGACCTCTCCTCCCATGGCCCGCCGTCTCATCTGGATCCAATACATCCCGCTCTGCGATACGGTACTCAAACGTAGCGTCCATGACCTCAATATCGGTACTCAGGCAAGCTAAACATGCACAATACGGAACACTCGCACTCGGCCTTCGGGCTTCTGCAGAGAGCCACCAGTCCAACATGACGCCGTCATAGAGGCGCCCACGGCGTGCCATCAAACGCGCCTCGTCCCATCGGCCCATCTCTCACGCGTCTCCTTCCTTCACGTGCGATCAACATCTTCGCGGGTCTATCTCCTGCCGAAGCCATCTCTCGGCAGCACGGGAAATCGTGATCAAGCTTCTCTCCGCTCTTTACACTCGGCAGCCAGCAGCCTCTTCTCGTGGATCTGTGGATGAAGAGTGTGGCTTCACGTTGTTTGGGAACACCCAGTTGAGCCAAGCCCATGTGCCGCCCACGTACGACCTTTGACGCTCTGTCCTCTACCGCAAGTCCGTCACTCATGGATAGCAGCACGGACGACGTTCTGGCATCCCAAATGTGTTTTCCCAACTTCCCAAGTGTGAAGGCCCTCTCTTGCTTCTAAATTTGTACGATAAGCACGCCGTTTGTCGATCTTTGAATATGAAATCACGATGCGGCTTAGCTCAAAACTTCTGGTGACGATAACATCGGCGCTGCAATGTCCCTGGCCTGGCTACCAAAGGATAACGTACGGATTTCTGCGAGAAGCTCGTAGCGCCCGGCTTTTGCGCGCTCCCTTTGTTCGTACCGAGTTTCGGGTCAACTCCAGACTCGCGGGCGGGAGCCGTAGTGGAAGTTCGAATGTTTGCATGGCAACGCGACTAAGGCTTCATCGGGTAGCACTAAGGCTTCATCGAGTAGCCGTTGGTCGTTGCGCGGGAAGCGTGATTCTGACATGGGGTCGAATACAAGCAAAGGGATGCTCATAAAAATGACCGAGACAATCTGTCTGCAGTCTCAATCGCGTTTGATCGCAATTGATCGCGGTCAACCGGCGTCCAGCCTGAGGCGTGCTTACCTCTTCGCTCGTACTAGGAGGATTCTGCTCGGCGCTCCATGAAGGCGTCTTCTTGGTGAAAATGATAGAGGCCGGCTCTCAGCTAGCCCGTTCCATGGTTAAGGCTGGCATTCTCGAATCTCCACCCACACAAGCATCCCGCAACGGACCCGCCATCTCACGAACGCCGATCAATAATCCAGAGCTTGCATGGCATCGTTTGCCTTCCAAAAGCTTACTCTCCACTAGCTCGTCCGCTTCGACAAGCTCTGCGCCATGAGCCTCCCGACGTGGCCCGGGATTGGTGTTTCTGCATGAGACACGAAGTAGACTCGACCCTCAGGCTGCAAGATTGCTTGCCTATGGTTTTGCCATATCTAAGCCGTGTCTCACCCGTCTTCTCTGCTCGCAAGCAGCGCCAGCGTTATATGCGTCTTCATCGACTCTTCTTTCATTCTTTCCCTCCCATGAGTACTTAGTCTTCTTTTCGTCGATCTCTTCTTACCTGTGGCTGCGTGCCCAGACTCACCATGCAGCCATTGACGATTGTTGTTGCGCTGGTCGCCTTGGTCGGCTTTGCTCTGCTCAGTCTCCTCAACGCACTACGATCAACGCATGCCTGGAAGGTCAGGTCTACTGAGCCTCCTGGCCCGGAACTTGTACCATGGGTGAGTCGATGCTGATACACGCGAATAGAGATTCATCGCTAAGTCAAGTCGTTAGATCGGTAGAATCCATGACCTACCCATTCAGTACATGTGGCTCAAGTTCAAGGAATGGGCAGACATTTATGGCCCTATCTACCGCACAAAGATGCTCGGCGCGAATTTCATCATCATCTCCGACGAGAAGGTCGCGGAAGACATTCTTGTTAAGAGAGGGAAATATCATTCCGACCGTCCACAGATGAAGTCGCTCTTCGACTCTAAGAGCTCAACTGGTACCATGGAATATCTACCTTTGATGGGCAAGAACAGTACGTCTTTGCATTTGTGAGTACTATATTGGTGCTGATCGAAAACTCCAGTGTACTGGGCTCGCCAACGCAAGTTTGCGCACTCTTACATGACCGAAGCATCCAACGCGCAATATAACGGTATCATGTATCACGAGACCAAGCGCTGGCTCATGCGTCTCTTGCAAAACCCGGACGATTTCGCCTTCTCCCTCGAAGACATGGCTTCCAAGGTTATGTGCCGGTTGACATGGGACGACGACACCCTCAGTGAGCCCATGACGCCGTCCGCCTGGGGCCTCTTGACGCAAATGTCACCCGCTGGGCCTATCACGAATGTCATCACTCCGCTGTGGGACTGGATTCCAGAGCCTGTCAACCCCTGGAAGCTCGCCGAGCGGAAGCGTCACGATGAACAACAGCGATGGTGGATGGATCGGATTACTACCGTCCGCGCCAACATGGCGAAGGGCCAAGCGCGATCATCCTGGACAAAGACCTACCTAGAAGGCGGCCGCAACGGCAATCTATCCGGAGACTACGAGGCGTCCTGTGCTCTTGGCATGATGGCTCTCGTCGGCGTCTTCACCGTTGCCGGACCATTGTACTATTTCCTCCTAGCCATGGTTTACCATCCAGAGTGGCAGAAAAAGTGCCAGGAAGAGATTGATACGGCATGCGGAGGCCGCATGCCCGAGCTCTCCGACATGCCGAATCTTCCAATCTTGCGTGCTTGCATCAAGGAGACCATGCGATGGAAGCCAAACGTCCCCACCGGAGTCGCGCACGAGACCGAGCAGGACGACTTTTATGAAGGCTATCTCATCCCCAAGGGTTCGCGCATCCTGCCTCTGGACTGGTGAGTTATGAGAGATCTCTTCCCGTCGCTAGTGTCTAGACTGACGATATAACAGGGCATTCCTCCGCAATCCCGTCAAATACCCCGACCCAGAGACCTTCCGACCAGAGCGGTGGCTTGAAGCTGGTTGGCCTACCTTCCAGGAGCCACTGACTCAATACCCCACCATCATGAACATGACTTCTTTCGGCTGGGGCCAGCGCGCATGCCTGGGTCAGACAATCACGCGAGACGAGACTGTTGTCGCCTGCGGTGGCCTCCTCTGGGGCTTCAACCTGGTCCGGAAGCGCGACACGAACGGCCGCCCGATCGACCCACCTCTCAACAAGTCCAACTCCCTCCTCATCATCAAGCCGGACCCCTTCGAGATGTCATTCGAAGCTCGCAGTGAGAGCAGACGCGCGGAGATCATGCACAACTGGGCCGAGACAGACGAGGCGGACAAAGTTGCCCGCGCGACGTTCGCAAAGCACGCGGCGGCCGCCCTTCGAGCCGGCGCATAATAAAAAGCAACGATTCTGACATAAAACGGACGACGTATTTTGGGCCTCCCGCGCGGACAGACTATCAGCTAATGTCTTTTTGTTAATGTTGTGCTGCTACTTTTTTGCGACCTTTCTACTACACATGGCCCGCACGATCGATAGAAAGCGGGCGTTGAGGTGGGGACACAGGGGGAATGGAAGCAACTTTTGTTAGCTGGCTTTTTATGTCACGAGACTTGCTCGCACCAATGACGAGATCTTGAGATTCTCTCGTTTGTTGTGGAAAAAAAATTGGCCTTGCCAATATCTGTTCTACCAAGTTGGCTCCGTTCGCATTTCCTCTGTGGTCTGACCGGCCGTCCTCAACAACACCTCAACAACAAGAGCTCTCACTCACCTTCGTCGCCACGCAACACCCCTTCGCAGGTGCGGAGCCGATGTAAGACGCATGTCGTCCGGATAGACACACGCTACTGCAGGAACATCTTCGGCTTATCGCCATGCCGATCAGCTCCCCACAGTCCCAAAAGAGTCCACTACCACTGTGCCGTCGTTGAAAATAGACTAATGCAGGCGTTGAACCTACTTCGAATTGCGTCGCTCGCTGTTGCTCTGCTACCTTTTCAAACTTCAATATTTGTTCCATTCCTGGCCCGCTTTTGCCGTGTGTCTATGAGATTAAGAGTTGCGTTTGCAGGGACAGAGATAGGAGAGTGAATTTGTCTCTAGTTGGACAAGACCTGATGGCCCGATCGAGCGAGGAGGAGAGGACAGGAGGGACGGGGGGCCCGCCATCTTCATCAGATCAGGTAAGCTAGTCGCCACGTCGCGCCTTGGTTGGTCAAAGATTCTTGTCCATTTATCGCGCCTTCCCCTGGAACTGTCGGAAGTATGCTTTGATGATGAAGCCACGAGCTCCGCAGCAGGCGGACTTGGGCGTGCTCCTGAAAGACCGTTCAACTAGTCATTATTCCAAGGATCAAAGCACAAAGGCACGTCCTGATGAACGCCCACCCGGCCAACCAAAAAGGACCTCGAAGCTCTTTGTGCTTGGCTCTCCTCAGCTTCGACCATGCGTTCTCAGCTTCCAATCATGATTCATTGATAGCCCGATCGGGGGCATCTTCCGTGTCAGGATTATCATTCCAGCCATTTCACATGACAGATGAAGACCCCCGGTCAATCAGTCGGCACGGGGACGGAGGCTGCCGTGACAACGGCTTGGGTCCGTGGTTGTCAATCCTGCTGTGATATCCGGCAGACAGAGGCTCTGCAGCCTTCCTTGCATCAGCTCTCCTCCCCAGGCGAGAAGCGCATCCTGTCCAACTTGCTGAGGTCTAACAGTTCATTCTCGATAAAGGTGTTCAAAGCGTCGTCTTCGAGGACAGTGCTGAGTCAAAGTAAGCAGCAATTCCTGCTCTACGTCTAATGAATACTCACGATCTGGCAATGTCGAAGAAGACGCACCCTTGGCCTCTCAGAAATCTGCTGAAGCCAGCCGCCGACCCAATACCAACTCGTTGAGCTAGGTAGTCAATACGCTCCACCACCCACTCGAGTTGTGCTCCAATCGGCCTGCTTTCCAACGCGCGATGAGTTATCGATGAATCCACAATCATGATTCGCCTCCCTCCAGGACTGACGTTGATTTCGACCAGCTGCTCAAGCAGACATGTACCGGCCAGGCCAAGCGGGCTCAGTAAGAGCAGACCACTAGAGACAGCACCTTTGGCAGGATCCACGGAAGCATCATTGCCAAATGCGTAAGCCGACGCGATGCTTATATCCGCCACCATGCGTGCCCGAATGGATTTGAGACGCTCTGGATGCGGCATTCCTTCTGCTGGTTGTTCAAGTGCTGGCCAAGATCGACGCCACACAGCTTCTTGAAGTCGACTCAAAAGGATGCGGAGGCCTCTGAACATGTTCCAGTGCCGACATGCTTGCGGCGTGCTGTATTCGTGGCGCACGCCGGCCCATGAATGCGAGCTTGACAAGTCTTGCACTTCATGGAAAGAGCAGGGTGAGTGAACCTTCTGCCAATGTGCTTTCGCACCAGTTCAAGAGATCTTGCTCGAGCGAGCTCGCTGTTTCCAAAAGCTCCTGGTCTACTTTGTCTGCCCTGCGGAATGACTCCCGTAAAGAAGCCAGTCTGGATGCTATCATCATCAGCTGGTCACCCGGAGTATGTAGAGGATCGTATTCGAGCGCCTGCGTCCATTGCACAATACAGTCTGGCACCTTGTTCTCGCGACTGAGTGCGTCCACCACCTACCGCAGAGATCAGCGTCGGCTTGCGAACATCAGCGTGTGGATTACTTACTATGTCCGATCGCAGGTCACGGAAGATCGCGGTGCCAGATCGCGTTCGTAGTTGTCCACGTCCTCTCAGCTGCAGTATCATGCAAAGTCCATGTGTGTGTGTGAGAACGTGGACTCCTTCTTCGAATCCGAACCTTCCCAATGAAGCCGCTCGAAAACGCCAAGGAGGAAGACAGCGATCAGGGTGCTGTCCTCCTTCACCCTCCGGGGATGGCCGAGAGCAACATTCGTGGAGCCAATTGCGGCAATGTAGTGCTGTCTGGCAAGTTCCTTTCCCCGAGCATCCTCATGGCGATTAGCGATGACAGCCAAAGCACATGCTAGGATAGGCTGGATCAAAAAGTCGTCGGGATCGACACCGTCCAGGAAGGAGAGATGTGCAGGCGTGACGAATTGATCGAAGAAGAAGTTTCGAGCTATTGTATACTGGTCCGGACTGGGCTGTCTGGTGAAGCATCCAGATGCGCTCGAGCTGGCCTCTGTCACAATGCCACCAAGTCGTCGTGTGAGGTCTTCGCTTTGGTCACGGAACATCTTTGTGAAGGCGGCTGATCAGCGACACCTGGCGGAATCAAGGCGAAGTCCTCGTACCAGGTCTGCAACGTCGCGGTAGCCTCCACATGTCTTGCCCAGACGTACGCATCTTCCGCAAGCCGGGAGTTCCTGGTCGCACTTCTTTTTTGCCTCGCTGTGAATCTTGGGTCAGTCCTCCAGTGTCTAGCCTGGATCATATCAGCTCTCTGACCGACAATTCGTGCAACCCGTCGAAGGTTTCCCGGTGTACACCATCGTCACGCCGCGTTGGACTGGAGTTGCGAGGGAAGTCAAGATTCGAGTGATGAAGCGCGTACCGCTCAGCATCTTTCACAAAGCCTTCTCATGTTTATAATGATCACGAAGCCTTCTCATGTGTATATTGAGGTCGGTTGGGTATGTTCATCTCCATCCTAAGTGGGAATGCACAGCGCACCATGAGTAGTAGTCCGAGTAGTCCAGAGCCATACGGCGGCGCATTGGAGGCTGAGCCTGTCCGGCACACTACCAGTCTACATTGCCATTCTCATAGGGTATACGATTTGGGAGAAGGGAAAGCTCGGGCACGCGTTGCTCGTTTGAGGAGCCATCGCGCACGCATGCTCATTCGCATGCTAACAAGAGGTCGATGATCTGGAAGCCGGGAGACGCGAGCTGAACTGGCTGAGGGCGAAGTCGTAGTGCGCATTGGAGCACAGTGGGTTGAGTGGATGAGAAGAAGAAGATGATGGCTGTGGAAGGAGATGACGGTGATAGTCCAGTCCAGTATAGTATAGTGAGGTACATGCATACCCGATCGGGAAGCCATTGCGCTGACCGTCGCGGAAGGATCAGCCGCCGGGAGGCTCCGCCACTGGATGCAGAGCCATTCGTTAGCACCAAGATAGCAAGTCATGGTCCAAGTCGATCAAACTCGTCGCGCATGATATATAGTATAATGAGGATTGTATGTGTGCCTTGTCCATATACCCCAGTGTTGGGGCCAATTTGGCTGCAGATGAGAGTGGAGTGCCCCAGGCAGATGAAGGGTCTCGGTTGCATCCGGCCCTCCCGCGTTGACCCGCCAACCAACAACAAGACAAACCCGGAAGCCCAAACAAGCACGGCTTCGCAAGTAACACGGACGACTAGGCGATTTAGCTGCATATCCGCGATGCTCATCACGCGACGCTCGCTCCATCCACTCTGCATGATCTGAGATTTGAGTAACCTGGTCCCTTCACAAGCATCATGGAGTCCCTCCTCTCGCTCTCCTTTGACAACATCTCCTCGCGAGACAGCCTCAAGATTCGAAAGGGCCTCCGACAGATCGAAGGCCTGCTGGCACAGATCTGCCTCTCCAAGGCGAGCACGAGGAGTCCCCACAAGAGGAAGAGCTCGGCGCTGGAAGACCAGCAGCAGCAGCAACATCAGCAACATCAGCAGGGGAAGGCAAAGGCACTGAACGAGTTGAAGCACGACCCGGCATTCAGGGAGTTCTTCCGATTACAAGAAGGGTTTCAGTGGAATGGTGAGCAAGACTCAATGCAAGACGGGACATGGGATTTTCTGACAGAGAGAGAGAGTGTAGTTGCGTCACGGCTCATTTCGACCCTCGAATGCCTCATGGGCATGGGCAACCCATCTGAGACCGACTTGTTGATCCTCGCATGCCTCGAACTCCTCCAGGGTGCCCTTCTACTTCACGCGCCCTCCAAATGTCTCTTCCAGCGGCAGATCCACATGAACCTGCTCCTCGACCTTCTCGACTCCTCGAATCCTCCCAAGATCCAATCACAGACTCTGCTTGTTCTCGTAGCAGCATTGCTCGACTGCCCGCGAAACACCAGAACATTCGAAGCGATCGACGGGTTGCTTACGGTCACCAGCCTTTTCAAGAGCAGGTCAACAATAAAGGAAGTCAAGATGCGCGCTCTGGAGTTCCTCTACTTCTACCTCATGCCAGAGACGCCAGTAGCACCCATCACGAGTGCGAGTGCGCCGAACACTGCTGTCGTGCAACGGAACGTGGACAAGCATTTCGAGGCGCGGGTGGGCCATGCTCGGACGCACTCGGGGGATGCCATGGACACGGATGAGGACGACGGGGACACACGATCCCAGGAGTACAAGCAGACCATACTCGGCCAGTACCTCAGCAATGTCTCGGAGCTTGTGGCGGACTTGCAGGAGAGCGCGCCGTTCAGCGCGGTGTCCGCATGAAGAGAAGGGCCGGCTGGCTCTCATGTTCGTCTGCTTTTGCCTGCGGAGTTGTCTTGCTCCCTTGGCTTCTTGCCTTGTTGAAGAGAATCTGCACTATACCATGTCGACTCCGTTGTGGGCGTTTATCAAGGATACTGTTGGTCTTGGGGTCTTTTCCACAGCATGGAGCTGCGGCGTTCTGCTATTCCAGGGAATGATGTGAGCTGCTGCTCAGCAGGTACATTTGGAAAAGTTTTGGCCATCGGTGCCGTTCCATTCTAGCAGTTCGCCTGGAGGATTGATGCGAAGCGGGATTCTGTTGGATGGGGGAGCTGAGTCCGGTTGGTTGGGGCGGGCTCACTGAGTGCACGTGACGGTGGTGTAGGCGCCGGGCGAATCCATCATCCACTCAGGCTCGTCGAAGCAGCGCTGGACATGTGCGTGTGCCTCTCTCGCAAGCGCCAGCAGTGCGTACACTTCGCACCCCATCGCATCGCATCAATTAAGGCCAGCGACAGAACAATGACGATGCACTGCGGTGTATGGACGATATATTGCTCGGGGCCGCTCCGTCGACACCTCTCCCCTCCTCCCATTCCCCAATTCTGCTGCAACACCCCGTGCACGAGTTTCCTTGTGTATTTCCTTCATCCTCCTATTCCCTTGCAATCATTTTCTCGATTCCATTCGGTGCTGCTGAGCGGCCCTCTTCCCTTGTTACGCGCTCTGATGACCTGCAACTCCCGCGCCGTCTCTCATGCGCCCGTGTAAAAATACCTGTAACATACAATGCCCTCTGGCACCTCCTCCTTCACACCCGACGACTCGGAAACCGTTGTCTTGTTGCGGGCGACGGCATCGGACTTACCTCAACAAGTTCAAGAAGCAGTCCCCAGCTGCGCATATTCGTGTCTCTCGGCGTATGTGGAACAGGAATTCGCATGCTCCAGCGACGACTACACCTGCCTGTGTTCTGGATACACCTCCCAGGGCCTCACTCTGGGCGAATTGGCTTTCATCTGTACCAATGTTGGCTGCAATGGCCAGTCACCGAGCACTGACGTCCTCGCGGATGCCTATCGAGTCTGCGATTCCGATGGCAGTGCGGCGCGACCTACTCATAATACTCTCACACCGCCCGCTTTGCGACCTACCACGTCAGTTTCGATATCACCCTCGACATCACCCTCGACATCACCCTCGACATCACCCTCGACATCACTCTCGGCATCACTCTCGACATCGTTCTCGACGTCAGTCTCGACATCAGTCTCGATTCCAGCGCCGACTACAACACTTATGCAGACTGCAACTACGAGAGCCTCGTCGACAATATACACTGCCTCGACACCGAGCTCCACGACAACGCAGACAACGATTCCTGTCGCATCAGCAGCTTCCGCACGTGGCTCTTCGAATCTCACGAGCTCACAGGCTGTTGGCGTGTCCGTGGGTGCATTCGGGGCTGTCGCTGTTGCCATTGGTATCGTGTATTTCATTGCTTGGTACCGACGTCGAAAGCTGGTCGCAGAGAAGAAACAGAGGCGCGGTTCGTACGATTTCGTCGATGACGCGCCTCATCAATTCTCGCCCTTCGACAACCATGGCAGGACTGATCCTCGAGGACCTCATGCTGGATTCGCGTTGTCCAAAGATGGACGGGGTTCTGAACAGCCGAAGACGCAGCCGCAGCCGCAGACTTCAAGGTCTCATGGAGACACATGGACTCGATATCCAACGCACGAGAAAGGCGACGATCGCCACTATGGCATGAACCGTTCCACCACACCCGAGAGCCATTGCAGCGATTGCAGCGAACGAACCACCTCGGCGTTACTTCCCGCGAAGCCCGAAAGGTTTCCGGTGAAGCCACAAGGAAAGTCGCCTCAACTCGCCGTCATGCACACTCCTGCGACCGTGTTCGAAGAGTACCGTGGCCCTCCTACTCCCGCTCTGATAGTGCCGGGGTTACCGTCCCATCCCGGTGTAGCGAGGGCTGCAATGGCACAGCAGCAGATCCCAACTTGGCCACGACAGCCGCAATACGCCGGCGAGTATACGCGATCTCCAGAGCAGATGAGGCAACCGCAGCTTTCTCTGAAGATTCCCCGCCAAGCGCCTCCCTCAGACAGCGTGTTGTCGCTGGGTCCTCTCCCCATGCCGCCCGCACCGGCTGCCAGACCATCTGCGCAACGCCAACTCTCGCACGCTCCGGAGAGGGATTCCAGCAGCAGTAATGGCGTTCTGAGCTACTACGCAAGCCCCGACAGCGGCAACCCCCCATTCGCATCCACGCCGATCGACGAACGAAGCCAAGTCCGCCGTCCTGCTCCCGCCGCAATCACCGTCACGAAACCGACGTATCCGCCTCGCGCCGTGCGTGGCTCCACCGGCTCCGAGGCCTCCAATCGCACTTCCTTTGAGAGCAGTTACCTGGACGAGCCCACGCCGCCAGAAGTCCCGGAGGAGGAGGAGACGGAAGCCAATCAACTCTCCCCCGTCACCGAATCCTCGCCCATCAGTAGGATCCGCTACCCAAAGATTCCGCGAAGCTCGGCTCAGGTCGTTCCCCGATCGCCTGTATACAAGGCTTCGTCTCCTTCAGACTTCTCCTCTCCCCAGCGCCGCGTCCATCCGCCTCACCGTACCTACTCTCCTCGCACTCCTGATCGCCACGCTTCCCCTCGAAGCGGGAGCGGCGGCACCACGCTGGCTGCGAGGAGGAAAGTCGACAGTCTCGCGTGTGGGCTGCCTTTCCCACCGCGTCGGAACAGTCCGCATGGCAGCAGCCCGCTGCAGGGCTACGGATGCCGTTCTTCGTCGCAGCGCCACACGCCCAACTGGCCCTTGAGAGTGCAGACGAAGCGCGAGCCGGAGCCGATGCAGAGCCCTGGGTGGGAACCGTCCAAGTTGACGCCGAGGCGCGAGGGCGAGGATATGTACCTCGCTGTGTCTGTCGCGACGCCGATGGATGCCGATTTCCGCCGATGAGAAAAGAAAGAAGAAGGAAAAATGTCTTTTTTAAGGAAATTGTCTGAAGCGTTCAAGCGAGTCTGCATTCTTCCATCGTTCTGTTCTGTTCTGTTCTGTTCTGTTCTGTTCTGTTCTGTTCTGCATAGATGATACCACTGTTGTTCAAGACTGCCTCTCTCTATCTCCATGTCTGTCCTTCTAGATCTACTTGACTTGACTCTGTCTGTATATATACTTGTCTGGAAAACAACTTTCATCATCATCCGCCGACTGTCGGGCCGTTCTCCTCGTCAATTTCGATGCCAAATTGCCCCGTGGCCATGCCATAGCTGGTCTTGACCGCTGCGCTCGCGTACACGCGCATTTCCCTCTCGTACTCTGCCGTCACCCCGTCGGCCCAGCCCTGGGATTTGGCGAGCAGTCTGCCCAGCAGGGCGGAGTCGCGAACGGCGGTGTTGGCGCCTATACCTGCAATGTGCAAAGGGGGAAGAAAAAAGTCAGTCAATTGTCGTGTTTCTTGTTCATGGTGCAAATGATGATGAAGGGGGATATCGTACCGCCTGCTGGGGTCATGCTGTGCACCGCATCGCCAATGACCGTCACGCGCGGCTCATTCTCCCACTCCGGCACGCCAGAGGGCGTCGAGCAGGTAATCTTCCAAAAGGCCGCATTTTCCTCGTCCATCTGCTCGAACAACGGCCTGATCTTCGGGGCCCAGTTCTTAGACAATTCCTTTGCGATATCCGCGGCGGGCTTCCCGATGATGGCGAAATCGTCGTTCGGCGGCTTGATGACCCCAGGCTGGCCGCCCATGGTCCACCCGAATTGGATCTCGGGGTCGTCCATATCGCCCGGCCGCACGTTCGTGATGACAAACACTCGCCCGCCCGCCTTGGAATCATCGACCATGCGCCAGACGCCCTCGCCCAGAGCGCGGAAGGCTGTCGTCGGCGCTTGCCCGTGGATGCCCCTCGCGCCGGTGTCAAAGGTCTTCAGCTTCCCCCGGGAGACCTGCTTCGCGACCTGGGAATAGATGCCCTCGCCGCCCACGAGCATCTCCCCCTCGACCGACTTACTGCCGTCTTTGAAAACGGCCTGCACGCCATGCGGCGTGAGTTCGTACCCGGTGACCTGGTGGCCCCATTGCACGTGCTCCTCGCAGCCCTCGAGAAACAGCGCGCGCATGTCGCCCCGCGAGATGCCGACCGTCTTGCCCTCGCGCGACGTGAGAATCTCCTTGTTGGGCGGTTTGCCTCCCACGCCACCGGCATCCCGCGGAGGTCCATTATTATTATTCTTGTTGTCATTCACCCTCGGCGCGTCAGGACTCATCTCCTCCCCCGTGATGGCATCGATCCCGGCAAACCCCTTGGCGCCGCCCGTCTTGCCGCAGCGGTCCCAGAATCTCGGAAATCCGTTGGGTGAGGGACCCAAGACTTCTTCGATGGCGTCGAGGCCTTCGGCCGACAGCCGGAGGCGGTAGCCCTGTGCGCGAAAGGAAATCGATGCATCCCTCTCGAACACCACGAAGGGGATCGCCGAGCGGACCAAGGATCGGGCCAAGAGGAGGGAAGCCAGGCCCGCGCCAGAGATCAGGATGGGCTTGCGAGCGGCTGCCATGTTTGTTGGATCGGTCGGAGCACACAATCTTGATCTTGAGCTGCTTATGAGTTAGGCCCCAGACGGCCTCTTATTATTCTGTCGATGCCACGCGGCCCTGATAGATAGTCGCCACCGTATCAGTCGGCTTTTGTTTACTTCTCTTGAGATACCTTCCGTCGGGCTGGCCCTTCGCCCTGTTCCGAGTCGGAAGTTTCGTCGAGTTCATCCGACCTACGTCATCAATTCGTCCGGCGTCTGGTACATGTAGGTGAATGATTGCACAATGAAATGGTAAACGGCGCCTCCTAGGCCTGACTTCTCCTCATATTGCGACCCTCATAATCACAGTAAGATGGCGAAAATTAGTGCAGAAGAATCGCCACGCTCTGCTATATCTTCTGCACTTTTTAGTCGTCTGTAAAAGTTGTGTCGCAGTGGGGTATCGCGGCGGTTTCGAAGCGGGGTGTTATAGAGCTATGCTTCCATTTACCGGAATACTGACGGATTGCCGTTTCAGAATGAGTGAGTTGGTTTGGAAGCTCGGAACATCGTAAAATTTCTTTCGTCTATCTAGTGCAAAAACTTGTCCATCCATCCATAGAGACACTTCTGCTTCATGTACACGTATTTCCCATGGCTCGTTGCTGGTTCAGTTCGTGAAAGCACTTTAGATGAGCTGCTGGAAGGCGCGGTTGAGAGGAGAGCGCAGAGGCTTGACGTCCTTGTAGAAGTCGACTGTCGCCACAGCGCGCTTGGCAATACCGGCAGGAGTGAACTCGAACTTCTCGTAGACCTTGGTGTATGGTCCCGAAGCACCGAATCGGTTGAGACCGAACTGCTCGTGGGAGTACTTCTCCCAGCCGAGAGTGCTCATGACCTCCACGCTGAGAGCTGGGATGCCATCGGGAATGACAGACAGCTTGTACTCCTTTGGTTGTGCGTCAAAGACCTCAACGCAAGGCATCGAGACAACACGTGCGACGAGGTTGTTGTGCTCCTTGAGGTACTTGACGGCTTCCAAGCAGAGAGAAACTTCTGAACCAGTAGAGACGAGGGTGATCTGAGCACTCTTATCCTCCAGGGCCACGTAACCACCCTTGATGGCGTTCTCGATCGTCGAGCCCTCAAGCTGGGGCAGGTTCTGACGGGTGAGGGCAAGGATCGAAGGGGTGCTCTGGGAAGTGAGAGCAACGTAGTATGCAGCAGAGGTCTCGTTTCCATCCGCAGGGCGCCAGACCATCATGTTTGGAAGGGCACGGAAGTGAGCCAGAGTCTCGATAGGCTGGTGAGTTGGGCCGTCCTCACCCAGACCGATGGAGTCGTGGGTGGCGATGTAGATGACGCGCTGGTGCGAGAGCGAGGAGAGACGGACGGCACCGGCGGCATATGACACGAAGTTCAAGAAAGTACCGCCAGCTGGGATGATGGTGCCGTAGGCGGAGAGACCGTTCATGATACCGGCCATGGAGTGCTCACGCACACCGTAGCGGACATAGCGACCGCTCCACTCACCAATGCCAAGGCTTGGAGGCTGGAAGTCGACGGCGGCCTTCCAGCGGGTGTTGTTGGATCCAGTAAGATCGGCGGATCCGGACAAGAACTCTGGAACGGCCTCGTAGATAGCCTCAAGGACAGACTCGGACAGCTTGCGAGAAGCAATCGCCTTGTCGGTTGGCTTGTAGACTGGAAGCTTGGTTTGCCAGCCCTCTGGGAGCTTGCCAGTCAGGCGGCGCTTGAGGTCGGCGCCCAAATCCTTGTGCTCGCCAGCGTACTTCTCCAACAGCTTGTTCCACTCCTGCTCGGCAGCAGCGCCCTCGGCAGCGTGTTTGTGGTACAAGTCATACACCTCTTGTGGGACAACGAAGGACTTCTCCGGGTCGAAGCCGAACTTCTCCTTGACTTGCTTGCAGTCGTCCTCCTTCAGTGGGTTACCGTGGACACCGCCAGTGCCCTGGAGCTTGGAGCCGAAACCAATGGTAGTGGTCAATCGAATCATGGATGGCTTGTCTGTGACTTTCTTGGCCTCAGCAATGGCCTTCTCAATACCCTCGAGGTCATTGTCGCCATCCTTGACCCACTGCACGTGCCAGCCGTAGGCCTCGAATCGCTTCGTGACGTCCTCGGTGAAGGCGCACTTGGTGTCACCGTCTGTCAGGGGTCATTAGCACGTACTACAGCATATTCCGTACAAGCCGCTCACCAATGGAAATGTGGTTGTCATCGTAGATGGCGATCAGGTTGCCGAGCTGCAAGTGACCGGCAGTGGAGGCTGCCTCGCTGGCAACACCTTCCATAGCACATCCATCGCCGAAGAAGACGTAGGTGTGGTTGTTGACGAGTTCGAAGCCAGGCTTGTTGAAGACACCGGCAGTGTGAGCCTGAGCCATTGCGAGACCGACGGCGTTGGCGAAACCTTGACCCAGAGGGCCGGTGGTGACCTCGATGCCGGGAGTGTCATGGCTCTCAGGGTGGCCGGGGGTTATGCTGTCGACCTGACGGAAGTTCTTCAAGTCGTCGATGCTGACGCCGTAGCCGAACAGATGCAGCAGAGCGTACTGCAGCAAGCATCCGTGGCCGTTGGAGAGGACGAATCGGTCGCGGTTCAACCACTTGGGGTTCTTGGGGTTGAAGGTCATGAACTTGTTGAAGAGGACGTGGGCCACGGGAGCCATGCCCATAGGGGCACCCGGGTGACCCGAGTTTGCCTTGAAGGTGGCATCGACCTGCGAGTAGCATTCCGTCAGCTCGAGTGTTCCTCATGTTATCGACCGTCTCATCCCGCTGCCGTCGCGGCGGCTTGCGGTGAGAGAGATGGTGGGGGGTTCCAATGCCCCTCGGCCGCGTGTGATGGGAGATCTGGGGCAACATACGGCAAGCGTGCGGATGGTGTTGATGGCGAGCTCGTCAGTCTTTCCGTAGGCCATCTTGACGGTATTGTGATGGGAGGTGAGGTAGTTGGAGAGAGGAGGAGAGTCAGAGATGGAGCTCAGAGCGAGAGCAAACAAAGCAACAAAAACTTCGCGGCATGTCCCTGATCTGAGCCGTTGAACGATGATCTCAGCAGGTGGGGCACGCGGCGTTTGAACTCTGATACCACGCAGCGCCTTGCCCGGCTAATCTCCTGCAATTTCACTCTTGGACACCTTGACACCATCATCATGGAAGCACGCGGCGACGACGGGTGGAGTCGGTGGATGGCACTGCGGCGCTTCATGGAAAAGTCGTCAGATCTCGTGAAGACGGCCCCGTACGTGAACGGCTTCATGGCGGAAAGCATCGGAGTCCCACGGCTTCCCTTCCCTTCCCTTACCAATTGCTGAAGCACACGCCCGCGTATCGCTCTCACAGCATCTCCGACCGGCTTACACTTTCTCGCCGCAAGGCAGACGGGCTCTCGTTCGTCGGCCTTTGGCGACTTGCATGAGGCAGGGTCCCGCCCGAGAGGTGGCTGGTTTAACTCGGCGCCGTCGATGCTTCTCTCCGATCCAATCAATATTTACTTGACATCTCAATGAAAACTGCCGTAGACATGTGACAGCTCCAGCTTCCAATGCTACCTGGCCTCAATGCACTCTAACCCATTCCTCACTTCCAAACCTCCTCCGAACCTCATCAATAGACACTGACGCAGCCATGGCCGACGAAGACAAGGAGAAGGCCGAGAAGCTCGCCGCGGCCAAGAAACGATTCGAACAGCTCAAGAAGGAGCAGAAGAAGGGCAAAAAAGGAGGCAAGAAGAAGGCCGACAAAGATACCGAGGCCAAAGCAGAAGAGCCCGCGGAAGATGAGCCCGCAGATGCTTCGAGAGAAGAAGCTGTAGCTGAGACGCTCAAGGAAGATGGTGGAGAAGACGAAGAAGAAGGAAAGGCGGCTGAAGGAGATGCTCCCACAGAGGGAGAGGATGCCGAATCAAGGACTCCTTCTGTCTCACAGCAGTCCAAGCAGCGCTCAGAGTCCTTCAGGCAGGGTACTGAGGAGCTTTACAAGAAGCAAGCTGCCAGGATCGAAGAGCTGGAGTCGGAGAACAAGACGCTCAAGGAACTCAAGCAGGAGAATACATCTAGATCGGCTAAGATGGAGGAAGAGCTCGAGAGCCTTCGCGAAGGTAGCAGTGAGATTGCCTCGCTACGTTCGAAAGCGAAAGAGGCCGATCGTCTCACCGCCGAGCTCGAATCCGTGCAGCGCCAGCTTTCTCAAGCACAGCAAGCCTCGAAGGGCTCCACACGCCGTCAGTCGGGAACCACGCCTGATCTTCAGGAGAAACTTGCCAGCCAGACGTCCACGATCGAGTCCCTGGAGCTCGACATCTCCAATCTACGCAATCAGATTTCGACACTAGAGTCCTCCCTTTCCGAGCGCGACACGACTGCCAAAGACCTCGAAGAGCGCGCCAGAACAGCCGAAGCCGCTCAAGAATCCGCAAAGCAAGAACTCGAGGCCATCAAGGTCTCCATCGCCTTCCCGAGCGACGAGACGAAAGCCGCATCCGCAGATCCAGAAGCTCTGACAAAGCGCATCACGGTGCTAGAATCCGACCTCCGCACCGCAAACACCAACCTCGAAGCCGCCGCGAAGCGCGCAGAGAGCCTCGAGAGCAAGATCGAAGCCCTGACCAAACTGCACAAGGAGACCACTTCCACAAAGGAGAAAGAGCTTTCGGATCTCCGAGGTCAATTGAAGCGACACCATCGTCCTACTTCTCACGTAAAAGATGTTACGGATTTCGAATTGGGAGAAGAGGAAACAGAAACAGGACAATTGCACGCCAAGATCCGCGCGTTGGAGGCGGAAAACTTCGATCTGAGGCGTGGCGTCTGGCGCGACAGGAGAGCAGAACTGCAGCCGGGCATGGATCAGGATTCTACGCTCGAGGATGTTGACCTGAGCAATACTGGCCCTTATAGCCCAGGTGCCAGCAGAGGAGGCTCACTCCCGCGACAGACGAGTACGTTCCAGGACGTCATCACTTCGGGAATCAATGCCTTCACCGGCCGACCGAGCCATTCGCACCGCGAAAGGGCGGAATCGCTCGGATTGCTGGATGACGATGAGGGATTGGGCTTTGATCCGGAAGCATTCCAGCTTGCGCAAGAAGAAGAGGCGAAACGGAGGATCGAGAGGATCAGGGAGGTCAAGCGCGGCTTGGACGATTGGAAAGGCTGGAAGGTGGATATTGCGGATTTGAGGAGGAATGGAGTGCCTGGGAAGGAAGTTGGGCCTGTGTTTGAGCTGTAAGATTACTTCGTCGGCCGAGAACGATGCAGTGGAAATCAGAAGAACTTTCCAATAAACAGAAGCGAGCATATGTTTGTTCAGAACGTCATTAGCATTTGTCTTATTGCTGATCTAGCATGAGCGTGTGAACAGTCGTTACAGGTCTATCCGTCCATCGCTTGCGGGCCTGGGCAAAGTAAGGTCCTACGACAGCTTTACTCGGTGTTTGTAAAGAAGAAGGTAGGCTGTCCGGGAACCGTGTTCTCTGCGGTTTGCGGCAGCTCCTTCAACTCCTCACCGCTCTCACCGTCAGTCCCGCCCACTCTCCGTCCGGTCTTAGCCTCGAGATCGACGACCACCAATTCAATGACAGCACACTTCTGCACCGTCTGCTTCAGACCTGGCACCATCTCCTTGAGAATCTGCACCTCATCAAACGCCAGCTTCCTCTCAAACACGGTGTCAGGAGAGATTCCACTCTCGAGGGACTTCTTCAAGCCCTGCACAAATGGCATAGCACGCTTGCTATCCTTCTTGTCGATCTTCTTCGACACACCTGCAACGTCGACCTTGAGATTCGAGAAGTTCTCCCGCACGATTTCGATGATCGAGTCTTGCCAACTCGGGTACTTCAGAGCGCAGTAGATGGAGAGCTTCTTGTCTTTCTTCGGGTCATATGAGGTCTGCTTGCCCTTTTGCATCTTCTTGAGCTGCGCGCCCTCCGCGGAGGTGATGTTGCTGCTAGTGTTGCGGACATACTCACGCGCAGCGGTGAGGTGAGGCTTTTGCTCCGGTGCTTTGGGAAACACCGCATTCTGCACAGTTTCAGGCTTCTTGAGCACCTCAAGCCAGATGTGTTCCGCCCAGTGAGGAGCAACGACGGTAACCATGAGTCCTTGAAGCTCCACATAGCGCTTCACGAGGTCGTAGTGCATACCAATACCAGCGGCCTTGGTGGCCTCACGATAGAAGTCGCGAGCACCCGTGAAGTCGTACAGTCCGCTCTTGAGGGCGGCTTTGTAGTTTGTGTTGTCGTATTGTGCCTCGGTCTCTTTGACAAGGCCGTTGAGTTCATTCTCGAATAATTCGTCCCAGAAGACCTTCTCTCCAGTTCGGAGAATTGAGTCGTTGGTCTTGTGCCTCTCATTATCTTTGACTTGTGCGTAGGTCTCGCCCTCCTTCAGCACTCTTGCGTCCTGGATGACGCTTTCGCACCACTGCCGCAGCTCGTACATGCGCAGAATGTTGGCATTTGCGACCGTTTCATCAAAGTTCGCATCTTCCATGGTGTCTCCCGCATCGGCAAGTGCGATACGCGTGGCATCCGCGCCGAATTTGTCAATGGAGTCCGCGAGCGTGAGGAAATTGCCGGTCGACTTGGACATCTTCTCGCCGTTCAACAGCAAGTGGCCATTCACTCGGACAGCGCGTGGCCAGTACTCGGGCTTGAAAAGGGCAATATGTACGTAAAGGAAGAAGGTGAGGTGGTTCTGAATCAGATCCTTGCCAGAAACTCGCAGGTCAAGTGGGTACCAGTACTCGAACTCGCGGCGCATGCGGTGGAGAGTTTCTTCCTTGATCGATGTCTTTGGAATCTCCTCTGTCCTGCAGAAGAGCCAGTCCCAGATTTCGTCGGTAAGCTCCTCAGGGCCAACGTTTGCAGGGCCACGCTCCTTGCCGAAGATGTCCTTATGTAGCAGGTGTGCAATGGTGTAGTACGACATGTAGATGGTGGAGTCTGACAAGCTCTCCACGAGCTGACTCTGGTCCCATGGCAGCTTGGTGCCCAGACCGTAGCTTCTCGCGCACGCCCATCGTTCCAGCCAATTGAGGACTTGCTCGAAGGCGTTCTTGGTGTCGGTAGAGAATGTGTTGAGCCCATTTCCGTCCTCATTCAGCACATGCTTCAGAACGGTGGGCTGCCATGTTTCGTCTCCAGACGCTTCAGGCATGCCGTAGTTCATGAACCACTGGTCCAGGTGAGCGGCCACGCAGTCATCCCCTGATCGGCTGATTACTTCTCCGTCAGGCTCTGCATATGCGAAAGCGTCGCCAGCATCGATCAGCTGCTGTCGAACTAGTGGCTTGGCGTCTTGTACACTCTTGCCAGCAAAATCGCCATAGATCATCTCGCCCTTGTAGAAGCCCTCCTTGTATGCGAGATCTTTCGCCTCGGCAAGCTGCTTGGCGTCTTTTGGGGAGTTGATTTTCATTGTCTCCACCAGGTGTTTTGCGGTTAGGTCTCCGTAAGTGGGCGTCTTGATGATAGGCAAAATGTCCATGTCTACCCACTCCTTCTTGATCTTGTAATACTCTGCCTTCTTTGCCAGGTCCAGACAGGTAGCGTAGTCATCTGGCGAGTCCGACGGCACGCTTGTGACGACCCCAGTACCCTTGGTAGGCTTTACAGACTCCATAGGCAAGATGTAAACGCCACCTTTCTTGAATGATAGCGGCGCATTGACAAGAGTGCCAACCACCTCGGAGCCTTGCAGTTCAGCGACCTTTGGAAAGACACCCCACTCGGAGAGAATGTTTTGGAAGGCCATATTCCGGGCTGCGCGCTCTGCAACAAAGTAGTATTCCTTGCCCTTCTCCTTTTCGTAGATACCGTATGTAATGTTCGGACCAACAAAACAGCAATTCTGGCCGTACATGGTTTCCGGTCTCAAGGTCGCTGGCACAAAGTAAACGTTGGCACCGTCGGGGATCTTGCCCTCGATCTTGCCCTTCGCAGCATCAGCCCACTCCTTCACCCGGAGCTTCAAGGCCGTGTATTCCTGCACCGTCACGCCCTCGCCCTTTGATCGGTCGTGGTCCATACATGCTTGTCCGTCTTTAGGCGAGTACACAGTGTATCTCTTGCCGAACCGGATTTTGCCCAGCTCTTTGAGACGATTTACCTGCCATCGGACGAATGCATCATAGTATGGGTTGGCGTCGGTTGTGACCATCGACCGTCTCCAGTCAACACGACAGCCCATGTTGTTCAAGTCACGCTTCCAGAGGGGAGGGAAGTACTGAAGCCAGTACTGTGCATCCGCGAACTTGTGGATTTCTTCAACGGGAATCCCAAGAGCAAGCATGATCTGGAATTGATACTTCAGAGCGACGTTGGTCTTGGCAGCAGCTTTCGACTTCTTTGCAGAGAACTTGGTGATGTCTTCTTTGGTCGTCTCTTGCGTTGGTGCTGGTGGAGCACCATTTGGCGCAGCGTTCTCCTTCACAGAATCTTTAGGGCAGTTCTCGAAGTTCTGACCGAACATCTCGATCTCTCGGACTAGCTTGTCTGCGCAAGCCTTGATGGGCATTCCTGTGCAGTGGAAACCTTGGGGATATAGAGCTCTCTTTCCCTGCATCCTTGCCCAGCCAATTGCGAACTCCAGCTTACTTGCCGTGAAGCTGTGTCCAGCGTGCGGCGTACCGTTGACATATGGGTAGGCCATAGTGACCATGTATTTGGGGTGCTTCTTCCTAAGCTCGGCGGGTGCAATTGAATGGAAGGGCACCTCTTCCAGACTGGGCGCATCTTGCTCAAAGACTCTTTCATTCTGCCATTTTTGCTGGTACTTCTTCTCGCTCGCGATCAAGGTGTCTCTCTTCTCGGTGTTCTCGATTTTCAGGGTTCCTTTGGACTGCTGGGTCGGCGCCAGGGCCTCTTTGGTGGCTTCGACGGCGGCCATTGTGGTGATCGTACGGAAGCGGGTATTGTACGTACGAAGACCGCGCAGCCGCGGCGAGAGTCTTGTAAGGAACGACGTGGTGAGGGAGTGGAGGAAGTGAGTCTTGCAGTTGTGACTCTTCCTAGTCAAGTTGCTTCCAATGAGCTCTCTGGAGATTTCGAAGCGGAGCTCGGTCCGCTCGTGTCTTCCACCGCAGCTACCTTACCTACTACCATGACTTCTCCCTCTCCATTGACTGCAGTAGCACGACCATCTGTCAACAGCACCAAGATGAGCAGTCTGTTCGCGGGACTCTTTCGCAGAGCTCCTCAGACATCAGCAATTGCATCCAAATTCCCATTCACAGCCGAGACGAACCCATACCGTTGCAAACGCACCTGGCCTCCCGACTTCACGCACCTATCCGCCAAGCACCAATTCCGCCTTGAACGTCGCTACAGAAGGAGATCAAAATTGAAGTGGGCACGGCCGACCTGGACAAAAGGGGTTAAGCTGGCTCAATGGGGAAGCATTGTCTTCGTCCTGATATACGGCGTGCTCTTTATGCAGGTGGACGACGGCAGGACACCTTTCGACGGAGTAAGTGAACATACGACGCATTGCAACCAACACGGTGAGCTGAATCGTCATGACTTCAGATCAGGGCCTGGTATAACGAGCAAATGGGGAACACCAATTCCCCAAATCGACCAGAACTACCTGCAGGCGACAACAGTCCTGTTTCGAGGAGACAGCCATCTTGAGGCCTCGGAACAATGCATTACCACTGCTTGAGTTGACCAGCTTCGGTGGCACGCATGTTCCCAATGGCTGTGCCACGGCATCCATACGAATCACCACACGCCATTTCAGCGAATTGATCTCAGCATGAGCGCCCTGGACGTGCTTCTGCTGCATCATCAATACTCCGGACAGGGAAATCAAAGCGTCTTCTTACACCAAGTGTCTTGGCTCCCATGGATAGCTCTTCCGAATGCTTCCACCGGCCGGTCGAGTTAGGGCAGCTTCCATGGCCAGAGCAGCGTGACTGTGGACAAAGTAGAGCACCTACTCGCACGATGTCACCGTGACCTTTTACACTGTCACAACAACGCTCGCTTTAGGGGGTATTTGCATAGCTTGCGGCTTCTTGAAACGCAGCGCCCAAAATCGTTACATATATGCCGGATGTCTCGGTCACGCCCTCTGCTCCATGGATTGAATCACGCAACCAAGGCACACAGCTCTCCAGAGGTACTAAAGTGGAGAATTTCTCTCTTGAGATATAGAAGGCCATCAATACCGCGGATGTAACGCATCCGATCTTCTGCAAACTAGCTACCAATTTCACGGTTGAGAGCGATAACGACTACGATCAAACTCTGGCCTAGTGCAAAGGGACGGCGGACATCGCGGATTGACTAGAGCTACACAAGAGATTTGCAATAGGTATCCTAACTACTGCGATGTGGTCCAAGATGTAGCCACCTTGTGGACGAAAAGGTTCAGACTGCTGATGTGTTCCTCTCATGGAGGACGTACAGCCTATCAGTAGGTAGAAATGGAGAGGCAACAGTGCTTTTCCGGTGGAAGAAGAAACAAGATGGTGACTGGCTTTGTACGAAAAGTTCGTGTGTACGATGTACTGGAGGATCCTGGTTGTGCGAGTTTCTTCAAGCATGCCAGCTTCACAGTGGGTCTGAGATTCGTCAAAAGCCGTCTTAACTTCCCAAGGGCTCGCCATCTGTACCATCGTCGTAGGACTCTCCGTCACAGGATGAGATTGGATACCGGGTCAGGTCGAATTGGGCTTCCTTCACATCATTGGTGAGAAAGAAGCTCACGCCAGCGCGGGTTCATCCGTCTCGAGAGCTTGACGTCCGGACCGAGTGCGTAGCTGCATCTGGATGTAGATGCAACCCACACCAGACAACACCGCCCAGAAACAACAAACCAAACCAGACTCACTCGACCATGATCAACGCGGTGCTGGTTTTCAACAACAATGGTCAGCCTCGTCTGACCAAATTCTACACACAACTGGTACACCGACACCCATACCTCACCACCGTCCAGAGCTGACAGTCCACCAGGATACCTCCGTTCAACAACGCCTCATATCCGAGATCTTCACTCTTGTCTCTGCACGTCCAGACTCAAGCTGCAACTTCCTTCCACTTCCACCCCTCCTCGCCCCAGCCTCGAGCTCCTCCACCAACTCCAACGAGCACAACGATGCGCCTTCCCTTGTAACCTACCGACACTATGCCACGCTCTACTTCATCCTCATCTCCACTTCCACCGAATCGCCTCTCGCTTTGCTTGATCTGATTCAAGTCTTTGTTGAAGCACTGGACAAGCTGTTCGAGAACGTTTGCGAGCTTGATCTTATCTTCAACTTCGAGACACTACACGCCGTCCTTGGCGAGATGATCGTAGGTGGCGTGGTGGTAGAAACGGGACTGGATAAGGTGGTCGAGGGCGTAAAGGCGCAAGGTAGGGTAGCTAAGAGGCCTGTGAATGAAAGCCGACCGGGCATGGGGCTTGGACAGGGCATATGGGCTGGTCGATGAACGGAGACGATCTATGTTGGTTGAAAAAGCATGATCTGCAGTATATGGCGGACGAAAGTGGCCGCAAGCTTGAAGAGATGGTTGCAGACCGGTCCATCGCCATGCGATTCGATCAGAATCTGCAAGGCAAGCAACAGAAGCAGCCTCAAAGTGACGGACAAAACAGGAGTCTCTGCGAAACGCCCGTTTGGTCAGCATATTCATGGCGGTCAAGCTTCCATCGTCTGGGCATTTCGGTGTAAATGGCAAGCTGGACTGAATGGCATTATGGACGGCACAGCGCTCGCTTGTCAGCGTTGGCTCCAAGGCGCTACGAAGAGAAGAGGCATCACGAAGCATGCTACGAGGCGTCGCCTTGGCCGGCCATTACGTCGCTTCGTTCTAGAACAATGGTAGGATGACCCTCAGGCTCTTCTTTGTTACTTGGCTTGCCCTCTTTGAAAAATGTCGAGAAGGAAGCGCCTTTGTTGAACCCGGCAGCATTTCTTTGTTCTTTGTCCAAAATGCTTTGTTGGACATGATCGCACTTGACATTGGGGACCGAGTATAACAAAAATTGGCTTCCCCCCCCAACGTATTCCTTTCAGGCAAGCGACTTTCGTGGTAAATCTCGTAGCTCAGCACAGTGTCCCTCAGCAACGTCCGAAAACCTAGCAGGCCTAGACGATACAACGCAAAGCTCAAGAGCATCGACGAACACCACACCGCCGTCACGACAGGTTTCAAATTGACCATTCCTCTGGGTGAGTCATACGCCCATCTTCCAAACGGTATGCCACTTCCACATCGTGCTTCCAATCTGCAGGCAGGCAGAAGCACAGTGGCTCCCAAGGTCCGGCCAACAAGCTCCAAATTCTTTGATTTTGCTGTGTCGGCACGCCGTATGAGTGGCAGCACTGTACGTACCGCTCGCAATGTCATTGAAAATAGCAAAGTCATGCGCGTCGGCAAGCGACCAAGACGGTGGAGAAGCGGCTGGAGAAAGGCTAAACATGTCTTGAAGGAGAAGACAGTCTTCCAGGTTCTCATTCATCGCAAACGCGGGCCGAGAGTCCTCTCCATTGGCTCTTCTCGTGTTGAGATTCGATCCACACCACCCCAGGTTGCAAGCAGTGAGACTCTGAGCAGCTCACAGAACCGGCATTCAGCGACTCCTAGTATCACCAGGACACTGCCATCGCAGAATGGGCGGTTCACGTATACCATTCACTATGGCCGCAACGGGTCCGGGAGTAGCCTTTCAGTGAGTGGACATCGCAACGCCTTGCGCTTTTCCCATCCCGTCGTCAACGCGGTGATTCCAACGCCATCTCTGCCGCAGGTATTGACTCCCATTACACCAACTCCGTACTCTGATAGCTACGAGCCTGCATGGTCTAGTTATCAACCCTCGCAAACGACAAGTCGTGAATCAACGAGCACATCTATCACGCCTACAAGCGCACAGTTCAATGGCCAGGTCAAACCGGAAGCTGTTGCTGGAGACCACGTTCGTAACTCGGCTCTAGGCCTCACCGTTCCACAGGCTCTCAATCAGTTGGATGGTGTCCCAAGCAGCTTGCGAGACAGAGTTGAGCTGCCAAGATCAGTCAACGAGCTTGTCTTCAAAAGTAGGGGACCAACCTGCGGTGGAAGACTTGGGCACCGTCGAACGACGGCACGCTCGCTCTACCTTGCTAAACCTCTTCCATTCGACGCTCGCGCCCTGACTGTCGATCTCGAGCAGTGCAACGGTGAGAGCAATCCAGCTGACTTGGAAAGACAGAATGCTCTATCTGCTCTTGAGGGTGAGTCCACCGTGCTAGAGTCCCCTTCGCCAAGCGAGAGGAGGCAGCGCCGAGAGCTGGCACCTTCGTCTTTGTATCTTGCTAGACCGCACCCTTTCGACGCCAACAGGCTCACGCAAGACCTCGAGCGATGCAATGGACAAGGTGTCTCATCTGAGGAGTCACGGCAGAATGCGCTGCAAGCACTGGAGGGCAGCATGCCTGCTCAAAACTCGCCTGATCTCGGCCCTCTGCTGCAGAAGTATGTCGCCGATGCGCAGAAGCAGGGCAAACGTGCTACGCAGTACCCGGGCAAAGAAGCGTACGGGCAGAAGCGGTATACCGCTTTCAATCCGTCCATGCTTCCAGAGCCGCTCCGGACTTCACAGGACAACAGACCTATCACGCGCGTCGTTTCTCCGCCAGCCGACGACAGTGCGATTGCAGGTATCGACAAAGGCAAGAGACCTACCGACCGCCAAGTAGAGCAGGACCTCGAAAAGGCGCGCCGGCGACAATTCCGGAACGCCAGTGCTCGGGACTTCTCCGGTCTGCAAGTCGAGCAGCTTGGCTCACACTTCGCTGTCGAGCAGGAACCTGCTCGCCCGGTCCGTAAGTCCCGTCGTCTGGATTCGTCTCTGCCTCCGGCTGCACCAGCGTCCCCTCCCTCCCCGCACCGCAAAAGTGTCGTGCTAGACAATGGCTACCCTCCACTCCAGGGTGCACCACTTCAGCACATCAAGCGCAAGCCGCTGAATGCAACAAAGCCACCTCTCGCGCCGCCACTGCCGCATTTGCCTTCGGCACCGCAACCGGGCGAATCTACGAAGGCGCAGATTGCGGCGTATACCGAGATGGCTCGACTTCACCAGGAGCAGAGCAGACTGATGCGGCAATATGCGGAAGATCTGTCCCGGCAATTTCCATCGCCACCACAGCAGGGAGGGGGGATCGAATGGAAGAGAACGGTGAAGAGGGCGATCATGAAGGACTGGTAGAAGGGTGGCAGGCACGTCATTCGAGGAAGATTTAGGTTGATGGTATTGTTAGTGTAATAAAGATATTGAAAGGTAAAGGGGGGAAATTTAGAGTGTGGCTGACTGTATGTCTTTGTTCGTGTTGAGAAAATCAGAGAAGCAGAAGAAGAATGAAGATCTTGGCCGTGACAAGTGACAGTAGAATGTGCTTTCCTGGGTATCTATCTTCGGAGCATATACTACTACATAATTTCAACAACGCCTCAAAAAAAGAAGAAGGAAAATAAATGTTACAATAATTCTCCCGGGAAACTCAGCAAGCTTTCCTCCCGTGTGTGTGTGTGTGTGTGTGTGTGTGTGTGGGGATATTTCTTGCTGTCCCATACTTCAAGACCGTCTCTCTGGAGAAAATCGCATTGCTCAATATCTCCCAGCTCGCTTAGTAGTTGTAGATGAAGGGGAAGGGAATAAATAATCAACAAGTGTGAAAGCGCAAGGCAATTTGTTGAAATGTTGCCCGTTTCGCTTTTGAAGTTGAAGTTGAAGTCGAAGTTCGAAGGAGATGTGACAGAAATTGAAACAACTTGCCGAGTCCGAGTTGAGGAAACAGTGCTCTGGAGCCTTTGGGTCGTTTGTTTGTTTGTTTGTTTGTCGGTCGGTCGTCGTCGTCGCGGGAGGTTGGAAGACGTCGTGGGCGTGATGATAAGATGGCTTGGTCGTCTTCCGTCAGTCTCCGCCAGCGGAGAAGCAGCAGATGATTGGAGTGGTTTTGGAAGTCCCTGTGGCTGCTGGCTTTCTTCGCCTTGCGTGTGCTAGGAGGTCCAGCGGGAGTCATTAGTACCGGCGACGACGTGATTTCTGAAATTCAGGGGAGAGCTCGTACCTCAGCCTTGTTTGCACGGTCTCGTTGAGAGCACTCGTGTTCGTGCGGATGAAGCAGCCGCTGTCGAAACTGGCACTGTAGTGAAGATGGCTGTGATCTGCGCGACGGGAGACTTCGCCTGCCGTTATCTGGCTCGAGAAGAACGGGTCTTGAAGACGTAGCAGCAGCCAGAGAAAGGGTTCCGGAAGATATAGCCGAGGTAGAGAAGCAGTGAGCAGTGAGAGGATCCCGAGCAGAAAGCTGCACAAGATGGCGACTGGAGCTACGAGTCATTCGCCCAGCATCTCCATGAGTTCCGTACCAAGAGCCTCCTTCCCGCTCTCGTCATCGAACTCGAGGGCAGGAATGTAGTGGTTTCGGATGAAAAGGTCCATCTCGTCTGGAACAGGGTAGTAGAAATCGTCGAGCGAGTAGCTCGGAATGATGGATCGCTGCATCCAGTTGACGGTCTCGTTGCCGCCCACCCTCGGACATCCAAGACACCGACCGTGCAGTCTGTCGGTCGAAATGCGCTCGTCGCCCTCGTATTTGCTTTCTGTTCGAGGTGGCCAGTCCGCGATTTCCTTCTCAATGGAGGTCCAGCCTATTGCCTCGCGGCCGAGGTAATCCTCGTTGGTGCGATGGACAAGATACTCATGGCTAAAGACCGTCTTTCTGGCCAAGACAGTGGAGCGGTTGTCGCCAAAGTCCTTGTCGCCGAAAGCAGGCTTGATGGTGACAGGCAATCGATAGTAGGGCTCGAGCTTCAGGTATTGCTTCCGCTGTTCGATTTCCTTGTCAATGCGTGCATCCCTGTTATGGAATTCCTTCTGCATGGCCTTGTTGACTTCTAGCCGATGCTTCTCAATGTCGAAGTTGAGCTCCCAGGCGACGGAGTTACGACAGAATTTCTCACGATGGCCGTTGAGGCGCGTGAGTGTCTTCTGCTTCACGGCGTGCGGAGCAACCCAAGTCCGGGAAGACGAATGCATATTGATTGCTGTTTTGGATATCGTTGTTATTCGGAGGTATGCTTGCAGCTGTTGGAAATGCACCGTCAGTCATTTGGTGATCCCTGGCCCATGTCGGCGAGCTTGTGTTGATTGCTTTCAGTCTCTTTACCTCCGTTGACTGAGTGGTGTGAGGGGTTGATATTGTCGAAGAACGCACGAAGCGTCAATCGGTGCCTGGTGTTGTTTGGTATCAGCGCTTGACCAATGCCGATGTACAGTAACGCGTCAGTGTGGCTGTAGTGGCTGCAGCTCTGGCATTGGCTTGGTCGTGATGTTCGTGTCGTAGAGGGTGTTGCGAGTGTCGATGAAGACATGCAAAAGCACAGTTATAGTCAAGACTACAAAAGTGAAGCCTAAGACGTGCCACATCTCGCCGCCTGCCTGCTGAAATGAAACAAGCAAGTAAAGTGAAAGCTGTAAGAGAAGACCGTCCGGTCCTACTTACCGTCCTTGCGAGATCATTCGCTGGTGTAATTGCCGACTTCTTAAAACTCACCACACTTGATGTGCTCTGAAGCCTTTGAAGGGGGCCGAGAATGCTGATAATGATGAAGCCCAAAAGAGTTACGGGAGATTTTGTTAAACAGTAGCTGTATGCGTTGAATGACCTCGCCGTTGTCGCGGTCACGCGTCAGGTACACGTGCGATGGAGAGGCGCGCCTGCTGTTCTTGCCTGGGTGAAGGCCACCAATAGCGTGTAAGGGTTCCCAACGTGTTATTGTCCGAGATTAGATATGTCGGTGCCTGTGCCTTCGATCACTGCTCGCGGTTTTGCTGCGGGCATGGAGTCGGATATGGTTATGAACGGTCGTGCCGTTTCAAAGCGTGGCCTGAGTAGTGATCTGGCTGCGTGGTTCTCGTCGTCTCGCGTTGAAGTGGCTTGTCCAGCGGTACACGGGATGTTCTCGGGGAGGTTGAGGCCAAGTGGTAGATTGAGGGTATGTGCAACCCAAACTCTAGCGCAAGGCTTGCCTCGCAATGGTTCGATATGGAATCTGGCTGCTAGATCGTTTGGACTACGAGTCTTGGAGAGGTTGTTGTTGGTAATCGTGTAGTTACTAGGCCCGTATGTCGATAGAGAGCGACAGACGCTTAACTGCGCGGCTATATGGCAGCGAAAGCTTTGGCCGCCGACACCGGACCACTTTCATGTGAAAATGCTTGCGCCACATGAACATGTGACCAACTGCCGATATTCGATAGAGATGACTTTCCTGTCAGCGGCTTATCATGATGGCTATGAATGAATCGAGTGGGGAATCAAGATGTCGTCGAGATGATCCGCTCGGCTCGGAGCCCAGTCCGGGGTGATGGCTGGAAGAGGTCCTGGTCGCAGTGACATCACCGGTATGACCAGCCTGAGGAATCATGACCTTCAAGGCAGGCTGTGGAATGTCGGAAGAAGCCCTCTTGGAGTGCCCTCCCTTTATTCTGGGATAGCCATGGAGAATCAAGGGGAATCTAGCAGGTATATGTCGGAGATTGGGAGAGGAGAGAAAGAGCTGAGGTCGGCAGAAGAGAGTTGGTCGGCGTCCATAAACCGGGCAGGAATACGCTAGGGCCGGCACTAGCGCTCAGCTAGCACTAGCGCGCAAGAGACGCCACGTGACGTGTCGGGGGCTCAAAAAGACCACGAAGCCCGGCCTGCGTCGTCTTTGAGGAGAGCGGAGGGTGGACGTCTCCTGTCGTCGCTGCGGCGGTGTATGGAGACGTCCACCGACTCCCTCCTCGCTATCGTATCCGCACTGCGATCGAGGATTCCCGAAGATGTCGACCTTGGCCGGCCCGAGCATTTGACAACACCGCCGCAGTAGCGTAGCGTCTCCGCCACAGCTCACCTTGGACAACGGCAGCATCCTCACTGCTGCAGGAGACGCCTCCGCCCCGGAAATGCCTCGCCGCCGTCATCGACAACAAGGACGACATCACTCCCCTTCCGTTCGGCGGTGCTCCAGCTCTTGTAGGCCGCGACCGCTTCGTTCGTTGGCCGCGAGTGTTTCGCCCTGTACGCGCCGTACGCCTGCATGACGAGGCCCGTGCCGTGACTTGGCGCCCTTCCAGGAATGGCAGGACGTCAACAACTGGCTACTGCTGAGACGCCATGTTCGACGGCCATTGTGTGTTTCAGACAAAGATTCCCAGATGCCCGCATGACCGGTCATTCGTAGATTCACCATGGTGCGTACCCAATCTTCTTCATTGTCCTGCTCATTGTCCTCCCAAATCCCCCCACCCACGCCCACGCCCACCTCCTCGCCCTCGACCTTACCCCTCCAACGCCGACACGAATTTCGTTTGTACATCATCCTTCTTCTGCTGCATAGCGTTCGTGGCGTTGCATACCACAAGGCGCGGGCTTGCTTTCGGCAATAAGAATAATCTCCCTCACTGCGAACAACACACTGCACATCACGCTGCGTTCACGCCAGCACTTACATACCAATTTCTGCTTCACCGCGACTCGGGCCCTTCTGGAAAGCGCCACTTGAACAGACACTAAGAAATCACCCACAGGCCGTCCGCGACTTTCAGCAGCAGTCGACATGGCACCCTCAGAGAATCAACAGCAATACCCAAATCCCGCGCCTCCGTCTCCTTCCGCTGGCGGCCATGAGACGCGCGACTACTACGCCGCGCAGGATGCATCACGACCCCCCTCACAAAATGAACCATACCTGACACCTTACCTCGGTCTTCGAGCTAGACTCTCGCAGACCTGGATCAATCGCTGGACCATCCTTCTTTTGCTCGTACTCGTTCGGACCCTCTTCGCGATTGCAAGCGTGGACGACAACCTCGGAACGGCGAGAAAGCAGGCCTTGAGTGCCTGCACTTCCGTGGAGAATGTGGGCTCTGCAATGGCGTCGATGCCACACTACATGAGCCAAGGAATCAACGAACTCACCGCCAAGAGCATTGAGAAGGCCATCAACGGCCTTATGGAAATGCTCATCCTCACCGTTACTGGCGTTGAGGAGATCGTGCTCTTCATCATCAACCTGCTGACTTCGACCTACCTCTGCCTCTTCACCTTCGCGATCGGCGGCAGCCTACACGTCGCCGTGTCTGTCGCCGAAGACGTCGGGGACTTTCTCAACTCCACCGTCAAAGACGTCGGCAAGGACCTCAGCTCTGTCGCAACCGACTTTCAAAAGGCCATGAATGGCTTCATCGCCGACATCGACAAGATTGGAGACTTTCTCACTGGTAAAGACACGAAGCCGCCGACAATCGATCTGACAAGCGAGATCAGCAGCCTCAATGGCCTCAAGCTCCCTAGCGACTACGATCAGGGTCTCGAAAAGCTTAATTCTTCGATTCCGACCTTTGACCAGGTTCAGAATCTCACGAATTTTGCCATCAAGTTTCCATTCGAGGAGGTCAAGAAGCTGCTGAACGAGAGCTTACCAAAGTACACCATGAACGGCTCGGTATTTCCAGTTCCTGCCAAGGAGCAGCTCACATTCTGCTCCGACGACGACGGAGTCAATGACTTCTTCGACGCCCTCATACACATTGAGCAGCTGGCGAAGAAGATCTTTTTCGGCGTCACAATTACCTTGGCAGTGCTGGCCATGATCCCCATGGGCTATCGCGAGATTCGCCGTTGGCGAACAATGCAAGAGAGAGCACAGACTATCAGGAGCAAAGCGCATGATCCACTAGACGCAGTGTACATCGTCTCTCGACCGTATACTGCTGGCTTTGGACTATGGGTGGCAAGCAAACTCTCTTCGCTTCGTCGCCGCGCTCTAGTCCGTTGGAGTATTGCATACGCGACGACTGTTCCCGCTCTCTTCGTGCTTTCACTCGCGATCGCTGGCCTCCTCGGCGCACTTTGTCAATACATCCTGCTCAAGGCGCTGGAAAAGGAAGTGCCTGCCTTGGAGAACCAGATCATTGGCTTTACCGACAAAGTCATCAACTCGTTGAACAACGCTAGCGAACAGTGGGCTGTTGGCACGAATCACATCATCAATGAGACAAACACCAAGATCAATGATGATGTCTTCGGATGGGTCAACACCACTACCGGGGCGATCAATAACACACTCAACGTGTTTGTAGACGAGATGATGAAAGCCGTCAATACGACATTTGGTGGCACCGTCCTTTACGACCCTGTGACGGAAGTACTCCATTGCTTGGTGCTTTTGAAGATCAAAGGCATCGAGAACGGGCTTACCTGGGTGAGCGATCACGCTCACATCGATATCCCCATGCTTCCGAACGATACATTCTCACTGGGCACTGTTCAGAAAGTCTCCGGCTCTTCCACCGACATTCTGGCCACCGGACCCAATGGCACGGCTACCGATGCAATCACTGACGCCGTGGACCATGTCTTCCGAGCTCTTGCTGCGGGAATCCGCCAAGAGGCCATCCTATCGACATGCGTTTTATTGATTTGGGTCATCATTGCCCTCATCGGTTTTGGCAGAGCATTCTCCATGCTATACAGAAGTGGCGATGCTGGCGTATATTCAGGACCAAGCGTTCCCAGTCGCCGGTCTCCCCCGGTTGAGAAGTATGAGCTCCATCAAGTTCCTACCTACGAGCAAGCGACCGGGATCGCGCAACCTGGCATTCATGCCGGAAACAAGTACAATGGTCACTCCTACACTCTTACGCCAGCCCCAATCCCAACTTTCGAAGTCAACAGCGCTACTTCGCCCGTCATGCACACAGGCTTTAGCCCACGGGTGAATGAGAAGATGGGCACTGTCAATGGCCAGAACGTTGATTCCGCTATCCGCCGTCCAACACACCTCCGAGCTTCAAGCCATGGTGACTACGCAATCACGTCACCAACGTCGCCACCTACACAACCGAACCCATTCCTGACTGCGAATGAAATCAAGGATCCGCGACATGATCCGTTCGCTGATCCAAGACGTTGACCCGCTGTCATGAGTCGGTGTCAGTCACACATCTGACCGCTCTCCTTCCTGTCCGATCGGCCAGTTGGCTGGAAGGGCTCTGTGTCAACCGTATGATCACGCGTCTTGGTTCAGCGACTGTAGACGAGACTTTAAATACGCTCAGGCCGAGGAGTGACTCCGGTCTCTGTGTCTTGCTGCTCTGCGCAGACACGGGCGCATCATGCAGCTTCGGCTGGCATTTGCGCAAATTGAGCTTCATTTGTGAGCGTTCTTGCGTTGTGCGCTGCACCTGTCATTTTTAAGCAGCGTTGAGAAACCCCTTCTTTACATCCTCACCAGGATCTGGATTCTTATGATACCCATGGTTGGACGAACATGAGCTTTCTTGGAGATTTTGGTTGCTTGAGATGAAAGAGAAGGCGTTGCATTTCCTTTGGTTAGTCGACCTCGAGCCCCCACCCATCCCGCTCCCCTCCTTCATGTCTCCTGCTGTGCGTAGATACGTCCGCTTCTGACCTCAACTTGTCGAGACTGGTACTTGAGATGTCCCGCGAGGCTTGCCCCGGGTCTTCGGAAAGATGCAGTACTCGCAAGGGTTTGAGGCGTCGCGGACACGCACTGCGCACTACCAGCGAGCGTGAAGCACGAGCCGGACATGTGTTGCCACGCTTCAGGTGCGTGGCATGAGTTGGTTTCATGATCTTCGGAGAGTGACTTTCTCGGGGATGGCCGCTCTTTCGCCGTTTCTCGTCTTCAGACCTTCTCTGCTGCTATGCGCGAGACTGAGTCTTGAAGGAGATTCCGTGCTGACTGATAACGAGCGTTGCAAGGAGGCGTGCCGTGTGCGGTTGTTCATTTGGCATCCCTGTCCCCTGGATAGTGGGTTGGTTCACTCCATACGGTCCTCCGGGACCGAGCGGAAATCTGTTGCTCGTCTTCGCAGGTGTACATGTGCGTGCAGAGGCGATGGGGGCACAGTAGAACCTGACCGTACATACCTTCCTTCACGATGTCGCTCATTGATCTTCCGATGGGGAGCGCAGAATAGCCGTACGTAGCATGACAATCCGATCGACTCCTCATCACATGATAGAATTTTGTTTTGGAGCCAGTCATTCACTCACCACGCCCTTGAAGTTCTCTCGCGAATCTGTGCCCCGCGATCGGATCTAAACGGGAGTGGCTTGTGCGCCTCGTCCCGCGGCCCTTAGCGCATGAGCTTGTTTCATCAGCCTTACGAGGTGATGCCCTGCCCGCGTTCGAAACCGAATAATCTCCCGTCCCCTCTCACCTCTCCTTTACCATCACATATACCATAGCAGCACCGGTTCATCTTGGCGCCGTACACCCGTGCAAGCCATTCTGGGCGCGACATCGACTGGATACTCACTACTGCCACTGACACTGGCACCGGTACGGGCACTCGCATGACATGCCGGGCATCCGGTACATATCGCCCCTCGTAGCACGACAACATGGACCTCCCGCTGCGGCCCCCTCCAAGACCACGATCGCCCTCAGGAAACCGCTCGCAGTCGTCACTTTCACAGACTTCGATGCGCAGCGAGTCCAGCCTTTCCAACGCCTCCAACGAGTCCATTCAGCCATCCGTGAATAATAATAAGCGCTCTCCCTACTTGCAACAGCAGCCTCCCGTCCGTCCGGCCACCGCTGGAGGTCTCACACCATCGCAGAGCACCAGCACGCTCCAAAATGTCCCTCGACATGCGACTCGAGGCTCCGCAGATATTACCACACGGACCGCATCCCCGGGAATGCCAGGCCAGCAATTTGGTCACCGCGCGAGACAGCACAGCCAGGGATTCTTCGAACCTTCTCTTCCACACGCGACTCCGAATAGCAACAGCCTGTCCGCGTCGCAGATTGCGGCCCAGGCTGCCATGCACCATGTTTCGCCTCCCTCGCGCGAGATCAATGAGCGCAAACGCTCAAATCCCGGTCTGGCTCCGATCAATACTGGAGGGCCCGCGCGCAGCCGGCGGCCAAGTGACAACCAGAGTCCTCAGATGTCGTCGATTCCGGGACTCACTTACAGCAACGGGACCGTAGGTGCCAACAGACTCGCCGCTACAAGTGCCGCGAACGCAGCCTTCCCCAATGGAAGAACTCCACTGCCTTCACCAAATGCGCCTCCTCCGCCGAATATGCTGCCTCTTGGCCCGCCACCCGACAAGGAGCCAAAATCGAGTCGCTCCAAGATGAAGCTCTTTAAGCCCAAAACCATCAATCTCTCCAAGGAAAAAGAAGCGAAAGCGGCGCCCGGTGCACCGTCTCCTGGGAAGACGCCAACAACCTCCAATTTCCTACGGAGTGGCTTTGCAAACGCCTCTACAACTAGCCTCATCGACCCGAGTTCCGCCGCGAGCTCTCTGTATTCATCGGCCAATGCGTCTACCTCTACTCTGGTTCCCATGATCTCCGAGAAGGACAAGGAAAAGAGGCATCACTTCTTGTCGCGGCAGAAGCACAAATTGCGAGATGAACCTGCCCAACTACCGCTGTCGTCAGCGCATTCCAACTCACAGGCAACGAATCCGGACAAGCCTGCGCCTCTGTATTCATTCACACCGGACTCTCCCGCGCAGAGCACTTTTGCCAAGTCAATGTCTGGGTTCGATCTGAGACACGGCGGCCGAGCATTACGAGAGAAGAAGAAGGAAGAGAAAGCCGCAGCGGCTGCAGCAACTCTGAACTTGACGCAAGTAACATCCAATACTTCAGGGGGGACAGCCGATCAGTTCCTTGGACCTAGCAGCTTTGACAATCCACTCGGCCCGCCATCAGGGAATGCCAGCGTATTCTCCCTCCCCGCCGAAACCCCATTGCCCGTATCTGCTCAAGCCTTTAGCAACATCGGTGCGCAAATGGGTCTGCCTGGGATCGGGCCGGATGATGCTTGGCCGCTTCTGAAGGCGAGATTACTGAATCTCTTCTCGGGGGAGAATCTTCGGACACCGATAGAGGATTTCAATGCCCTTGTGAGCGTCCATGTACGGCGCTGCATCCAACGCCGGTCACCGATTGTGCTAGTCGAAGACGTCAGGGAGCTATTACAGACAGGATTCGTTTCTCTTGCGCAAACACTAAGAGGAATTCCAGACGACAGACTAGTCACGAATCTGGTCGAGATGTGGATTGGCGTCTATGGTGCAATTCTGCCTTTTCTCCAGGCCGTGTTCCTACCTTTGGAGCTGGAATTCCAGGGTCGTGGCAACCTAATGACAGCGCGAGAAGCGCAAGAGTTCTGGGGCGTAATTCCGGAGTCCTTGAAACATGACGAACGGCCGGCGTCTGCTGGTGGCGGCAGCAGCAAAGCGATGCATCTTTCTGACGAGCTTGAGATGAGGAGAATCACGCTCATTGCATTCCGGGATACGGTGATACTGCCGAAGCACGAGGTGTTGATGCACATTTTCAGCAGACTGTCCCTCGACAGCTTCAACAATCCAGCCTCTGCTTCTGATACTGCGTCCAAAGGTCGAGAGCACGCCAGGAGTGATCCCGCAACGACGGGTGCCGAGCGACCTGGTACAGCGGGAAGTCTTAGCCCGCGCCTAGCTAGCTTCAATTCGCAAGCTTCGACCCTGTTGGATGCCGCGAGCACATCGTCCGGAGGCGCTATGAGTCTGGCGAGTCGAAGCAGAGCGACATCCAACACATCAGCCGGCAGCTTTGGCACAAGCATGCCTCACATAACCTCGCCGCTGAACTCTGGTCCGGGAGGCTTCAGCGCTACGAGCCAGCCCCAGTCGTCACCTGTGCCCATCGCAGACCCTGCGCAGGTCACCGAGACGGTGGCTAGAATGCTGCAGTGCCTCTACGTGCTCGCTTCGTGCCAGACTGGCGATGTGGCGCAAGGTAATATCGAGCGCCTCACAGGAGCGCTGAAGTACAACTGGCTAGGCAGGGGTAGAACAGGAAGAGACAGGAGAGGATGGGTTGGTATCAAGTCTGGACAGCGCGTGGGCCTCGTGAGAGCGTAGTTAGCCCATAATCTTGAGGTTGGACAGTATACGCTTCACTTGGAGTTGAAGTTGAAGTTGGGTTGGAGACCGGGTCTTTGACTTGCTTGGGATGACGGATTAGATGAGAATATGCCGTAACGACACCTTTTCAATCCCTGCAGTTGGGCGAGCGCGGTCGATTTGTAAGGCTCGGCCAGGCCTTGGGTAGGGTTTCGGAGGTCGAGCCTGAGCCCATGTGGTTGTCTTTAGCTCGCACTGCATGTCCCATTTTGGAGGTAGTTTGAGACTCCCCCTGTAGCTGCTAGCGGATCTTGCCTGCTGCCTGCTGCCTGCCTGCTAGGCTGGTTCGGATGTCTTCAATAATGCCCCCCTCACTTGTTGCCATTAACCAACGGGCCTCACTACTTGCCGATATAAAAAATTATTGCAGCGACAATACCAACATAGGAACCGGGAATTACCTCCACGAGCAAGAATCTCGACTCCAAGGCTCACACCACCACCATCGAGAGAGTCTAGACCTCCACTGGAGAAGCTCTCTCTCTCTCTCTCCAAAGACAAACATGCCCGTCATGCTCAAATCCACACCGGGAGCTTCCATCCATCCCAAATTCAAAGACTTCCTCCTCACGGACATCCAGTACAAGACGGTCCACGGCATCCCCATCCCGGCCACCATCCTCCTGCCCACGCACATCGCCCACAAACCGGGCAGATACCCCGTGGCGATCCGCTGGCATGGCGGCGGCTTTGGGACGGGCCACCGACTCTACGGGGACTGGTATGCGTCTTTCATCCTGGAGCTGTACAAGAAACACAACGCCATCGGCATCACGGTCGACTATCGCCTCGCGCCCGAGGCCAACGGGATGGAGATTCTGCAGGACCTCAAGGATTTCTATACCTGGCTCTTCGCGCCGGCTTCCAATTTGGCGGCCGCGCTCCCGGAGGGCGTTGAACCCGATCTCACGTCCGTCCTGGTGAGCGGGGAGAGCGCCGGGGGCTGGCTGGCGATACAGTCGGCGCTCACGCAGCCCGCGGGCAGGTTCGCGGCGGTGATAGCGCAGTACGCCATGATCGACCTGCGCGACGGGCACTACACGCAGCACTACCACAAGCAGATCTTCGGGTGCCCGCAGTACGACGCGGCGGAATTCCACGCGTACGTGGCGAGTCTCAAGGGCGACGAGGTCGTCAGTAGTCGCAGCCTGCCCTCCGACGAGGCGGCGCAGCAGCGCACCATCACCATGTTCCAGCAAGGGCTGTATGCGCGCTTCTTCGGGCGCGAGAGGGAACTCTATCCGTTGGAGATGCTGGATGGGGTTGCCTACGAGACGCCGATCTGGGTTCTGCATGGGGAGAGGGATAGTGCGGTGCCGATTGAGGGGTCGAAGAAGTTGGTGGAGAAGCTGAAGGGGGGCAAGGCGAGTGTGCATACGTCGTTTGTGGAGGGGGAAGAGCATGGGTTTGACCTGCTCGGGGCGAATGGGCAGCAGGCGGGATTGGAGACGACGACGTGGGTGAAGGAGGGCGTGGAATTCATCGAGAGGTTCTGGCCGAAGCGGCAATGATCCGGCTACGATGGATGGATATCAGGTCGAACCATGATATACGTTTCTCGCTCGCTTCATCAATGGAAAACCACCTTGCGACCTGTCGCGGAGGCAATGCATTCTTCCACGCTTGGATGGCCGGCCAGTGTTGGCATCCCTTGCTGTCATCGCATTGACGGATTTGAAACAAGCACAAGCCTCTTGTCACACTACACCTTGCGGCAAACATGTTCCCGTAGTGCAGACTGACCTCGAATGAAGTGGACATCAATCGTGGAATGATGGGAGGTGAACACTTTATGAAAGTAGTCTAGCATTCCTGCTATCAATGACACTGTACAGACTTTGTCATTAGCATCCGTTGCCGGTCCAGATTAACAACGGCAGTCGACCGGCCAGCCGTTCCGCCAGCCTCATCGCCGACAAACGCCTCACTCTCCGGCCGTGAACAATAATTCCGGAGCCCCATCAGGCTCAAATGCAACATTTCTCCCAGTCAACTCCTGGAAAAATGCGGGTCCCATATGAGTGGAAACATTTCCATGGACAATCTCTACGCCTTGTCGTTGAGCAATGCCTGCAAGCTCGTCCACTTCTGCTTGATCGTCTCGTAATCCGCTTGAGTCTGCGATCATTGTCAGCATCGTGTCAGCGTCAAGTCGCAATGGAGAGTACGCCACCTGTGCATGTGCCATCTTGGCATTCACCAATTCATGTTCCATTTCGTCCATCTCCTCCTTGACCGCGCGATTCTCGTTCTGGACCTCGATGTTCCGCTGCATAATCCGATCCATTTCCTCCTTCAGCTTCTCCTCGACCTCCGCGGGCTGTGCATCCACCATCTTCTGCAGCTCTGTGACCTTCAATTTGAGCCCTTCGTTCTCGTCATGCAGCGTCTCGTTCTCCACCTTGCATTTGACGAGGTCTTGTGCTATGTCCACATGCTCGGTGTCGGATTGCTGTACCCGCTCCTCGAGCGCCTTGACTCTATTCGTCAGAGCAATGTTCGTTGTCCTCAGTGTCTCCAGCTCGTTCCCGCGCTCGCGTTCCGTCCGCTGGTTCCCTTCCCACTCAACAGTATACTGCGCTAGCGTCTCGTCGGAGATCTTGATGTTGCAGGCGTCCCTCACCATCTCATCCGCCCGGTAGAGCTCCTTGTCAGCACCGCCAGAGACCGACCCGAAGAATCCAGAGTCCAGAAGAGATGATGCGGACGGGGACTTATCAATGTAGACGTCAAACAATTTGTCCTTTAAAAAGTTTGTCAAATGACTCATGTCCTTCATCTCGAGCAATGCATCGCGATTGCGCTGCATCAAGACGATGCCAAATTTGAGGATCGCTGTCAAGCCTTCGCTGAGGATTAGGTCGTAAATCCGTAACACGAGCTGTAACGGGAACCGGTAAGCAAACAAGGTCAGGAACCATTGTGTCGCGTACAGCTGGGGTCCGACATTTCGTCGCCGGAGGTGACAGTACACGGCCGGCTCATGTTCTTCTAGCAATCGTTCGAATTGATATAATCGCAGGTGAAGTCCCGTCATCTCGGGGATGAACATGCTGCGGAGGTCGTACTTGCTCATGAGCCGGACCAACAGTGTGAATGCTTCCTCCTGGTCCAAGTTAAACAGCAGAGGCATGACGATGAAATTGATGCCTTGTGCGTAACCGACGCCTTCGTCGAACAAAGCGTATGCTTTGCAGACACCGAAGAGACCATCCTGTAGCCCGGCCGACTGCGTGTATTTGCTGTAAGATGTGCGCGATCCCATGTCACGCCTGATGGCCTTCTCCAGCTTCTGCAAGGCGGCAGCTTCGCGTTTCTGCTTCTCCTCGAGGAGCTTGGCCCGGAGCTCGGGTCCAGTGCTATCAACTGATATCGACGTCGGAGGACTTGCAACCCCTGAATTGGCCGTAGTAGAGTTGTCCGAGTGCTCGCTGGAGGCATCCGAGGCGATGGCTCCTTCTTTATCGGTGGATGTGCCATTCACGCCAACCGTGGATTCGCTCCGTGAAGGCGCATGGCGCCGTTCTGCATCCGTACCCCTAGCTTTCAAGGTTCGGTATACATTCTCCAATTCTTCATTCTTGCTCTCGGCCAGAATTTGCCAAACGACGCCCCTTATCGCGGGAGGTATGCCAGAGGTGATTGCCTTGTTCAATTCTTCTCCGCTGGTCCTCGCAACAACGGCCGGACCCTCATACACCAGCTGCTGCCACAGATCCCAATTGACCTCTTTGGGCTCGACTGCAGGTCCTGCCGATATACCTGACGCCGTACCGGGCGGCAGGCTCGGATTCAGCGGTGGTGACTTCATTCCGGAGGTGGGGGACGACCTGCCTTCCCGAGTCAGACCCGCTGGCGACCGTGAATCCGCATCGCTTTGTGCCCTCTCACTCCTGGTCTGCTCCTCGTCACCGGCCTGTCCATTGGCATCGTGTACACTGAATTCTTCCTGCCTTCGCAGATGAGTGAATTGATCCTGGAGGCTGGGTTTGGGACTCTGGCTGCTGTTTGTGAGCCCATTGCCATCCACAGACGCCGCTGAGGCAGCAGTGCCACGTCTCTCGCTAGTCCTGCGTTCTTGTCGCGGCGCCGGAGGTGATTTGGCTGGTTTCCTGATGCTGCCCATCCTGCCAAGTAGAGCTCCGAAGCCACTTGATGCTTTGCGTGCTAGAGCCTCGCGAGGCGAAGGGACTCGTTCGTTCCCATTCTTCTGTTCCAGGTTCTGCGCTCGCTCGGTAGTGGACGGCGGTGGCTGCATGATTCGCACGGGTGACTGGGAACGAGACCCTTTACCAGGGGATACGCTGCGGTCTCGGGAGGCGGAGGGCGGGGATGTGGGCGGTGGCAGGTCGGGGGTGTCATCGAGAGTGGTGAGGCGCGAATGTGCGGGTTGCGAGGTCGCGCCGTCTGTCTGGACCGCAGACTCGTCGCTGTCTTCAATGGTGGGCATTTGTGCGGAATCTTGGCTTTTGCTGACATGCTCCTCATTGTCCTTGGCCATGGTGCTCTGGATGTTTCCGCCAGCACCCACTATCCCCAATCCTGCTCCATCAGCTGCGTGCTCTTCCCCCTCGTCCTTCACGGATGCAGGTTTGTCGTCATGCTTGCGCTCGGGTTCCGCAGATGACGGCGGCTGGGTTGACGCAGCGTCTGCGAAATCTTCCTACAAGGCAACAGGTCAATGGGGGTGGTCGGAGGGAACGGGTCGTTTCATTGCTGAAACGCTGAGCGCATCTTACAGGCTTGTCGTCGTCCTCGTCCCCGTCTTTGATGCGCATCTCGGAGGCCATGCTTGCAAGGGAGAGGCGGGAATTGGCACTGCTCTTCCTGGAGCCGCGTAGCGCCTTGCCCGGGCGGGTGCTCTTGCGACGGTCAGGTATACCAGGAGCTTGGTTGCGATCGATATGGATAGGAGTCGATGGTGTGGCAGGTGAAGTGGGTGGAGAGGCGGTTAGAAGAGTGTCGGTTAAGCTTCCGGTGGATGCAGATGCAGGTGCAGGTGCAGGTGCAGGTGCAGGTGCAGGTGCTGTGGGTGCAGATACAGATGCAGATGCAGGTGGATCTCCTTGTGGTGGTGCTGGCTGTGCCTGTGCTGCCAGTGCTGCCATGGTTACATGTACAGTAGTACTAGTAGTGGTGCGGTGTAGAGCGACATGAGGGACGGCGGAGAAGAGGGTTGATTCGTGTTCTGGTGCACACGATACCGGCAGGATACAGGTGTGTTGTTATTTCGTGTGAACAGCTCATCGGCCATCGGCAGTCGTCGCAGTTTCAGGCCTAATATCTGACCGCTTCTTCGCCATCGCCGTAGCCAATAACAACCTGGACGACTAAGCTTTCGAGCTTGTCCTTCCCGCTCTCGCCGTGCTCCAGAATTAGATCTTTTTAGCGAGTCGCGACATGTCGGCACGTGATTATACCGCCAGTCCAATGCCAAGCCCAAAACACCCCAGGATTATTTTATTACCCTTGGAGTCTGCTTTGCTTCTGATTCAACCTCCCAAGCGTTGGCTACGGCTCCGAGCAGCACCTGGAGTGCGCCATGAGGTACGCACCTCAGACACGTGCTGACCAAGGCTGTATGGAAAGTTGGCCTCCCAACATGAAGGTCGCCCGAGCGCTCGATACCTCAAGCACGGCGTCTGGATCAACGGGAGTAGCACAAGAGAGCGATAAGCCGTGTCTTTCAAGACCTCTCCAGCTAACTCTTTCATCATAGAACCTCGCGATGGCCATCCCAGAGACTCAATATCTCCAACGTCAAGTTCGCCTCGGGAAGTGAATATATGCGTCACGTGATCGTTATGGAGCTCTATTGACCCGCTGCTTCTTTATTGAGCCAACAACACACAAGGCCATTCTTATTGAGAGAAACCAGTCACTCGCCAACAACACAATGTATTCTCACCTCTCAATAAGCCTGTCTTCCATCACCCTGTCAAAAATGCATTTCGTTTTCTCTTCCGAGTTTCGAAACCACCTCTTCTTCATCCAACCCTCCACACAGCGTAATTGAAGACCCAACACAAGAGCCTTTCAACATACTCAAGCAGCAGCTAGAAACGACTCTCCCGACTACTCTCGACGCAGTAACGAGCCACCTGCAGTCTACGCGGCCCTCACACAACCACCACAACATGTCTTCCCATTCCGATGTCGAGAAGGGCGCGGGCGTCCGAGACTCTTTTGCTTCCGTCCAACAACCGCACGATTCCTACGTCGCACATCAAGGAGCATTTCCCCCGCGGTACACCGAAGCCGTGAACGACGAGATGCGACGGTTTCCCGAACTGCAAGGCCAGACAGGCAATCGAGAGCCCCTCCAGTACGACGAGCCGGCCAAGCGTGACAAGCGACGGTCAGGGCTGTACTGGGCACTTTTGGCCCTCATCATTCTCTGCTTCGCGGCGTCCATTGGCACTGGTCTCGGTTTCTACCTCACTCGCAACAAGTCCGCAGAGGGCAATGGCCAGGTAAGTGTCACAACGACCACCACCACCCACCGCTCGACACATCCACCAGAGACTGAGACCCTAACGCAGACATCCCTCCAGACGCGAGACGTCGAGACGACAGTCACAATCTACACCACCCTCTCCGCTTCCACGACCTCGACATCTTCGTCCCCGGCAACCGTCACCCACACGGTCTTCCAGACCCTCTCTGCGTCCCCATCGACAAGCACACCCCAAACATCCACCGTCACCGCCGTCGTCACCCAATCCCCCCCGGAAACCCCGACCGTCACCGTCACCTCCACCACAACCCTCGCAGCCGGCGGCGGCGGGGCCATCGCTCCCTCGCCACCCACGACCCTCTCCGCAGTGACAGTGACACCTTCTCCACCCCCCAACGCCGCAGAGCAAGCCGCCCGCTCCAGCATCGCAGCCGAGCTCTCCCGCCTCGCCCAGAACCTCACCCCCTCGGCAATCCCTTCGGATTCCACCTGGCTCGCCTCGACTTCCACGTCCACGTCCACAACGATTCTGATGACGACTCCCGAGGCCGCGCCGGCCACGACGACGCAGAGCGTGCTGCCGACGCACACGGGCTGGGTGGGGAGGTGTGGCGTGCCCGGCGAATCGTGCTAGATCGGATCGGATCGGAGCACATCACAGGGGAGAGACGTTGGAGAAGAACAGGCCTGAGCAGCACAGGAGAGGGTGTTTCAGTTTCCACGAGTTTACGAAAGGGGTTTTTTGTATGAGTAGCATGATGAGCAGGAGGCAGCCTTGGGCCATGTTTGTTTGAGCTTTGTTGGGTTGAGAGCACAGGGGCTTCGAGCGGACGGGACTTCCAATTTTATAACTTAGCGTTGTAATATAAATCCACTTCTCCAAGGAGAGAGCTTATCACGAATACCCGCTTGGCTTCCACTTCACCTCCAGTATTTTCATCCATGTCCAAAAAAAGTGTTCATGTGAACAAGGCCGTTCGCACGGCAATCTATTCATAGTCTGTAGAAAGTTGGGTTAGAATGAACGACAAGAAACGTCATCGAGCATTATACATCAGTTTCGGATTGACGCCAGGCTTTTCCGTACAATCCAATCCAAGAGAGCAGCGTTGCAAAAACGTTATCGAGCGCCTTCAGCTTAGAACCTCAAGTCCCAGCCAATCTTCGGTCCAATGACAGGAAGCTCCTCCGCCACCGACTGCACGTCCTTGTCGCCTCTGCCGGACAAGCAAATGACCACGTTCTCATCTTCCCTCATCGTCTTTGCGAGCTCCATGGTCCCGAAGATGGCATGGCTGGTCTCCAGCGCAGGAATGATGCCTTCCAGCTCAGACAAAGTCCTGAAGCCAATGAACGCTTCCGCGTCGGTTGCAGCGATAAACTTGGCTCGGGAGCTGTCCTTCCAGCCCGAGAGCTCCGGTCCGACACCAGGGTAATCCAACCCAGCAGAGATGGAATGCGTGTCGTTAATCTGGCCTTCTGCGCTCTGCAGAATATATGTTCGCACGCCGTGGAGGACGCCTGGCTTCCCTCCCGTCAGCGTAGCGCTATGTCGATTGGTATCAACACCATCCCCACCGGCTTCCACGCCGAGGAGCTGGACGCTCGGGTCTTGTGAGAATGGATGGAACATGCCAACGGCATTGCTGCCACCGCCGACGCAAGCAACCACAGCATCAGGTAGTCGCCCGGTCAACTCTTGCATCTGCTGCTTCGTTTCGCTGCCAATGACACTTTGGAATGTCCGCACCATAGTAGGGAAAGGGTGAGGACCGATAGCAGAGCCGATGATGTAGTGCGTTGTGTCAAGCTTCTCTACCCATTTGCGCAATGCTTCGTTGACGGCGTCGCGGAGTGTTCGTGAGCCGGCTTCCACTGCCACCACCGAAGCGCCAAGCAGCTTCATACGGAAGACATTGAGCGCTTGTCTCCTCACATCCTCTGCGCCCATGTACACTGTGCACTTCATGCCAAATCTTGCGCAGACCGTTGCAGTGGCTACTCCGTGTTGGCCTGCGCCCGTCTCCGCGATGATTTCGGTCTTTCCCAATCGTCGTGCTACCAGTATTTGGCCGATGGCGTTGTTGATCTTATGTGAACCGGTATGGTTGAGGTCCTCGCGCTTCAAATAGATGTTGGCACCATGGCCCTGCTTGGACGATTGCCGTACGTGACTGGTCAAGCGCTCTGCTTTGTGCAAAGACGACGGCCGGCTCATGTAAGGATAATATGATCTGAACTCTTCCCAGAATTTCGGATCGTTGCGCGCGTCATTGAAACCTCTCTCGAGCTCCGCCAGGCAGTCCATCAGGGATTCTGGGACGTACTGGCCGCCAAACTCACCGAATCGAGACGGCATGATTTCAGCATCCTTGCCCCCGACGTTCAATGCTTCTATTTGATCGGCCAATCCGGGCCCGTTCGAATCCTTTACGACGGCATCCACGTGCACAGTGCCGTTTGCAGGATGGCTTTCGCTGGCCGGCTGCTTGGTTGGGTCTGCCGTAGAGATGTCCTTGGGAGCTTCACCGTTCGCGTGTGATACCCAGCCGCTGCCATCACCGTTCGGGTTCGCGGCAGTAGAGATAGAGTGACCGTTCGTTTCTCCATTCGTTGGTGCCCTAGGATTGCGTCTCAGAGTGATCTCATGGCAATACTCCTCTACTGCCTTGGCTCCTTGTCCACTTGGTGCCTTCTTGATCGTCGTGATAATCTGACTTCCAATCACGACACCCTCCGAGACTTGTCCGACCTCCGCAAAGTGCTCTCTTGTACTTACACCAAAACCTACGGCTGCAGGGACACCGCCCGAGTACTTGTGCACTTTCTCCAGGAGCTGCGGCAAGCCCGTGCTCAACGCTCCAGTTGCACCAGTCACACCCATTCTTGAGACCACGTAAATGAATGAGTCCGCAATGCTACACAGCAGCTTCATGCGCTTCTCACTTGTCGCGGGAGCAATCAAGGGTACGTATGATAGCCCGTACGTTGTGCAGTGGTGTCTGAAGCGAACGGCCTCCTCAGGTGGGAGGTCCACCATGATGAAGCCATTGACACCAGCAGCCTTGGCATCTTGCAACATCCGCTCTTCTCCATATGCGAGCAATGGGTTGTAGTATCCCATCAACAGCACGGGTGCCTTCAAACCCTTGCTTCGCGCCTCTTTGACAATGTTGAGACATGTTGTGGTGGTCGTTCCGTTTGCCAATGCTTGGGTGTTGGCGGTTTGAATCGTGGGGCCGTCTGCAATGGGGTCTGTAAAAGGCGTTCCGAGTTCAATGATGTCGGCGCCGCCAGCTTCCATCGACAGCAGGATCTCGGGAGTCTCTGAGATGGTTGGGAAGCCCGCAGTGGTGTAAGTCACCAGAGCAGGCCTTCCCTCGCTCTTTGCTCGAGCGAATGCCTTCTTGATCCCCTCCATGATTGCTGTTTTGGCGAAGCAATCGGTAGTGGGGTCCTATTCGGTCTCTCAATCGATGGAGTGCTTTGCAAGGCCAGTGTACTAGACAGAATTGGGCGATTGGCCGATTGGCGAGTCGCGGAGTGGAAGTGCAGAGATTGGTGTGGAAACAGGGTCGTTGGCTTTGTCGTGAGTGAGTCAATAGAAGTCACAAGTGTGAGTTGCGGGCCCAAAAGTTGTCAGCCCAGTGGATGATGACTCCAGCGATACTTCCGGTAGCCGTCTGCAGGGTTCAATGGCGGGACCACCCGCCGCCTCGACCTCATTCACTCATCATCACTTCCACCTCCACCGCCATCTTCAACATCGGATACGTTGGAGACTTGGTCATATTGAGCGCCTTTCAAGCTCTCTTGGACCATCGACATCACATGCCGGAAACGCTTATACCCGGCCCGCATAACGTCCAGTCAAGTACCTTACACGTACTCTTCACATCTCGCGTCTAGCATCCGCGACTCCTAACTGCTGCCCTCTTCCATTCTCCTCTCAATTCAATAAAATCTCACGCGACACTATCAGACGCGAGGCTTCCAACCATGAGCGCCCCTAACGGCACCGAGAAATCAGAGGAATCCCACCGCCAGCTCCCAGACCCCAAGACCCTCGCGGAAGCAGGCGAACTGCCCATCAAGGACGAGAACGGCAACGAAGTAGCCTTCAAAACCCTCTACGCCGACAAGCCCGCCCACGAACGCCAACTCATCATCTTCATCCGCCACTTCTTCTGCGGTGTACGTACGCTTCCCCCCCCCCCCTTCTCTCCCAGTATCTTCCAACTACCACCACAACAACAACAACGCCATTCAGCTGCTGACTCTGCCCGCCAATCAAAAAAAGTCCTGTGAGGAATACGTCCGCGCCCTCGCGGGACAACTCCCTCCAGCAACCCTCTCGCAGACCTCCCCCCCAACAACCCTCACCCTCATCGGCTGTGGAGATCCCGTGTGCATTGCAGACTACAAGACCCGCACCCATTGTCCCTTCCCCATCTACGCCGACCCTTCCCGGAATCTCTACGCGAAACTAGACATGCTCGTGACTCTCAGGCAGCCTCCCAAGCAACCCGATTGTACGTCGCTCTCAGCGCTCTCCCCTTTCCCCTTTGGGTTTTCCTTTTGCTTCCCCCGCGCCACAGTTGCCAGCAGATGCTGACTCTTCCCGTCCGTCAAAAGACATCACAATGTCCTTCTTCTCCATTGTGACGTCCTCCTTCAAGAACGTCGTCATGTCCGGCTTGAAGGGCTTGAAAGGCGGCCCGGCCAGCCAGAACGGAGGCGAGTGGCTATTCGAAGGCGGACAGCTGAAGTTCGTCCATCGGATGAGGAATACGGCAGATCACTCGGAGATCAAGGAGCTGGAGCAAGTCCTGGGAATCCAGGGTTGAAAGCGCGGATCCCCGAACGATGATTGCATGCAGGCGTTGGCTTTCTAGCGTACTTATTCAGATGATACCAAATTGCAAGTGGGTTCTGTTTGTAGCTGAATTTCAATGTCATGGGTCTGATTTCAAAGCGACTTATTGAACTTTGGATTGGAACTTTTTTAGCTCTCTGCATCAATGCTGTTCTAGGCCCTCTGCCCTGTCATCCCACGAGGCTAGCATTCGCCGTATGCACATGTCCTCGCGCTCGAGGCTAATCCATGTTGGCTCGAGCCACTTGAACGTAATCGTCTGTTCGACGCCATGCTTGCGCGTGTGGGATGCCAGCATGTGTTGAGATGTAATCGGAGTCTTGCCTCCCTGTGATCAACTGGCACCCAGCTTGCTCAAAGCCCTCGATCCCTGTTCTTGCCACTCCTGCTTCGAGACCCACATGTGCTCATTGTTGGACATGATATTCGCAAGCACGGCACCTCCCAGGAAGACCATGTGCCTTCTTCGAGGTGGGTCTTCTATCCGGACCTTGAATTTGTTGAGTCGCTCTGGGTTGCCATTGAGTACCTTCGTCAGCCACAGTTGCTTGATCTCCTTCTCCATGCGTGAAGGTAGTCCGGGGTACATGCTGCTTCCTCCAGACAGCACGATTGCCTTGTAGAGAGATGATCTGATGTCCACGTCGGCGGCTTGGATGGTGTTGAAGAGGAATTCAGCGATGCCAGGTTGTTCCACGTCAACTAGATGAGGCTGAAACAGACACTCTGGTGCCTCGAAGCGCTCGCTGCCCACTCGGATCACTCGACCGTCAGGTAGAGTGTAGGATTCGACAAGTACAGTTGTGTCCTCGCTTAGTCGCTGGTCAAGCGCGAGGTCGTAGGAGACATAGCAAAGCTTCTCCTTGATCGCGCGTACAGTCTCAAAGTCAGCCGTTCGGTTGAGTGCGTAGCCTCGACGCAGAAGAAGAGAGATCAGGTTCCGCGTGACGTCTCGTCCAGCGACATCCAGTCTCCGGGTAAGGTGGTTCAGCACTGTGCTCTCGTACACCGGGACAATGTGTGTCACACCGTCTCCTGAATCCACCACGACGCCTGAGGACAGTCCTTGCGCATAAAGAGCCAGGACTGCTTGAATGGCGACGTATACACCACCAAAGTTGTAGCGCTCAAACATAACCTCACACATCTGTTCGCGGTTCTTGAGCGGATTCATCGGCGGTTCGGTGAGGAGGATCTTGCGGCCACTTGGATCAATCTTCATCTTCTCGAAGAATGTGTAGTCCCAGAGGTGCTGCATATCGTCCCATCGTTTCACAATTCCATTTTCCATCTGTGCCAATGCTCCGTCAGTGTCCTGCTCAACTACAACCTCTTGCGTTGAAGCCTCAGTGTCCATACCGGATACGTGATTTGAAGCATAGATCTTGCTGCTGCCGCCTCATCACCGCACATTATATCCTTCAATTGTATGTCGCCCGGTGCCTGCTCTTCCGTCCGCAGTATGGGACGACCCACGATCGAAGGGTACTGGTGATCGGGGAAGTTCTGCGCGCATGCCTTTAGCGATCGAGACCATACTGCGAGAGTCGTATTGCGCACTCACCTGGCCAGCGTATCCGGCCTTGAGGAAACCGGTTCCTCCATCGAGCACTGCCCAAGTACATCAGCGGAGCTATGCGGTCTGGCCTGTTTCCTTCACCCTACCAATTGGCGCATCCGCCATGGTCGCAAGCCGTGCGTTTGCGGTATCGATGCTCGTTTAGGGATTTTGAGACGAAAGGCCAGTAGTGGACAAGGAAAGAGGTAACGGAGAGGTGTTTGCGATTCTTACTGCCTGGTCTGGAGTCGAGCACACGCATTGCCAGCCAGCTTGTGGGGTTTTGGTCGTGGAAGCGGCCCGCCGCCAGTCGTCACTGCATCGATCTCAGCCTCAGGCCTCAAGCTTTCTGTTCATTGGCATTTTCACGTTCACATGAAAATCGGCAGCGGGAAAGGCAACGTAATCACTCAATAAGCATTCATCAGCGCGGACTCTCCACATTAAAGAGAAGACATTATATACAAGTAGCAAACGCCTCGCTTGTTCGATTGTACTTGACCTCGTTTAGACCATCATCACAGGCAGATCCATTCAATCATTTCCACGTGCGCAGACGCCGCTCTCCGACCTGAGATCTTGTCGCATGATCTTCTTGCTAAGTCCGAAAGAGATCCGCAGAGCATATACACGTCTCTTGCGTTCAGCCCAAGGAACGGGTGAAGCGACAAAGAAGACAGGCCCGCCTCCCACCACTTCTCCACGTACATTCGAACGTCCAGTAAAGAAACATACACTGCCAAAGAAAACAGAGAACCTGAATCGTGCATTTGCTCAGCGCCGACCCGCGGTGCGAGACCAGACACGATCGAGGACCAGATGCTGATGCTATGCAGATTCGGTCGCTTGTTAGAGCATGACCAAGAAGTTGAGGGTATCATATACAGGAGCTGCCGGGCCGTTCGTCGTGAAAAAGTATGTGTTCGAGCGGTCATGGGGCCGTGGCGGGAGGTAAGCCGCCTGCACCGTCTTATGCATGACTTAGTCGGAGAAAACGAACGTGGCCGTTCCTGAGCTAATGGATACCTATGGATTGTCAGCGATGAGATTGATGGAAGGGTTCTGGAAGGCTTACCGTGCAACCAGTGGTTTCGCTGCATTGATCGAAGTTGGCTCCACCGCAGTACTGGCCGTTTTGGTATTTGCAGGTACCGCTGATGCCGTCGCCCTCGATCTCGACCGTGAAGTCGAGCTTGGCCGTGGTGGTTGGAGAGTTCTGGAAGATCGAAAGCCATGCCGCTCCATTGCTGTAGCCAACTCCGAGGTTCAGAGGAGCATAGTTACCCCATGGGTTCTCGGGCGAGCCCCACTGGCAACCGTCTTCAACGGAGACGCCAGCTGGGTTGACGTAGTACTGAGCGGAAGTGCTAGAACCTTGCCACTTGTAGTAGTTGTCAGCCGATGGGCAGGTCAGGTTGGCGGTTCCACCAGCTGGTGCGCTGACAGGGATGGTCTCAGACTCAGTGCCAGGGTAGTCGGTACGGCAAACAGAAACATTCTTTGAGAGGTTGTTCTGAACGAGAATCGTGACCTCCTCAGCACCCTTCATGCAGAGACTCTTGGACATGTCAGGGTTGGTCAGGTGAAGCTTGCCGTTCTTGCACTGGATACCGCCAACAGACTGGCCAGTAGAGCCCTGAGTGGTTGGCCATTGCGACTTCTGCCAGCCAGGAGGGCATGCGTAAGAACAGTAGTGACCCTCCGTGCAGGATCCACCACTGGTAACAGTCTCGATGTTGGTGAAACCAGCAGACACCTCGTCAGGGCAGTTTTGAATGCCAGTCCATCCGCCAAGTCCAAGCCAGTCAGCTGCTACAGCACCGTATTCCGAGGGAAAGGTGGAGCAATCGATGGTGCCGTCCGGGAACTCGGAGTCCACGCCTGTCGAATCGCCACTGGAGCTGCTATCATCTCCGCCGCCGTAGCTTGGGGCTGCGGCAGAGGAGGACGACGAGGCCGGAGCGCTGTAGGCCTTGCTTGCGACCGCATAGGATGGTGCGGCACTTGAGGTCTGCACAGCGCTCGTCGTGGGAGCAACGTACGTTGACGAGCTGGAAGTCGTTGGTGGCGCAGAGCTGGAAGTTGGCGCAGAGCTGGAAATTGGCGCAGAGCTGGAGGATGGCGCAGAGCTGGAAGGTGCCGCATAACTGGGAGGAGCCGGCGCACTTGAGGATTTCGAGGAGAGCTCGCCGTTGCTGGCAAAGACGAGAGAGCCGTTTTTGATGCCTTGCTGGACCTCGCTCTCGGGGATCGGCTTCCCGTTCAACACATAGACGATCTCAGTTGGACCGGGAACCGTGGCATAGTCTGGAGCGGCGTCCGGAGCGCGCTTCTCTTTGTGAAGATGCTGGTGTCCATGACGATGGGGTTGAGCGGCAGAGACGGCAATGGCTGCGCTGAGGAGCGCGAGCGAGAGCTTCATTATGTATGGATTACGTTTCCCAATGCAATGGTAGGTTCTCGCGTGTTTCGTGGTGGGGAGTTGTCAGCCGAATGGTGTGGGTTGGATTGATCCTGTCCGTTTCAGCGAAGCCACGATATCGATGTTTCGTGTCGTTCGTCCGTCGAGGCGTCGCCGGGAGGTGAGGTCGGAGCTGTCACAGACTGGCGATATCGTCAATGCGCTGCAAAGGCCGGGTCGCGGGGATTGGGCGTGGTGTGACGGAGGTGTCGAGGTCTGGACGTGGTGTTTGTGTGGGAGAGGCTGGTTCGGCGCGCGGGAGCGAATGGAAGAATGTAAACGGCGGTGCTGGGATTCCAAAGAGTGAATTCGACTGAAGAGTCGAGGTGGAATGGATGGGATTGTGAGGTTGGCGGCGGCGGCTTCACAGCATCAGCAGGCTGACAACAATCCTGTCCTGTCGCGACGCATGCAGAGGCAGAGGCAGAGAGAGAGGGAAGAGAAGTGGTAGTGGATAGTGGCTGTTGGGGGCGGCAGAAAGGAGCTGGGAGGGGAGGGATAATGCGCACGGGCCCGCCAATTTCGGCTGCGCCCGCGCCGTTCACGACGAGCATGTGAGCACACGCCACGGACGATCTGTGAGATGAGACAATCTCCAGCTTTCAATCCTCCTTCACACACGTCCGACGGCGCTCATCACTCGCTTGTTGTTGATGATGATGAGGCGTGTGACTTCGCCGTCGGCCTCTTCTTCTTCTTCTCGTCACATTATCTTGATCATCTCACATGCATCTGGATGCGATGGGCGCCGCCAATCCGCCTGCCGTCCGCGACTGATGATACTAGGCGACGCGACCCACACACCAGAGCTTGCGGTGGAACCTCCACCTTACCTAGACTCACACCCACCGCAGAACGACGACGACGTCCACCAGGACCTCCACACCACCACCACCACCACCACCACGACATGTGCTCGCCGTCGTGTGTCCGACATGTGGAGCGCTTGGCAGTCGCTTCGACGTTACGCTATCACACTATCACCAGCCGTGCAAGGGTGTCACGCTGTACTGTACAGGCTGTCTCCGTCGTCCGACCTCGTTGCCAAGACCTTCTCCGCACTTCTCGACCTGCATACAGTAGCACAGTAGCCATTGGCGGCTCGAGCTCGATCTAACGCCATCCCGGGATAGCGCTGCTGCACGGCCGAACCCACCCGCTGTACCTGCCTTAGCGTTGAAGTCGCAGCGTTCTTCTCGACTGCATTCCTCTCAAAAGGCCACAACAAACAACAACAAACAAGCACCTCTACTACTCGGGATAGCATTCTTGCTGGAGCCCAACAGTCTGTCTCCATCATGACGGCCTTCCCGGTCTCACTCGACGTCATCAGCTCGTTGTTTCTGTGCAGCTGATCCGGGTGCTGCTACATCGGTAGACACCGACCGTTTAGGATGCGCTGTGACACGGCGTAGCACGAAAAGAGACCACCCCTTTCCTGAACAAGACGCGAAAATCTTACGCCCAAAACATCAATCTAGTGTCTTTTCTTCCCTTTCTCTTGCCTGCATTGTCTTCATTGGAAACAGAACGACGCGAGACATATATTTGTCGTCCATGCGGTGCCGCCGCAATGGTGGTCCCTCGCAATTTCGCAACAACCCACTTGTCGTACGCCGTGGCCGCGTCAGGTTCCACGCAGCGCCTTTGGCGTCTTTGGGCGCTTGCGAAAGTAATCCTGGTCCCGTATCATCACACGTGGCTCGATAGCGCCTGGGCTTCTGCTCGCCCGAGACTAAGGCTGTCGATGGCGACACTGTAAGCCAAGGGAAGGGACCTCTAATACACTGACTGTGCTCACAAAGCCAGGGGATATTTGCACGTGTTTGCACAGACCCTTGGCCCTTGCGGATGCTCACGATACTGTAGTCCTACATTGTACCTCCTTCCGCCATGATCTCCAACTCGTTGTAGCTGTCAAGATCCCTGGCACTTTTATCTCCCTTGCTCTTTGCTGTCCTATTCAAACAAGCTTATCACATAAAAGTTACCATCGTTCTCAGCCCAACATCTAGAACTGACAGAACTATCCTAAAACGACAATGTACAAGTATGTCCTGTTTCTCGCATCTGAGTCGGTCATGAAAGATTGTGCGCTTTCCACCAACGTCCTCCTCCCCGAGAACCCTGGCTTCTCGCTCCTACCTCCGGCCTCGTCCAATTTCCAAAGGACCAGTGCCTCCTGGAAACGTTCCCAGTCGAGGAGCGACTCCCCGACAAGTACTTTAAAAAGGTCGTCCAGGCCCAGAGCGGTCCGCGCACCTTGCTCCAACGAGAGCGCGAAAATTTGACAGTAGACCCCGTCCTCAATGAGCCGAATTTGGCCTTCAGCCATGGACTGATCTCCCAGCTCAAAACGAACGCGATAGGGCGTAACTCCATGGAAGTGACACGGAAGCTCCACCCGCAAAGCCACATGAATAGTCGCCTTCGGATGCAGCCATCGCCGCACGAGCCCCAGCACATACCAGTCGACGGGCTCCAGAAGATCCGTTCCCAGCTTCATGACCCCAAGATCCAAGACCACGCCGCGCACCTCGCGGACCTGCGCATATCCGCAGACTCGCATCCATTTCTTCATCATCTTGAGCAGACGCGGCGCGTGGATGGGCCGGCGGATATGCTTCGTATGGATGGTGATGCCGTTGCACCTGAAAAAGAGGCCGAGCCCTTCCCGTCGCAGCGCGACACACGCCCGCGTGAGCTGCAGAGGGAGCGTCATGCTGGCTTTCAGCTCGTTGTCGTTGTCGTCGTCGTCTTTGCATGACGAGATGGATGCCGAGGCGACTGGTGAGGGAGGCGATGTAGATCATCTCTCGGAGCTCGCCCGGGAGGCGGCCGAGGATCGAATTCGGAAAGGATGCCATGATAAGCGAAAGACGAAAGATTGTATGTTACCCCGAACGGAACGGATCGGATGCTTTGTTTGTTGTGAGATTTTTTTTTGTTTTCTTGGTTTTTTTTTATTTAGCGCATGGTTGGTGGCAGTGCTTTGCTTTTGCTGCGTTGATATGATAGGATTTTGGATTGATTGATTGATTGTGTCGATCGATGCTTGCAAGAATGGTGGTGGGTGAGAAAAAAACACGTCTTGGAAAGATTGAGACAGTGCAGCCTCCAGTTGGCAGCGAAAATTCTCACTCCAAGTAAGTACATGTAGGTGCAGCTGCGGATTCGGTCGCTTCCATTTCTCTTTCCCGCTAGACATTCCGTCCCGTCGTGAGTGGCGGTGGTTGGATCGTTCCTGCCTTCCAGGATAGCGGTATCGTTTGGGGCGGGTCAGTCATGGAATTGGGAAAACAATTCTGCCAACCTGCCAACAAGTATCTTTCGATCTCAGTGGGAATGGTTGTTGGTTTGATAGCCTCCGCGTCTCGGAAAGTTCATTTTTGGTGAGGAATTAGGAGGGACAGTATCTCGAAGCAGTACAAGCAAGGTACACCAGTCCGCGAAGGGATACCGCGGGATAGAAGAGCTCTTGAGATTCGCTGTGCTTGACCGACCGAGGACTGAGAGGCAATCCGTCGACCGGACAAGGCCGGGGACTTTGCTGGTAGTCGGCTCCATGGTGCAATCCCAGAGATGAGAAGCATAGATGAATATCGCGCAAAGGAAGAGAAGAGTCAATACATACGTCGCAGTATCTCATGCTATGCGCCTTCCCACCTCCCTTGGCCAGATATATTTACAGCCGAACTCCCACCTTTTCCCACGCTCCGCCCTTTTCCCTTCACGATCTCAGACCCAGCAAGAAACTTCCCTTCGAGCCTCCGTTGCCACCATCTCCATGCCCACCACCGGGGAGATACGTTACGTTCGGGTTGTTCGCCAGCATCTGTGCAACGTCCTTTTGTGTCTCGATTCTTCGGATCTGAAGCAAGCCATCACCACTCTTCGCCACGGCCTTGGAAATCACATCTGCCGCCTCCGATTCACCCTCTGCACGAATGACGTTCGCCTGCCGCTCCTGTTCCGCCTTCTCCACGATGAACCGTGCTCGTTCCGCCTCTTGCTGTGCAATCTGCTTCTCCTCGACGGCTTTGGTGAACTCTCGTCCGAACGTCATGTGTGTGATGCTGACATCCTCCAGGGCAATGTTGAACTCCGAAGCTCGCTTCAACAGATCTGCGCGGATGCGATTCGAGACGGCTTCACGCTGGGTGATGAGTTCGGCGGCATCGAACTGGGCAACGATGGCCTTGAGGACCTCGTTTCCGATGGAGGGAAGGACACGTTCGTCGTAGTCCTGGCCGAGATTCTGTGATAACGTCAACCGCTGTATCCCCAATAGAGCATGTGCAATTTCTTACTTGATAGATCTTTGGCAGCTGTGACACTTCCGGGCGATGCAGCACTCTGAGCGTCAAGCTCACCATCTGCAGGTCCTTGGATCCGGTTGTTGTGCTAATGTTTCGGGGCTTGGTTCGCACGTCGAACGTGATGGCCTTCTGGAGCCATGGAACCAGGAAGTGTGTTCCTTCGTTCGACACTTGGTCTGAAACTCCTCGTATACGGTCGAAGATGACAGCGCGAGTGCCACCCTTCACATCGTAGATGGATGCAGAGGCCAGCGAGAAGGCGGCGGCGGTGGGGATTGCCCAGCGGTAGATCCCATTCAGTGCGTTGGCTGCCATGATGCGCAAGGAAATGGATGTCCTGGTCTGTTGCTTCGTTTCCGTCCGTTGGAGTTGCTCACCCAAACAAGAGAACCGTGGGAGCTCAAGTGGTGATGTTCGAGAAAGCGCTAGTAGAGCTCGGACCTGTCGGAAGAGCCAAGACCTTGCTGACCTACGGAATGCTCCGCTGGTTGGCTTCAACTTCGACTTCACCAGAGACATCACCAACCGACTGCTCCTCTCTTCCTGCCATTGGGCTTCGCGACAGCACATATTCCACTCACAGCATCACCAACTAGGCGTGCGACAAGATGAGAGCTTCTCAGATCTTCCGGGCTGGCGGCGGCGAGAAGAAGCCGGGATCGTGAGTGCCCTCCCTGAAAGAGTGCAGCGACACGCGCAACAGAATGCTGTGGTGGACCGGACATTGACGGCTGACCTGATTGCAGATATCTTGGTGGATGGGGCGCTCTAGGTACGAATTCTCCATTCTCCCCGGACAGCGATAATACCCGATGCACACGCATTCGCAGACCAAACAACTTACGCCCATGCTCGTCATGACTGACACGTTCTCTGCAGGCTCTATGCCTCAAAAGGGCATTATACACTACGGTATCTCCCAGAACAGACAGAACCCGCTCGCCGGTACCGCATCGGCGGCCGTCTTCAACACCTTCCGTCGCACACGCAACCAGATCCTTTACTGGGGCATCCCACTGTTGGTCGCATATCAGGCCATGGAGTGGGCAATTGAGAGGTGAGCAAAGACAAAACGCACAAGCAGTGGGAAACTTGGAAAGTTGGGCAATGATTACTGATAGTAAAGCAGGAACGAATATCTCAACTCGAAGGCAGGACGGGCTGAGGCCGGCGACGAGGCATAAAAGTGACTACCAACAATAGAGCAGATCGGGATACTCTCGTGCGTCCTTTTTGTATATACCGCAGCATGAAGCGAGCAGCTGTACAACACTTTTACGAGGTCCAAGACGGCTTCGCCTCCCACGGCAGAGCAACAGCCGCCTTTGACACCCAGTCGTACTGACGGCCCGCACAGCAGCTTAGCTTGTGCGAGTCTGGCTCGCAACTGGGAATGTTCCCGACCACATGTGCCGAAGACATTGGCGGAAAACTCTAACCACCTTCAGACCACTGCAGCCTGTAGCCGAAGACAGTTCTTCGCAGCAATTCATCCTGAGAAATGTCAGCATTCTGGTACGACTACAGATCAATTCCACGACGGCATACTCCGTGATCTTCCTCAAACATTACGTTGTCCAAGACTTTCTCCAGAATCTTCTCGACCGCAAAGCCATTGGTCCTCGCGAGATCGAAGAAGGCGAGATCTTTGTCGAACAACCACGGACGATAGGGGGTGAAGAAGACCAAAGCTTGCGCAGTGGACGACTTGTTCAGCGTCTGCTGTATGCTCCAGACAAGCTTTGCATGTTCGGAATGATTGAAGAGGAGATCGGCAAGAATCAGCAGATCGAAGCCATGGTTCTGTCCGGGCGATGGAAGATATTGCGTGATGCTTGCAGTGTCTGCGCCCCACAAGTAACCGGCAGCATGGATGTTGAGAGGTCGAGGCAGTAGGGGGCAGGTTTTGATGTTCCGGCGTAAGTTTTCGATCAGCTCCGGATCTGGATAGTCGGTGACGACGACCGTCTTCGCGCCATTCATTGCGCTGATCAAACTTGGCAAACCTGCTCCGGCGCCGAGTTCAAGAACCGTCTTGTCTTGAAGGACATGACTTCTGTTCGTCTCTAGGTAGTCGGCGATGATGCGCCCCGCTTGCCACAGCATATGTCCCTGTTCCGGATTCGTATCAGCCACCAGCACTCCCGCAGTGCCCGATGCATTTCCCTCAAGACCTGCACTATGTACGCGCCTTACGATTGACGATTGAAATTCCACCAAAGGCTTTCAATCTTCGGTGGACTACTACATGTAGAAAGGAAGGGACGGACGGAATTCGAGGTGCACTTACCCATAGAGGATTGTGCCCTACGAGGCGCAAATTCAGGGTCTCGCCATTCAGAGTGTGATGCACCACTTCCGTCGGCTCCTTTTCTTTCTCATAGAACCCTTCTGGCTCTTGGAAGAGATCCAGCACCTCTTCCGCTTCGTCAGACTCGGCCATCAGGGTGTTCCGCGCATCGGGAGATACGGCAGAAGGACTGGCAGAGCAGAGCGGAGCAGAGCAGAGCAGACTCGTGTGGCTCGGCCGAGCACGGCAGCACGGCTTCACACCGCGCACACGAGGATGCACGTGTCGGAGCGGCTGGCAGCAGTGCAGGAGTGCGAGCGAGTTTCTTTGACTGATGGTGAAAGGCGGCAGAGACTTTTAGTCAGCCGATATTTTGAGTTAAGCGCCGCCGCATCCAGCGGGGCGGAGGCGTGGGCGTGCACCACTAGTGCAGTGGGCGTGGGCGTGAGCGTGGGCGTGGCCGAACACCGAATTCTCACCTTCTCGAAGACACTACTCCTACGCATGCTTCCCTCCTGCTCCTGGTCCGCAGCCTCACCAGCTGCTCCCACCGTCCAGCAGAAGACACGTGAGCAGCAGTGTGTTGAAAGACCGTCGCCCTCTCCAACAAAGCACAAAGCACAACTTGAAAGGCCCGTCCACATCCATGATCTTCCCCAGCGGGAGCCACACGCCCTCCAGCGCTAGTCCCGAAGGGTGAAACTTGCTCACGGCTCCTCCTCACGGACCGGTCGCTGTGCAATTCTGTCCCTTCACCTTTCGCTTTCTCATCCGATCGTTCCTCATCATTCACCAGGTGAGTTTCGCTCGAGCCTGTTCCTGGCTATGACAGCATGTCGCGTCCGTCTCTCCTCTCTCCTCCCCATTCGACCGCCATAGACCGGCACGACATCCAACAGCTACCGGGGCGACCTTACACCTTTCTACGCCATCCATACCAGCAGATGGACCGGGATCTCCGATGTCGCGGCACGATAGTTGGCAAAACCATCGCTGACCTTTCCTCAGTTCCGCTTGACCCTGACTTCCTGGAAGGGCCCTCTGCCGGGCTAAGTCGGCGGAATGGACGCGGAGAAGCCCTTCAAGACCATCGAAGTCGTCGACTCTCGCACCAACCAGGTCTGCAAGGTCGCGTGCATGTCATGTATCCGCGGCCACCGCACAACCTCGTGTGGCATCCCAGTGTGTCGGTCCAAGATCTTCTGGACGGTGAAACGACCGGGCCGACCCTCCAACTCGTGTACTTGTCGCTATGGGGCTACTGGAGGATGCAAATGCGTCGTTGCCCGCTCCGCATGCCCTCACAAATCCAAGAAGGGCGAGAAGCGTTCCGGGGAATGCCGCTGCGACGAACAGGGACGATATTGCTGCTTGCTGGAACCCGAGCATTGGAACTCCTTGCTGTCGTTGGAGAAACCTACCGTGGACTTCTTCCCCACAACCGAAGCTTTGAGAGCCAAACAGGATGCAACGAGCGCATCAACTCCCTCGTACTCGTCCATCGCCAGCCCTCCGTCCACTCACAGTATACCGAGTACGCCTACACCGCAGGGTCGGATGCAGCCTTTGCATATCATGCCTCAGCCATACAACAGTTACCAACCCATACCATCGACCACTCTGACTCCACGATTTGGCATGATGGGCATTGCGGCACCGATGGGCTCTCCACACGATGTCGCTCCAGATGTGTTGGCATGGGAGGGCCCGGTGCCTCAAGCACCGCGAGAGCACATGTATCACCGGCCCCAGCAGCATGTGTATGAGCCATTGGAACAGAGCTCTTGCTGTCAAGCCTCTACACCGTCCGCTCACACTGTGCAATCATCTGCGCCGCAAATGGAGCACTCGTTCTCTCAACAGCACCAAGGCCAGGATGCAAGACTATCGCCGCAGCACTACACCAACGTTGCTCCCGCAGCTAGCATGAGCCAGCTGTCTCCGCAGCCCCCGGCTTTTGACTGGAATAAGATGCAGAACGACTACTTCAGATATCAATTTCCCGGTGCCATCTGCCAGAACTGCGGTCTAAATGGCTGTACATGTCGAAACTGTCCACCCGTGTTCCAACATCCCGGGACAACGAGCTGGGCACAGTGCTGCGGACGGAAGCACGCGCGAGATGTGCAACCCACTCCGATTGCTCAAAAGGTGCTTCGGACGGAGGACAGTAGGGACACCGCGCAAGCCCGACAAAGCCAGCCGGGACATCGAGATGCACCATCGAGTTCGTGCTGTCAATCCGCGCCCCAGCAGACGTTCGTGCAGGATGCGCCATTCGAGGTAGACGCGACCCACTTTGGCGAAGGCTTCCACGACCTGGAACTCCTGTCGCCCCATGGAGATGCCAACTTCCTGGGCGAGCTCGACATGGCTCGCGACATGTTATTGCCGGATGCCACGGCACCTCTCGATCTCAGTGACTTTCTCCTGTCGGATCTCGACAGGTCTGATCCCGTCCACGGAAGTGCCCCGCCGAATAATGAGACGGGTGCTAGCGCTGCTGCCACAGACGAGGGCGGGGGAGGTTGTTGCGACAACGAAAGAGGTCGTTGCTCTTGACATGAGAGTGACAGTTTTCAGCCCCCAAGAGTCCCCCCTTTGAGGCTCCAGGGCTAAGCAAGAGACCGCGCCGACTTCGACCCTGATGGCTTTCACATACCAAGCAAGGTCAGGCACTTGGCGACGGTTCAGGGGAGATATAGATTCGGCGAAAGAAGGGAATTGAGATTTTTTAAGTCCTGACTAGCGCACTATGAGAGGGAGAGAGAGAGAGAGAGAGAGAGAGAGATAGAAAGCGATACCCGGCGGCACGGAGAAGAGGGCATGAATAGAAGTGATAGATACCATCAAATCAAAGATTGAACGAAGCATGAAAAAACGCCGTCGCGCTGCTGCATAACATAACCGTTTTGCAATAGAAGGCAGGGGGGGGAAGTAAAGGTCATGCATGCATGGGAGGGATCATGATCATGAAAAAGAGAGAAAGGAAATGTTCAATCTTCGACTCCCCCTCCTCCTCCTCCTATCATATCTATCTGCTCTCTCTCTCTCTCATCCTCTCTCTCTCTCTCTCTCTCTCTCTCTCTCTCTCATTAATACTTTCCACACACGCACAGACACACACAAAAGGCACTACTTTCCCATCCTTTTGACAATCCTCTCCATGATAATATTCCCTTGCCCCTTGCCCCTTCCCTTTCCCTTTTCCCTCGCCCTCCGCCTCTCCCTTCCCTTTCTCTTCCCTAGGGAATCCCATTCGCTTGCCTAGGGAATCCCTTTCGCTTTTCCGCGGGTTTTGCTTGTCCATGAGGGAGGAAGAAGAAGAAGAAGAAGAAGAAGAAGAAGAAGAAGAAGAAGAAGAAGAAGAAGAAGAGGAATCGAAAGTTTGTCTGTACAAAGAATTCTAAAACCCCCCGGCCCTCAACCCCCAAACCAACCCACACCACACACACACCACACACACAAAACACACACCCACTCTCTCTCTCTCTCTCTCTCTCTCTCTCTCTCTCTCTCTCTCTCTCCCTCTCTCTCTCCCTCTCTCTCTCTCTCTCTCTCTCTCTCTAAACCCCCCTCCTCACAACCTCAAGATGAAGGCGACATTCCTCCCGCTCCTCCTCCTCCTCCTCCTCCTCCTCCTCCTCCCCTTCTTCCTCCTCTGTCCTTGTTATCCAGATTAAGCGGCAACACCATCACCTCATTCCCATCTTCTCCGCCACGAGCATCGGTCGTGGTGCCGAGGAAATGGTCGCAATCGTCCAGAAGGCCGCATTGCATCGCTGCCTCGCGGTAGCGCTCGGCGATCAAAGGTAGAACTACAATGTTGCAAGAAGAAAAAAAAAATTAAAAACCAGTCAAATGAATCGCTACAACACAAATTGCTTGAAAAAATTAAAACGTGGAGAAATCTTTCGCTCCGCCTTTGCGCGTCGTGAGGTGAGGTTGAGGTGGGTTGGGTGGGAGGAGGTAAGGGGGGTGTATTAGGCGGGCTATTTTTTATTGCTCAAACCGAAATAGAGACCCAAAACCAAGCCCAGAATGATGATGATGGCCAGCACGATGAAGAAGCACCACCACTTGAGTTTGCGAGCTCTGCGTGCGGATTCGATGCCCTTGTCGAGTTGCACGTTGCCGGCTTCCGTGTCGTGCTTGACGTTCTCGGTGTGCTGTTCGGCTTGCTGGACGGGCTGGTCTTGCAACACGACGGCCGTGGCGAGATCCTCCATGAGTTGATTGAGTTCGATGAGGGTGCGTTCGATCTTTTGGATGTCGTTGTGGCGGGCTCGTACGGCGCCCAGGACGGTGTTGGCGGTGGCAGAGCGGTTGGTTTTCAGCTGAGAAGAATGGTCAGTTGTGGTGGAAAGACGGAACGCGGTTGCGATTGGGTACTCACTGCCGTCTGGAAGACACCCTCGTTGCCCCAATCTGCCTGCGCGGCTTCCTGCACCTCCTGCTCCGTCGCTTCCGGGTTCACGATTCTGTACTGCCGGGCAATTTGCTCCCGGTAGCGCTTCTCGTAGTTTGCTTCCTCCACTCTGTACTCTTGCAGTTGCTTTGTGAAGCTCGTCTTTAGCTGTCCAACCTGCGTATTCTTGACATTGTTGTCTCTGCTGCGCGCCGCATCTGTCTCGAGAAACTTGATCTGGTCCTTGATGGAGGTGTTCAAGACTTGCGTCTGCGTGATCATGGACTCTAATTGGGACGAAGAACTGCTGTCGGGCGAGGAGAGGGTGCGCTGGTGCATGGAAGCGATCTGGCCGACATGGTTCGTGAGGGTGCGGATGTCTGCCTTTGCGGCCTCGACCCGCGACAGAAAGTCCGAGTTGGACAGGACGGACGGGCCAGCTTGGACGTATTGTACATTCTGGCCGGGTTGAGGTGCCTGACCAGGAATGGCGGGTGTAGGCGCTTGGCTCAGACTGTAATTGGTTTCCTGCGTGTACGTCGAGTCCTGATGCTGGACATACTCCGGTCGCAGACTCGATTGCTACGCAGTGTCAGTATGGCAGCAAAGCGTCGACCGTGGCTGGCTCGGTGGACCTTACGTTCTGCGCGCCATCGTGCGCGCCGTCGTACGCGCCGCCGTATGGGTTGGATGCGCCATAGCCTCCACTCGGCTGCTGTTCGCCGCCGCCGTAGGGATTGCCGCCGTAGGAAGCATACGGGTTGGAAGTCATGCTGGCGACGTGTGCGGGCGGTGTACGCGCCGGCGGTGAGGTGGGAGGAGTGTGATCGGTGGTCGCGACGCTCGCTCGGCGGTGGTGGGCAGAACCAGAGGAAGAAGATGTGATGAGCTCGGCTGGCCCGGATGACGAACGACGGCCGGCTGTGCGCTACGCTACGCTGAATAATCAAATGGTGCTGGATCTCGTGCCGTCGACGACCAATGCCTGGCAATCAACAACAATAATGTGCATGTTGCGGTGGCAAGCAATTCCCGCGTGAGGTGAGTGAGGTCGGAGCGCGCACAGAGCTCCTCCTACTCCTACTGGGCCTCTCGCCCCGGGCCCCTCTCCCCTGCACGCTTGAGCTGTACAATAAGATGAAGCCCACTTTTTGCGGCCTGGGATCACCACTTCGGACGCAGTGCCGGCAGCCCTCCTCGGTTCTCATGAATACACGGAATCGTCACAAAGGCTTGCGACAGAGATGGGTAAATCAAAGGAGCACCCACAACCATCCGCCAAGTGACACACTTTAGTACAGGCAGGCAGGCAGCTTGCGTTGTTCAGATATGCCCTGGCCTACAGGACCACGGGCAATGATAATGCCGGGCGTGTCACTACAGAAGTCAAGGTACAATGTGCTTCTGATTCTTGGTATCTTTGGTAAGCAACACGCTAACCGATGGCCTTCGGCTTGAATCAGCAACCCTTTCGCCGTGACCTGGTATCATACGCTACATGCTGTCGTCGAAGCCATTACAATTCATCATCTCTCCGGGACTGCCTTCCCTGGCAACCCTAGCCTTGTTCCTTGCCCGGGTGAAGAAAACTGTTTGTCCTTGCCGTCCGTCTGTCGTGGATACATGCACCTTGCTCTCCGCCCTTCACAATCCAATGTCTCCCAGGTCCCTCGATAGGCACGCCATCTGTGCTCGCTTGGCCGCTTCTGCTACGAGATTGAAATCCTGCAGGAAAGGTGCCGTCTCTGGAACCCCGCCTCCATCGCCTCTTTGACCAACGTAATGTGATCCAGCCGCTTGTTGCGCCTGAGCCGGCGCCCTTTGCTGCTGTGCCGGATGTGACGTCGTCGTCGGTTGCGACGCTATCGATCCGAAGTATGACATGGGTTGATTCACGGCGGGCGACGGTAGAGGCGCTGACGACTCCGGCATCTGTGAAGATTGAGGCTGGTTGATCGACGACAAGGAGGCGAGTGAGCTGGTGCTTTGGAAGACCGACGAGGTACTCGATGATGATGGGGACTGCGTCTGGATGTGGAGATACGACGGCCGTGGCTGTTGTTGTTGGTGTTGTTGTTGTCTCTGCTGCCTTGGATCCATAGCTCGTGCTCTTGTGTTGTAAGGCTGGCGAGAAGTGGTGAATACCCTCGAGTTGATGTAGGCCACAGCGATCTTGTACCCTCGTGCCGAGGAACAGTACCTCGGGAGCCCAGATCTGCAGTTTCCAACTCTTTTTGTATCAGTGCGAGGCACGACTTTGCTGATGCTCTCAAGTAGCGTGGGCAATGGAGAGTTGACTTTCCACACGAGCGCAAGATGCGAGAAGTCTGTTCTAGCGGCAGCCTTGTGAAGCTCAGAGAAGAGGGAGAGGTGCAGGGCAAGAGTCGGAGGCCTGAATTGCAAAGGGAGTTACGTCTGGAGTGCGTCGGAATAATCCCTGCTGTTGCCGCGTGCCTTCCGAGGTATCCTTGAAACGCCCTGACTAGATGCAGAATCGCTTAAGTTGCGTGAGATGCGCGGCGTCGAGCGGATCCTTCTGGTGAGCCTTCCCCGTGGGCGTGCTACGGCACAGCAATCGGATCGCTCGGGCTGGCTGAAGATTGCTGCTCCAGATGTGAAAGGGCGCGCTCGCCTGTCCTCGGGCGCGGAAGAGATGCGGCACGGGGCGGAGGAGGATGGAAAGTGAGTTTGGGAATCCCGCTGCAGTGCAGAAGTTTGAGTGGGAAATGCTGGAGTTCGTCGGGGGAGAGCGAAAGCCGCCTTGTGCCGCCTCACGAGACACGACACGTGATGAGGAGAAAGTTGCGGAGTGCGCCAGTGACCGGGATGTGCAGGACCACCTCCTCCACAGCTCATCCCACATCAATTTAGCCGCAAACCTGGGCTACTCTCTGGGTCCCTTCAACTTTCAGCAAATTAAAATACATTTCCCTCCACTCATCACGTGCCATCGGATCGACTCTTCGCAGCAGAAATGCCGGTGAGCCCTCACGTGAGGAACTGTCGACCTCACGCAGCCAACTTCATATCCGTCAACTAACTGACTCCCACCAGCTCCTGCTCATATCCGGCTACCCATCCTCAGGCAAAACCTACCGCTCCAACCAACTGAAACAATACTTCGACCACAAGATCTCCCAGGCTCAAGCCTCCGCAGACCCCAAGGACAGCCACATCAAGCGCCTCAAGACCATCCACATCTCCGACGACGCCCTCTCGCTATCCCGCGATGTCTACGCCGCCGCCTCGCGTGCCGAAAAGGACGCGCGGGCAACTTTCTCCTCGGCCATCAAGCGTGTCCTGACAAAGGACACCCTCGTGATCGCCGACGGGATGAACTACATCAAGGGCTTCCGCTACCAGCTCTACTGCGAAGCCAAAGCCGTCCAGACGACTTCCTGCGTCGTCCACGTCGGCACACCCGCGGAGCAATGCAGGCAGTTTAACGAGCAGACAGAAGCCTATCCGCCTGAAGTCTTTGAGAATCTGGTCTTTCGGTACGAGGAGCCGAATGGCATGAATCGATGGGACGCACCGCTCTTCACCGTTCCCATCGATGATGCGGCGCCACCGTGTGAGGCGATCTGGGAGGCGATGGTGGGATCGGATGGCAAGGCGAAAGTGGTGAGACCGAATGCTGCTACGGTGTTGAAGCCTGCGGCGGAACAGGATTACCTCTACGAGTTGGATAAGACGACGTCCGATATCATCACTCGTATAACCGTCTGGTTGCAGGATCACGCGGGAGAGGGAGGCGGCGAGCTTGCGGTGCCAGAGTCAGAGCAGAGCGTCACATTGCCCGCCACGGCCCCTTCTCTGCCGCAACTACAGAGATTGAGGAGGCAGTTCATTGGGCTGAATCGACAGCACACGCTCAGCAAGAGCAGAATTCGTGACTTGTTCATACACTATCTGAATGATGCCTTTCAATCCTGAGATAGTCTCGTGCAAGTTCCATCCTGACCCCAGCCATTAAAGGGGTCGTCTTGCTCATCTCGGACAAGCTCTTCGCCTGAAGCTTGCCCCCATCAGCGACAGAGTGACATTCTCAGCGAGCGAGAGCACTTTGGTGCCAGTGTCCACGGCGGGTGGTCTTGGCAGCGATGGTGGTGGCGTCGTTGCTGTTGGGCTTGGCATCTTGACTGCCAGCCGTCATTACAGCTGCAAGCGATGGTATGGCTGCGCGGCCGTCTGTCAGCCGTCCCTGTAGCTGCGAGGTCCCCTTGCCATGATCGGTATTCATACCAAGTGTGATCCAACGCACAGACCCTTTCCTGAGGGAGCCAATCTTCTCAAGTCGTGCTCAACATGGCCATAGATTATAATTAACGTGAGGCGTGGTGGATATTGCTGTCATCTCCCGACAGCCTGTGGCGCCACAACTACCACGACCACGAGACTGGCAATGATCAAAGCCGTGGCGACGGCGGAGATGATGATGATGGTTCCGCGCGAAGCGGGAAACTTGCCTCGGATCACGTAATGCTGGCTCTCAAAGTACCGGTGGAATCCAAGCAAGAGGACCAGTATTGAGATGACCAAGAACGTAGCACCTAGCGGTTTCCCAACCGATCGCAGCCTCGGCGAAGCCGCCGAGATGGTCACCACCGTGTCCGGATCAGACGAGGCGATCGTGGTATTGAGTCGGAACAGCTGTGTGACAGCAATGCCGATACTCGCAAATGATAGTGATGTCCGTAGCCAGGCCAGAAAGGTCCTTTCTAGTGCGAGATGATCTCGCGCGACGCTGCCCTTGTTCTCCAGCTCGACACTGCCATACTTCTCCACCAGTGCTCGGAACCATCCTTCGTGCTCTCCTGGAGCTTCCGTGGTGGCTTGCGACTGGCTCTGGCCCGGCACGAGAGGCTGCGCTCCAGTGTTCCTGCTACTGTTCCGTGACCGTAACGATCCGCTCTTCTTCCTCCGGGGACCGCCAACGTCGTCTGCGCCTGCCAGGCGATCTTGCTCACCGCCTCCTCCGTTCGCGCCATTGAGGAGAGAGGTGGACCCGTAGTCCGACTTATTATTGCTCGCATAGCTCTTGCGAAAGATGGCCGTATTCTCGTCTGCACTGCTCTCGCCAATCTCGTCCCTCTCATCCGGTGCCATCGCGTAGCTGCTCTGTCGAGTGGAGGGCTTCGGCGTGAACGTCTGTGGCAGGAACGTCACGGATCTCGGTCGCTCACTGATGCCTCCTCCTCCTCTGTTATCCGCACCGCCTCGCTCACTTGCCTCCCAACTAGCTTCCACCCCAGGTATCGCCGGCCTACTCAGGTTGTCCGCTGTTCTCTTTGCCGGATCGGCGGGCCCAGGTCGTGGTGTCGTGGGGCTGTCTCCAGAATCGCCGTCGGTAGTGTTACTGAGGGACTCGGAGCCAGCAGACTGCGAGACAGGTGAGCATGGCAATGGCATGATGGCGGTAATCAATGGATGGGTCCCCGGTTTACAAGGTAAGATAGTCAAGGCGGAGTGGATCTAAGAGAAGCTTATTTGTTGGGCGCGTGTTGCCGCTCGCCCGTTGTAGACCAAATCGCCGTGCCAAATGATGAGATCTCTTTCAGAGCTCTTGCGCGAACGAAAGAATACAACGTAAAGCAGTCGAAAAGCGGTTCTTCGAAGGTGCTGCAGAAGTGCGATGAGCGGTGGGCAGGCAGCTGAGGAGCGTTGAACGAATCGATCTCGGAGTCACAGCAGTACCTTAGCTCTTAGGAGGTTGCTTTTGCAATGGAACACCTCTTGCGATTGATTCTCCCGTTACCATTGCAGTGCGAAGAAGAGCAACGCAGGAAAGAAGGACGAACGACTCCTACATAGCTAGCGCATATGGTAGCAATGGCGCGTTCATGCAGGCAATTGAGGTGATTGCGTGACGCGTCGGTGGCTTCGCGACAACCTCCCAAATTGTAGCTCGAGATCCTTATAGCAGCTTATCACCTACCTTAGCGCCGCAGCTAAATCAATAGTCCAAGAAGTACACACATGTAATATTGAAGACCACCTGTGTCAACATTGTCGACTATCGTCACGCTTTCACAGATCTACAGTCCGCAACCACAACAACAAAGCGCCGAGCCATACTTCGATCATCTCATGAGTTTCCCAACCTTGACGCCTCGCTCAATGCCCTCAAAACGCAAACGCAATCCCTTCCTTCCGTCAGGCCTCATCCGAGCTTCCCAGGAACTGCACCATGCTCGATACCTCTCTTAACACCTTCGCTTGCAATAGATTGTCGCTGGATCCGGCAACTGCAGTTTTGAGCCAGCTTTCCTCCACGGAAGTCACTGGGGTGATGCGGTCCTTCAAGGCCCTCTTGGCACGGTTGAGGCCTACCACAACTCCCTTCACCGTCTCCAAGTTGTAGGTCAGGGGCGGAATTTCCGCTGCATTGATACCCTCAGCGGCAGCTCGCGCAACATCGGAACTGAGAATTTTCGAGATAATTGACAGGCTGTGTGCTTCCGAGACGAGGCTAAGAGTTATGGCTCCAGCTCTCGGATTACGCGCGCTCGGCGGCTCGTTCTGAAGAGATCTCTCTGCCCGACGCAATTGCTCCGGGAAGGAGTTAAGGAAGGCAGCCACTTCTGCGGCGATCGGTGGCCCCACTGAGTCGAGCAAGTTGAGGCAAAGCGGTAAGAACCCATCAGTCCAGATCACGAACATGCGACGAGGCTCATCAAATGGTCCCTTGCCTCCTGGCTTGCGGAAATAATTGGAGAGGTTGCTGGAGGAGAGCTGGACTAGAGCACTTTCAATGGCCAGCTGTTCAGCGATCGGTCGAATAGTGGACAGAGCCAGGATAAACATGACGGCCACTTCGCCATAGACCGGATCCTGACCAGAAGCCTCTGCGAGCTGGTCGCTCCACGAGTAAAGGCTGAGTGCACTTCGTATGATCGAGGACCCGGCGACTATGTCCGTCAAGAACGCGTACATCGAGTTGATACCAGGAGTCGACAGAATAACTTGCAACAGGGCCGTGATCAAAGCAAAGTCGGCGGGGAGCGCGAGCGCCATGTCGTTGTGCAGGTTTCCGCACAGTGCGCGAAAGCCAGGCACTACAACTCGTCCTACAATTTCCACCAGTCGAGAAGCAGTAGCCGCGCTTACGTTCCCCGACTTGGCTCCATTGACACCGTTGGAGTGCGCACCATGGGACCTGTAGCTGTGTGGTTGAACAGTTAGGTACAGTACCTGGAGCACGCTGCGATAGTAGTGCATGTCCTCCGGAACAGTGGCAACGTCGTAGTCGGCAGGGGCCGCTCTCACCAAATTGCAAGCCGCTTCAAGAAGGTCTGCCATCTCCTGTCCCGAAACCTTGAGCGCAACGAGTTTCGATATGAGGACGAAGGCCAGCTGCACTCTGGTGTGCATCAAGTCGGCAACATTGGGCTCATCCAAGTTGGCGGAGGCATTTTCAACTAGGGAGTTCTTCGCAATGGTGGCAAGTTTCGGTTTGAGTTCAGCATCCTGCTCCGCCCAGTCACATAGCGTAGTAGCTAGACTTTTCCAGCTCTTGAGAAGCCGCGTCTGAGCTTGAACGAGGCTCAAATTCGCGTTCGCACGAGTAAACTCCTCGAAGAACCCCTGGTCACGACTCGGGTCCGCCCCAAACCATGCGGGGTCATGCCCAAGAACGCTGCTCGCAAGGTCGATGTCGTAGAAGAAATCTGTGCCAAGAGGCGCCGGGTTGACCGCAGTGCGCTGGAAATCGGACAATTCACTCTCCGGAAACCTCTTCTTGAGATTGGCTGCTAGGCTGCGGTGGAGCGATCTGTTGTACGCGTTCACTTGGACGCCACACGTTGTCAGGAAGTCGAGCCGTTGCGTGATGGACTTGAGAAGGGTCTTGTCTCCGATTTCAAGGCTGGCCTGTAAGCATAATGCAAGTATCTCGCACAGGCAAGAAGCCATTTCCAGCTCTTTTGCTCTTACAATAGATGAGCCTTTAGTTGGGTTCTCAGCAGACTTCGGGAGGGTGTCAACCCAGTTCAACGCGTTCTTGATGAAGCCAGAGTGTGATCGGATATCACTCGATGCCCAGACCCATGTCTGCTGCGCAGCGGCAACGAACTTCAGCATTCCGATGGCGCGTTCGGGCGGCAGGAGAGAAATGGAGGAGAGCTGCTCCAACACATAGCTCAGAATGGTCTTGCCCTTAGCAGTACTTGCGCCTGGACCCTCAAGTCGCTTCTTCGGTAGTTCCCCTGTCAATAGGTAGACCGCAAACCACTGCTGCTTACTGGTCATGACGTTCGTCAGACAGTTCCACACCTGGCGCTCGATTTGCACATCGCAGAGAGGACGATCGAGCTGAGTGACCAGCTGCAAGAAAGACTTCTGAGCATTCGGGCCCAGCGTTGCCAATACTGATGGCGGGTCTTGATCGCTGGAGCCAACCACCAGGAGGAGCTCCCCAAGCAGAGTGAAGAGCTCGCCTTTGAAAGCGTGGTCACTCGCCAAAAGCGAAGCCAGCCTCGGTACACTCTTCAGGAGTTCTGATGATAGCGAAATCGCGCGCTGTTGAGCCATGTCCTGTCTGTCCTCGAAAGTCAAACTCTTTCCCTTGGTGCCACCGTTGTTCTCGGATTCAGAGACGTAATGAATGTCTCCAGCTTTGTTCACTTTGGCCAATAAGTCAATGCCGCTCTTTCCTGCCCTCAACAGTATTGTAAGAAAGTCAAAAGTCACTCTGACCTGCCCTATCAACATTTCGCGCAGGTGCATTGAGATTGCATCATCTGCGATTAACGGTCCATCCGGGAGCAATTGGCGGAAAGTGTTCACCAAAGGACTGACTCCAGTATTTGGGACACAAAGATTCAACAATGTGTCCGCGGCGGGCGCCAGGACATTCGTTAGACGCTCTGATGGATCCTTTGCAGCATGCACGCCATATGTGGCTCGCAAAAGTCTTGTGAAGGCAGACAGTATTCCATCAACCACCATACACCTTTCGCGTGGTAGTTCAAATCTCCAATCCGAAATATTCTGCAGAACATCCAGAAGGATCTTCTGGAAGGCGTTCAGGACTTTGCTCATGGTCCGCTCCGGTGTGATGTCTCGATTCCCAACAGGCTCAGCGTATCGGTGCGTGGTCCGGGGTCCCTGGACTTTGCGCTTTACCAGACCAGTGAGCGCATCCTCAAGAACAGATTCATGCAGTGCAACGCATGCCAACAGGAAGCTGAAGCGCCCGATTTGAACCTCCGAACCACCAACTACAGACGCCAGCGAGGTTGCGCCGTCTGCAAGCCCAAGCAAGCTGCTTCGTGCCAAGATTGCCCACACTGTCTCCGGCGAGACATCAACCAGAACGGTCAAAAATTCTGTGCAAGCAGTCACAAGCTCGAGTGAACCATCTTCTGCCGTCTGATCAAGGTGTGCCAGCAGCTCGGTCTCAAAGATGTTAGCGATAATCGTAGTGATATCCTGGTCCTCTTTCAAAGCATGGCTCATGCGCTCAAGACAGCAGACTGCTTCTTTGACGTCTTGGCCTTGTTTCAGGGCCGCTGTCAGAAGCTCTTTGAAAAGGCCTACTATTTCCGCTGCAGTGACCTTGTCAAGCAACGCGCCTGGCGCAGATGGAACCAGCTCGCCGTTGCCTGGATATGTGGACAGCAGCATGCCCAGATACTCAACGCCAGAGTAACGATGCTCGAGCTTGAATACGAAGGGCCGTGACTCTTTAACGATGGTGCCCTCGGTGCCTGCCGGCACCGCAAAGATTGTAGACTCTTGCTGTTGTAGATGCCATGGGAGCTGTCTCTGGCCTCCTGTTGTTTGCAAAGACATAAGTTCTTGCCGGGGCACAAAGACCTCCAGGTTCGCAGTTAGTCTTATGCTATTAGAGTCCATTTCCTCATGTTCCAGCTGATAAGCGTCGAAGTGAGTGTGCACACTCTGAGTGTAGCTTCGGAGATCATCGAGCATTCGCATAGCATCTGGAGGGCCCACTCGACTGCTGAACTTGCTTTGTAGGCTCGCGAACGCCGTGAAAAGCCGTAGCACAGGGGACAGCTCGTAGGGAAATCTCGCCAATGCCTGATCGATCACAGCTGGCCTCAGTTGCTCCACATCGAAGAAAAGCTTGCCGGCCAATACATTGGCGTGTAGTCTACTGCTGTGACTCAATTCGGATGGAGAATATGTAATAAGAGAGAGTATCGCCTCCAGAATAGGTGCTTCATATTTCAAGAATGGCGCTCCATCCCTGGTCAGGTCCAAGAGGGATTCTTTGCAAATGAAAGCCGTATCAGCCTCTCCATTAGAAGCTAGCGATGCGCTTGCAGCGTTGGCTAGAATCGTGATGAGTTCAAATAGATTCATCTCGTCCACAGCAAAAGAAGCGAAAGCACCAGGCGTGTCAGTGGTCTGGGTGATCCATTCCGGGATAGCGATCGAGTCGTTCAACTTTTCAAATTCGGACCGTAAATCGCGCGAGCTTCTACTAGGTGCCTCCTCGAGTGCTCGCGCTCTCGACTCCTGGTGTAGTGTGGCAATGTCGCCAATGACGGCTACGATGATGCTCCAAGCGTAAATTGCTGGAGCGGCAAGCCGGACTTTTGCGATAGCACAGTTGTGAAATAGTCCGTTGAGGTACTTAACGCAGTCGTCATCCCTGATATAGGAGTTGCCTTGAATCGGCGCCGTAGGAACTCCAGCGGCGCTCATCAGCTCCCCAATCACGAGATGTAACTTCAGCATCTCAAGGGAAACGATCGAGACGAGAAGCTGCGGGACTTCCATGGCAGCCCAGAATGGTCTCCCTTCCTGCAGAAATCCGTATGTGTCCATTGCCGTGAACCACGCCTTCGCGGCCCCCGGTTGTGGGGCGCCGTCCAAGGCATAGAGTGCGGCAAGAAGGAATCTCAAAACTTGAATGATCTCGGAGAGCTGCGAGTCGACAAAGTCCTGCGCCTTGGTTTGGTCCTCTTTGAAAGCGCCTGGCCACGACTGTTCGTCGTCGACTTGCTTCATGAGTGCATCAAATCGATTGATGCATTTCTTCACAAACAAGTTGCCTTCCGCCATTCTGTGGTTGACAATCATTTCATCCGCAACTTTTTTTGCAACCTCGTCGATCCAGGACTTGTTCGTGTGCTCTCGCAGCGAACCCGTTGGATGACCTTGAACTTTACTCTTGGTGACTGCGTCTCGGCTCACTAAATCCGCGCTCAGCTTGAGCATAAAGCTCTTCTCGCTGAAAAATACAGTGAGGAGTCGCCGGCGCCGTACATTTTCATCCGCAAAGTCCAACGCAGGTCGAAGAGAACTGCCGTATGTAGAGGTCGCGCGATTAAGCGTACTCTTCGATAGCACAGAGCTAGCAAGAGCATTCGAATTCAGGGTTGAATCTGGATCCGCAGATGCCGCACTCAAGAGTTCATCCGCCGGCCTCTCTTGCCACTCGATGATAGCCATACGCAGTGCTACGAGCTCTTGTATCTTCACCTCTTTCGACAGCCATTTCGCATCCGCCTTGATCTCGTCCAGCTTGTAGTCCCCATATCCATTCTGCGATACGTTGATCGGCGCGGTTTTTGTGTCGAATTGCGTGGCACTGCCAGTATCAGGTGCTTGGAAGGGATCGAGCGCGCTTTTGAGCCGGCTGATGGTTTCGTTGTCGTTCATGAAACGCTCCAGGTGCGAATTCTCGATTGCGGTCTCTTCATCGTTGATTGCGCGATATGCCGTCCGCCATGATATCAGCCTCACGTCGCCTGCGAGACATTTGTCAAGGGAGGGAAAGTAGTTCGAATCCGCCGATGGCATGTTTGCTTTCGAGTCGGTGTCTGTCGTATGCGATTGAAGTAGTTCTTGAAGGTTATGAGTTTTGCACGGGGTGGTGATTGAATCGCGTGGAAAGCAACATTCTGCTGGAAAAGAGACGAGGGCCAGGAGAAGGCGACAATTGGCGAGCTTTTGGTATTGTCGTTTCTTGCGTTCACCTTCTTCGCGTCTCTTTACGCGTGAAGCTTGGACGGAGCGGAGCCCGTTCCGCTCGCTTGGCGGCTGGTACCTCTCGCTCGAACTACCTCCGCCATGTCAAACCTCACCTCACTCGTCGTCTACATATCCGCCCACCATGACAGTCACAGAATCCCTCAAGGATGCCGCGCATAGCGTGCAAGATGCCGCCGGCGTTCCTCATGGCAGCGCGCCCACCAGACGTACAAGCACTCCCGCGATTCCGATCCCAATGGCGCATTCGGCATAGCAACACCCCAGGGCGAAAGACATATGCTGACGGACATGAACAGAAGCCACTCGCGAAGAGATGTCGGCGAACAAAGTTCCTCTCCCCTACCGCGACTCTTGCGCCCACCTCCTTATCCCACTAAACAAATGCCGATTCGATAACTTCTACCTGCCTTGGAGGTGCATGGTATGCTACAACAGATTGGGGAAGCGAGAGATGTCAGGAGATTAACGTGACGCAGGACGAGCGACATTCATACGAGAAATGCCAATACGAGGAGTTCAAGCTGCGGGTGAAGAAGATGGACGAGATCAGGGAGGCTAAGGGCGGGGCACGGAGTAACTGAGTGTGGTGAAGCAAGAGCACTGGTCATGAGTTGAGAGGTCGTAGACGCCGCAGCAGAGGCCTAGCCCAAAACTTCGCGTGCTGATCCTGTTGTACATATACCAAAGAAATTATGATATCCAGGCCACCGTCTTTACCCCGGTTCTTTCTGCGGGGGCTGGATCGCCGGCCGAACGCTCACGATGTCAACGTAGATCCGACCTCGCTCTGCCTTTGCATGGAGCAGTCCTCCTTCTACTCATCAAGTAGACTGTAGCTGCATATTCGAAGGATCGGAGACCTTCAGTCAAGGGGTAACTGCGATCGAGCTTGCTCGCGCTTGCTTGGAGTGGCTAGTGCTCTTCAAGAAGACGGGAATGCCTCGCCAAGGCCGTAGTCAGGAGTAGGATCATCGAAAAAGTCGAAAAGAGTGCTGTCGTCCTGAGCGCCATCATCGGGTCCGAATTCGAAGGGGTACAGGTCCTCAACCGTGGCGGTCTTGGCTCTCTTGTCAGTCGACCTGTCCTCGTTCGGCTCACCCGGTGCCCCCTTGCGCTTTCCCAATGCTGTGTCTTCAGGAAGCTCGTCGGAGGCACCAGGCCCACTCTGGCTGGCATTCTGTTTCGCAGCGAATGGAGCATCGAGCGCATTCGCCAACGCCTCAGCTTCAACCTCTTCCTCAAGGCGCTGGAGGTCTTCCGCAGGATCGTGCTCCGAATCTCCCGACGAATTTCGCGAATTCACAGACCGCGCGCCGATGTCACCACTCCTGACATACTTCTTACTTGCCCCAGACTGGTTCTTCTTCTCACTCCATGCCTTCTGAATAGCCTCGGCAGCCATTTGCGCTAGAGTCTTCTCAGGCACCTCGCCAAGTGGACCGTACGTCGGCGGGTGGTACAAGAACGGCATGTCCTTGAACTCGACTCGCTGCCCCTGTTTAGGGCGTCGCTCGCGTCCAGCCTTCTCCCGCTCCTCTGCAGCCCTGAAGCGATTATCCCACTCGAACTGAGTATGCTCTTTGAAGACCTTCTTGAAGGCGCGGAAAGCCGTGCTGTACGTGCTTCCAAGAGCTGCGATGACGTTGTTCTGGATCAATGCGGTGCCAGTGCATTTCGCGTTGAAGGCATATGTGTGTGGTTCATTGTTGGATTCGAAGATCTGGAGCTGTGTGTGAGCTGTTAGCATTCCTCGCGGAAGATGATGGCTACGATTGCTGACTTACAGTCAGTTCCTGGACTTCTGTTTCTTCCTTGTTATAAGGGTTGACCCGGGTAAGGACGACGTCGTAGTAGAAGCCAGTGGAGTCGACGTAGATGTGGTGGTTGTCTAGGATTGCTCTGGGTCAGTACAAAATGTTGGGTTCGAACGCAAACAGAGCTGACTCACCAGAAAGGAGCTCGTTCCTCGCCTTCTTCACTCCTCGCTTGAATACCTCCGCCACTGCGCGAAATTGCGCCTGATCGCGCTGGACCTCGAACGCTTTCCGCTTCTCCTCCTCCCTCTCTTTTCTTGAGATCTCCTCCGCCCTCGCCTTCTCAAGTGCCCTCCGCTTCTCCTTTTCATCGACATACTGCTCCGTATGCCCCAGATACTCCTGTGCCAACATCCCAGAGACCGTCTTCGGCTGTGTCGCCCTGTTCAATTTCTCCATATCCCGTCTGTCCTTCTCCGCTTGCTTCTCCGCACCCTTCGCCAAATCACGCGCCCGCTTCTCGTAGCAGTACTTGTGCTCCGCGAGCTTAGCCTTCTTCGAGAGGGAGTCTTCCAGCCATGGAAAGTCGACGATGTGGATATCTTGGCCTTGAGCTTTGCGACGGAGGATCTCCTGAAGTTCGGCGCCTTTCTGATTCCATATTTTGGTGGTGATGACAGCATGGGTGGTGCTGTCGGTTGGAGTAGTCGTGACTTTACCGCTGGCTTCCGCGACCCATCTCTTGATGTTTTCGCCCGAGAATTCTGGCTTCCAATGTCCTAGAGTTGTAATGCAACAGCTTTTCAGGGCAGTGTGCACCATGTTGGCTCTGTTTGAAGCTCGCGGCGAAGAAGTAGTTGGTGTGCTCGTGGATGTGTCGTCGAGTCGTTGGTGTTGATGGCTCGGACAGGTTACTGAAGAAGTTGTTGAAGAGAAAGAAACCCCAAGTGACGGAGAGGAGCGAAGTGGAGCTTCGAATGCGTGAGCAAGAAGCTTCGCGCTTGCATGTGAGCGGTGACTCGTTCCATCGCAAGTGAGGGAGGCAGATTTTCACATGCTAGCGGTCGGGAGCGTGAGAGCGTGCACATGATCAAGAGAAACTACGGAACAGATTGGTGTCGTTGATTTGAACGCACAGCTAGAGATCAATAGCTTTCGCGGCCTTGACAAAGGCTTGGATTCCATCAATGTTCTGCTCACCATCCTGCTCGACACCGCTGCTTACATCCACGCCAGCCAGTTGCGCCTTGGCATTGCCAAGAGCTTCAACAGCCTGCTTGACATTCTCAGGGTTCAGCCCGCCAGCAAGAAGCACTCGCAGACCTTCATCAGCTTCTAGTAGCTGTTTCACACGGTCCATGTGCAACTGCTTTCCAGCACCAGCGCCAGGGTCTAGTAATGGCATAGAGTGAAGTCCCCTAGAAGCAAGACCTGCATCATCCGGCTTGAAAGACTTCACGACAGGAACTGGAATAAGAGAGGCCCATTCTAGGGGCTCTGAGCCGTGAAGTTGGACAATGTCCAGATTGAGCAGCTTTTGCTGCTCGAGAATGTAGTCGAGCGACTGGTTCAGAAACACGCCAACAAGTAAAGCTCGATTTGGGTGTTGGATGTGATGAGAGGCAGTGTGCGCGAAGAAGCTGGAAGCTTTGCCAACAGCTTCCAGAGAGGTATCCGTCACTCGAGGGGACGTTTTCTCGGTGCCGTGGACAATTTCTGAGATCTTCAAGGCTGTGGCGGTGGGTACGCATCGCTTGAAACCTGTGGCTAGAATAATGCCAATGAGGTCGGCGCCTGCATCGATCGCAGCCTTCGCCGCTTCGGCACTTCGTGTGCCACAGATCTTGACCAGCGGCTTGCGCTGGCTATTCGCCTTGACCGCCTGCTCGTCGCCACCTAGAAGCTCAGAAATGAACTTGGCGGTGTCATGGGCACGCATGAGTGCCTCTCCTACGAGTACTGCGCCGACTCCGTTCTGCTGATAAGGCACAACATCCTTGGGGCCAGCAATGCCACTCAGCGCGCAGAGTATTGTCTCCTTTGGTACAGTCGCCATTAAACGAGTCGTGGTCTCCATATCCACGTCAAAAGTCGTCAAGTTCCTATTGTTGACACCGATTACTTTGGAGCCAAGATTGACGGCGATCTCCATCTCCTCCATGGTGTTGACTTCGACAAGGGGTTCCATTCCGAGCGATTGCGAATACTTGTACAACCGTGTCAATGTCTCGGTATCAAGCATCTTCACAATCAACAAGATTGTGTCGGCGCCAGCAAGACGAGCCTCTAGGATCTGATACTCGTCGAACACAAACTCCTTCCTCAAAAGCGCGGGTCGATTTGGCATGCCTTCTAATGCTTGTCGTACACTGCGAAGATCCTCGATGCTGCCTTTGAACCACTCTGGCTCTGTGAGCACTGAGATCACGCTTGCACCTGCCAACGCGTACGTTCTTGCTTGAGCTGGAGCGCATGCGGAAAGAGATATGATGCCTTTCGAAGGAGAGGCACGCTTGATTTCGGCCATTAGCGACAATTTGTACGGCGATTGCCTGAGACGCTCGGGGAATGAAATCAAGGGAGGGGAAAGGTTCAAGTCATAAGCAGCTTGCAAGTCCTCCGACCGTAGTGAAGGAACTTGCTTCTGCGCAGCTACCTTCACCTTGCGATCGGCATAGATGCGTTCAAGAATGGAAGGTTTCTTGCCTCCTGTGGAGGGTGCGCCATTCGGCGCCAGAGCCTTGGGCTGTCTTTGCAAGCGCTCATTCTCTGTCCAGGTGCCACCCTGCATGCGCAGGAAGTTTTTCAGCATGACCCTTCCTTCGGCTGTTAAAATGCTTTCTGGGTGGAATTGGACTCCTTCGACGAGGAGTTCCTTGTGCCGTACACCCATTATGACGCCTTTGGCTCCATCTGGTCCAGCAGCTATCCAGGACGACACCTCAAGACAATCCGGCAAAGTTGGATGAGTACCAGCAAGCGAGTGATATCGGGTCACGGGCAGATCTTGTGAAAGGCCAGCGTACACACCCTTGCCATCGTGCCGCAGTGGAGATGTCTTTCCATGCAAGATCTCTCCAGTCTGTTCAACAGTGCCTCCAAACGCCGAATAGATGCACTGCTCGCCCATGCACACTCCAAGTACGGGAATTTTGCCACTAAAGTGTTTGATGGCGTCTTTGCTGATTCCGGAGTCGGTGATAGGGTGACCGGGCCCCGGACTAATCACGAGCTGAGTTGGCTTCGCTGCGATCAGGTCGTCGAGATTGATTTGATCGTTGCGAAAGACGGTAACGGTGGCCCCTTCGAGAACCAGATACTGGTAGACATTCCATGTGAAAGAGTCGTAGTTGTCGATCAAGACGACGTTGGAGGCTGTCGGTATCGGCGCAGCGGGCACGGGATGCTGCGGTGAATGATCGATTAGATCAATGCTTCCCATGATGATAGATTTGCCCGCGCTGAGATCGGGTCTGGTCTCGGGATGAGGTCTCTGTTCCTTCAAGTCGGCTGAATAATTGGAAGCTTGATTGTGCTCTCCTCCGTCGAGAGGGGTGATATCAATGGCTCGGTATGTATGTGTTCGGGCGGATGAATCGGAGGCATTTGACCAGGATGAAGTTTGCTCATTCGGGTCTCGCATCCGAAGCCCTAACTGCGCACCCTGATCGAGCAGGGCGGGAGCGTCCGTCCCGTTTGCGGCATTCGCGACCACGACGCGCACCTCCTGCTCTTCAACGCGTGCCTCAGCACTGGCCACTCCACCACTCCCGACCACCGACCGCGGCTCTCTCTGTCGACCTAGTTCAGGTAGTCAAACGGCGACGACGGCGGTCATCTGTTGCTCGTGTTACTGAGAGCCTTTCACAGCAACATTCCCCCGCACAGCTGGCAGTCATGTCACGCAACGAAAGCAACAAGATCTACAGCGCGGTGCGCATGTCAAGATACCCTTCGTGCGCAGAACAATCTACTGACAGGCTTCATCTCCAGACCTACAGCAATGTGCCTGTCTACGAGCTCGTCGTCGCCGGCAATCAGGTCATGCGACGCCGCTCCGACGACTGGATCAATGCAACCCACATCCTCAAAGTCGCCGACTACGACAAACCAGCGAGAACACGGTGAGGAAGCCTCTGGCATCGCCCATTCCGAGCATGTACTGACCGGCAGTAGCATCCTAGAAAGAGAGGTGCAAAAGGGCGTGCATGAAAAAGTACAAGGCGGATACGGCAAATACCAAGGTCGGTTTAATCTCGAGCTGAAGAGCTACCGGGTGGACAATAGCTTACGTTATGATAGGAACTTGGATTCCTCTCGTGGACGGCAGAGAGCTTGCAGCCAAGAACAACGTCCTCGACAAATTGAGACTAATCTTCGACTTCGTGCCCGGCGACAGAAGTCCACCGCCAGCACCCAAGCATGCGACGGCTTCATCAAAGCCTCGACAACCACGAGCTCCTGCGAAGAGACAAGCAGTCTACCCGCCACCTCATGCGCAGGATTACGATGCATTGGACACGAGCACGCAGGATGTCGATGGTCCGGATGATGGATTAACAGTAGCTTCTGGGTCTCCCTATGACGATTACGACGAGTCCCAGTACCTTGGAGCTCGCAAGCGGAGACGAATTGAAGATCAAATGTCTCAGGCCGACAAAGAACACCAGTTGTGGGCAGAGGAGCTCCTGGATTACTTCGTACTTCAAGATGAGCCGGAAGACTCGAGAGCGGATGCTCCTCCACCGCCGGCTAACGTAGACGTAAATCGTCCCATTGATGACAAGGGATACACAGCGCTCCACTGGGCATCGGCCATGGGCGATCTCGAACTTGTCAAAGACCTCGTACGTAGAGGTGCCAGCATCGACGTGCAAGCACGGAGCGGGGAGACGCCTCTGATGCGCGCTGTCTACTTCACCAACAACTACGACAAGAAGAGCATGGATCGCCTTGCAGGACTCCTGATGCGAACCGTGAACATGCAAGAATGGTCCGGCAGCACCGTCTTCCATTACATCGCTAATTCAACGGAACGCAAAAGCAGATATCAGATCGCGCGGTACTACATGGACTGCATATTGAACAAGATGGGCGAGGTGATTTCTCAAGACGCCATCATGCGCATACTGGACACCGTCGATCAAAATGGAGACACCGCCATCACCATCGCTGCTCGAAATGGGGCTAGGAAATGCGTGCGCAGCCTCATAGGAAGAGGTGCATCCGTTGACATACCAAATGTACATGGGGAGACTGCCGACCAGCTGATCGTGCAGCTCAATCACCGACGCCAGGAGCGACATAACAGTAACCGCCAGCTCTCGTCTTCTCCGTTTGGTGGCGAGCAGGCCACGGGCAGTATGGCAGCTGGTGGACCGGTTCAGTCTGTCAATGGAGTAAATGGAAGCTTCTCCATGGATCCTCTCTCGCAATCATCCTTGAATGGGAATACTCAAGCGGACGGCGCCACCGAAGTTTACAAATCTGAATCTGCTCTCGCGCTCACTTCTTCGATTATGCCGGTCTTGTTCCACAAGGCCAAGCAGCTCGCCATCAGCATTGACGCCGAGGTCGCAGAAAAAGAGGCTGAGCTGGCCGAGGCCGAACGTCTAGCTGCCATGCGTCGCCACGAGATAGAAATCCTGAGACGACAAGCTGAAGAGATTCGCGCGAAGGAGGAGGAACAGGTCGCGGGTGCGGAAGGTGACGACGAGCTCATTGCCGAACTCAGTGAACTCATGGAAGAGTGTGAAGGACTCACGCAGGAAGAGCAAGACGCCGCACTGAGAGAGCTGATCGAGCAGGAGGAGCAAGCACAGCGAGACTCACCGCCGGCCGATTTAATGGTGGACGACGAAGACGAGTCCGACACTTATAAGCTGGCGCTAGTTCGTGAGCTTCACGAGCTGCTCGAGAAGCGCAAGAATCTGTTCAAGACCATTGTTCAGAATCTGTCTGTGGCAGGTCTCGGCGACAAGCAGGGGGAGTACAAGCGACTTATTACTGGCGCACTCGGAGTGCGAGAGGAGGACGTGGAGGGTATGCTGCCGGACATCGTGTCGGAGTTGGAAGACTGGCAGCTGGAGAACGTCAATGTCGCATAGCAATCGCTTCGACGTGACTCTACTGCTCACAGCCAGAGGAAGTCGACCATTGAGTGGCTCTTCTCTAGTATCGCCAGCGGACGACCAGGCGGACGTGGAGGACCCAACACTACGAACGCCAAGATAGGCAAGGTCAAGTCTTCGTCGAAGAGAACAGGCTAGTCTGGCGCTCCCGCAACGTCTGCGGTACAGCCTGGGTTTGGTGTATGTTACCATAGCATGTGTGACTCTGTCAAGAGCAGCTGAGAGGGGAAATCTGTGCGAACACCCGTTGGACGATGCTAGGCGATGCTGTTAGACTGCATGGGTCTGGAAGCATTACTTCTTCGATACCATATTCTATTAAGGTAGCAGCGAAATCTACGCTGCGTGCTATCAACCTTCCCACGTGATGAGAGCTTGGCGGCTACAACTTCTTCTATGGCTCCACAGAATCAGAACTTCACCATCCCCTCCATGTTCCTCAGGCAGCGAGCAATGCGTACGCCATTGGTTATTGATAGCGTCAGCACGCTTGAGTCTGCCACGGGTTCCAGCACTACGTTCTATGAGTGGACATGCGGCTGAGTTGCGACGGGCTGTGCTCTCACCTTCCTCTCAGCGCGCAGGCTGAAAAGCCAGACAGCTTTGGTCTCGCTTCACGCTGACGATGATAAGAGAAGAGAAGCGAAGCGAAGCAGCCAGACAGGCGTATAGCGTCGATAACAGACCAGAACGCCTGCCGACCGGGACATACAAGATCTGCATGCCGCGCGACAGCACGTGAGAATGTCCGGTCCTCCCATCGGTGCTGTCTGACGTCCTGTTACCTCCCCCCCCCCCTTCCCACCACACCACGCAGGGCGAAGCACCTCACCTGGCCATGTGTGTCCTCTCAGGCTTACCGAAAGGCCTCGCAGCTTCCGGTCGTGCGTGTGCGGTGGAACCGTTGTGTTGGGCGACCGCTGGCGCATTCTTCCACTTCCAACGAGGCCAGCAATACCCATGTTCGAGGCAGGGTTGATGGCGGAGTCCAGCTTTCATTCTCATGGTACAATGCGCTCAAATGGGCTAAGAAGTAGGTAGGCCAGGAAACCAGACTTCTTTTTCCTTCACTTTGCATCTCACCACTGGCTAGCTATCAAGCACGCTCGCTTTGCGACTTCCTGCGACCTTTGGTGATTACGGATGCATGCGCGATCCAGGCGAAGAAAGAGCTGGGCCGCGCGAATGGCATAAAATTGCGCAACGCACTTTCTGTGCCTTCCTGTGTTTGCTGTGGGAAGTTAGCCGGTCGCATGGAACGAACATCCTGGACGGCAACAAACCACATCGAATATCAATCGGTCTTCGCATCCGCCACAACGCCTCCAGGCGCCATTCCTAGTCCAGCATGGTCGACTTGTCGACATATCCCAGCACCGCTTTCGCCATGCCCTCAATCACCATGCTACCGAGTCTTTCCAGTTTGTCCTCCGAACTGCCTGCAGCTTCTAGTGCCCTTGCAACCATCCCAGGCTTCAATGACTCGCAGAATGTTAACATGGTGGGCACTTTAGAGTACAATTCATACGCGTATCGTGATATGAGCGAATCCGAACGCGGCTGTTATCGAAAAGGTGCTTTGCCCGTCGCCCTAGCCTCCAACGATACATGTTCGCCGGGATTCCATTGTGAGTACGACCTGAGCGCGGAGAGGGTCCCAAAAGGTTGGAATCTGACAAAAATGTCATGCCGAAGGTCCCAATTCGAATGATACGCATCCGCCGCAATTCTGCCATCCTTCCGAGCTTTGCCAGGTCCAGCGCGCAAATAAGGCAACGTGCGACCCTCAAGGAGTATTGGAGCCAAAGATTTGTGCTAATGGCCACTTTTGTCCCCTCGGTGGGAAGCGGGAGACCCTCTGTCCGAAGGGCACCTTCTGTCCGAGCGGAAGTGTACAGCCATTCAATTGCTCATATGGGGCGATATGTCCGGCAGGGAGCGTACGGCAGATTGTGATTATTCCATTGTTCGTCACAGTGGCCATCGACGTGGCGTTGATGCTGATGGTCGGCGTTGGATTCGGTATCAGTAAATGGAGAAAAAGCCGGCCCAAAACATACACCACCTTGGCAAGGACGGATGATAAGGCAGATCAGATCGAGCTGCTGCAGTCTTGCAGCCCTACTGAAAGGACACAGTCTCCAAGTATCTCTGTGTCGGGTCCCAATGCTCCGGTACCTGGTTTTGCGAGGCCAGCTTCAATACACTCGCGAAGAGCTAGTGGCAGAGTCGATCATTACGATGGATACGCAGACGACGATAGCATTTCTGGGTATGACGACGATATGGAAGATGATTTATCGAACAGTCCAGACATGCAGCGCTTCATCCGATCGATGACAAGAACCGTGGAGACCTCTTCAATCGGGCTCAGCTTCGACTTCGAGAACCTGTCCTTCGAGACCAAAGGCGGGAGAAAGATTCTCCAGGGAGTGACGGGTACAATGCCAAGAGGCAGCTGTTGGGGAGTGATAGGAGGCTCCGGTGCTGGCAAATCGACGTTTTTGAATGTCTTGATGGGAAAAGCGCATACCACGAACGGCTCGATCAAGGTCAACGGACACTCCAAGGATATGAGCAAGTACAAGAAACTCATAGGATATGTGCCACAGGACGACATTGTCTTCCCGGAGCTCACGGTGAGAGAGAATATTCTCCATTCGGCACGCATACGACTTCCGACTTCGTGGAGAGACCGGGCGATCCAGGACCACGTGGACGCACTGATCGCCTGCTTACAACTCACGCACGTGCGGCACTCGCGTGTCGGCGACGCTGCGAAACCTGTAGTCTCAGGCGGCCAGCGGAAGCGGGTGAACATTGGAATGGAGCTGGCTGCGGCACCCATGGCCATCTTCTTGGACGAGCCGACCAGCGGTCTTGACGCAACGAGTGCAGCCAGCATCATGCGCCTGCTCAGGGCCATCAGCAGATTGGGAGTGACATGCATCTCCATCATCCACCAGCCAAGAGAGCAGATCTTCTACGGCTTCGATTCGCTGCTCCTGCTCGCTCAGGGGCGATCGCTTTACTCGGGACCCACAGACGAAGTGCAATCCTATTTCGAGAGTCTCGGCTTTGCGTTCCCACAACGGGCCAACCCAGCAGACACCCTCATGGACATCATCACTGGCGACGGAGCTCAATATGCGGTTGCCGCCGGAAAGCACGAAACGGACGTCTCTACTCTGATCGAGGAATGGCAGTCCAAAGGACAATTCCAGGTGCATGATCGCCATCTTTCTCTTGACGCTTCTGGCGCCGCAGTGACACGGAACCGCCGCATCAGCGACCAAAGTATGACGAACTCGACTGCCGAGCAGGAAGAGTCCCTTCGCCGCACCATGAAGGCTCGTGGTGCCTCGTGGCCAGCGCAGGTCTACTACTGCTGGAAGCGAGCCATGACGCAGCAAGTCCGCAATTCAACCTCGTTCTTCTTCGAAGTGGGCGTCGGCGGGCTAGCGGGTGTCATCATCGGGCTCTCTGCATTTGCGGCGAACGGGCACCTTTTCCAGGGGATCTATCATCCTCCATTCACCCTCCTCAGCAGTGCGGTCGACTACCAAAGTACGCCACAGCTGGGTCTCCTGGGCGGGATGGCGATCGGGCTTGCAGCGTCGGCGCCCGGCTTCTGGGTGTTTGGCGAGGAGAAGCTGATTTATTGGCGCGAGACGGCCTCGGGACATTCGAGGAGCGCGTACTATGTTGGGAAGCTGCTGTCGACACTGCTCCGGATCGGCTTGAGCAGTCTCCATTTCACGGTCTTCTTGGGGGTCTTGGCAACGCCGCTGATCAGTTTCCCAGCGATGTACGCGGCGAATCTGGCGTATTTCTGGTGCATTTATGGCCTCTCGAGTGTCGTGAGCGTGTTTGTCAAGAGAGAGAACGGACCGCTGCTTGCGGTGCTGGCGTCGCTGGTCATTGGAGTCTTGGGAGGGGTGGCGCCGCCTTTGAGCAAGGTGAAGACTTGGCATATGGAGTGAGATGCCTGCTTTTGGATCTGGTCTGTTTCTGTATTCTGTGGTGTGCTGACTTGGGATCTCGTAGATGGTTCTGGCGTCTCTCGCCTGGTGTTTGGTACACCGAAGCATACTGGAGCGAAAACCTGCGGCCGCTGGATTATCTGTACGAATTGGACCTTGCTTCGAAGACGATTGGATTCACCCTGGGACAGTACGGATTGGATATCGGGTGCGTGATGCTCGTGACCATCCGGGTTTGCCAGAGTTAACGTAGACGACAGCATGTTGTTCGCCATCGGCTTCGCATATCGCATCATTGCGTATGTCGGCTTGATCTTGGTCCATCGCGACAAGCAGCGGTGAGATTTGATATGTTATCGCAATGGCATCTTTGCCACCAACTTGCACTGCACAACGCTCGGCGCATGACTCTGAAGCATTTGTTGACGTTGATGTGATAGTGTCACCGGGCGAGCTCCCAGGACCAGTCGACTCCGAAGACCGTCGAATGCGCACAAGTTCGAGGCAGCGCCAGCCGAGGCAGAGAGGAACAAGGCGTGGGAGAAGGCATGGGAGAAGTGCGAAGTGGCGGTTGGAAAGCTGGATTCGGATGCCCTCGTGGCCATGATGGCTTGGATGAAGAAGCCTGCTTAGTGATGATGGGAAGACGAGCCGCCCTACGAAGGTCCTATCTAGAGATAACATTGGAAATCCTTATCATTGCATTGCGATCGCGGTGAAGTTCCCATTGTTTCATGTACCAGCATTGATGATCGAGAGTTCCAGTCGTGACAGGACAGACGTGGGAGAGATGTATGAGATGAGACCGGCGATGCGACGGGGACTAGGCCGGTTTCGTGCCGTACCGCGCGGTCGCGTGTCTCGGGAACGGGATGGGCCTGAGCAGATGAATGGCCGGAGATGGATGTTAGCGCGACCCTTGTAAGCGCCAGCAGGCATGGGCCACACCCAGCTCCGAGCTCCCTGATACTCCGCTCCCGTCGCTGACACTCCTCTACCTTACTCTTCCACTCAACTCTCTCTGCACACGGCTCTCTCCTGTACAGAGACGCCATTTCACGACGCTCTCCATGTTCCCCTACTGAGAAGCCCGAACTGCTTCTCTCTTCTTCTTGTCGCTCATTTGCACTGTATGGCCATCCAAGGACAGGCCTAGCCATTCACTCACTCACCACTCTTGCTATTCTCCAAGCACAACAACACATACACGCTCCCTCTTCTGCTTCGCATTTGCTTTGAACTTTCGACCTCTTCGCGCCGGACGCGACTCTCGCCGTGATCTCTACCGAGCACCATTCTACATACAACTTTCCCGGAACGAAACCGATACTTACCGGCCGATTCTTCCTTCCTCGATCATCTATTCCACCCACCATGTTCCGCTTCCACAGTAGGAGCCGGTCTTTGATTCCGGTCAAAGACCTTGAAAAGACGGAGAGAATCCTGATCTCGGAGAAGAATGCGCATATCGGACAGGAATCGGGAGAGGAAGAGGAGGATGTGGAACCCCAAACCGCCGCTCAACGACGGAACCTCACCATGATTTACCTCCTCTTCCTCGCCGAGGCCATCATGTCTTCTTCTCTCTCCTCCCAGATCAACATCCTGCTGCCCTCCACCTCTGCATGCCTCTCCATGAACACCTCGTTCTTGCGCAGCATCCTGCAATGCGCATACTACTTTGGCTCCGCTTGCGGTATCATGTGGGGACTCGTAGCAGACCGACTAGGTCGGAAAAAGGTCGCGCTGGTGGGATTGTTTGGCATGTCTACATGCTGCATATCCATGGGCTTTGCAACCAGCTTTACGGCCTTTTGCTTGTTACGATGCCTGGCTGGTGCCATTGGCGCCGCTGTGACGGTCTCTGCGCTGGCCATGTTGGCCGATTCCACGCATGGAAGTGGCAGCAGAAGGATTAAGACGGTTGCGAGACTTCCTGTCATTGCTGTATGCGGTCAGCTGGGTCCACTTTTGGCGAACTGGATTCGCAAGTCTGCGCAGGAGAACTTTGAGGGCATCTTTGTGAGATTCCCGGGATTGGGTGGGCAGATTGCCTGTGGCGCTCTGGTGCTCTCGATCACTCTTGCGCAAGTGTTGCTCCTGGACGAGGTGAGATTGATATGGCCTGTGAGCTGAACGGAAACAATACTGATACAGCTTCAGACACTCCCCGGCAGTACAGAGGAGACGGTCGAGGAGGAGTATGTCGACTGCGAGAAGGCCGCATTCCTAGGCCAACGCCAATCCACCGACTCCAACGATTCTCTGGCCATCAGCATAATCGATGCCTTGAACGATGACTCTGCCACCCCGCGACCATCCAAAATCAGCATTGGACAGATGCTGACCGCGCCCTCAGTCCTTCTCTTGCTGGCATCCTATTCAGTGCTGTCACTGCACTCCTCTACCTTCGAGGTCATCCTACCACACATCGCGCACACCGATACCAACAACGGCGGAATGGGCCTGCCGTGCTCCTGGTTGCAGCCGGTCATGCTCGTCGTCAAGATCATTGCCGCGTTGCGCGTCATGCACTTCGTTCCTTTCCTTGTGAGCAAGATCGGTCTTCTGCCTATGTATAGGCGGTAAGTTATACCCTGAGATGCGCTTCAAATTCTGAACACCTCACTGACTCTGCCCTCAGCATCTCGACTGTCTTCCCCGCTCTCTATGTTGTCATTCCTGCAGTGGCCCTGACCGTCAATGCTACGGGTGCCTCGGCCCTCCTTTCCGCTCTCGTCAGCACGCTGGCGACTCTGGCCAAGACTACGCTCGCAGGCGCAGCTCAAGTCTTGGTCCTGCTCCTCGTCCTCTCCGCCGCACCGGATGCTTCTTCTACTGGGACTCTGATCGGAGTCGTTTCCATTTCCGAACTTTTCAAGGCCTTGGCTGTTGGCCTCACCGGAATCAGCTATTTCCTTTCCGACGACTATTCGATGCTCGTCGTCAATGGTTCTCTCTGGGCCGCCCTCGCCTTCATCGCCATCGTTGGTGCCTTCATCACCAGGACCTTGAGGGAAACCCCGAGACTTGGCGCAGATTTGCCTGCTTCGTGCTTCGTTTGGCAGGGTATGTTTGATGCGGAGAGCGACGAAGAGGTTGGATTCTAGCAGCGTCTTGGCTTTCTAGTTTGCTTGATGATGTCTCTTTTTGCAATCCTTCTGACTTTGGAGTTGTTGTAACGTTGCCCACTTCTCCTTCATGACAATCCTTGATGAACTCTGGTGGAGCTGGACAGTGAAAAGTTGCGTCAATGTATGGTATCGCAGCTCTGTATCTTTCTTTTACAATTTATCCCTTACAACTTTGGTTCTCCACCGTCGTCACTGATTTCGTCTAGAATCGTTACAAATCGATGGCGCCATTTCTCTACCAGCTCTGGGTCAAGCGTCGTGCCATCCACGCTGGGACAGGCGGACAAACCGCGATTCGATCCCAAGATGCCCAACAAGAACTCGCCCTCTCTGGCTCGAACACCTGACTTGAGATCTCGAAAGTCCGCCGCGAAATCCCTCTGCGGATCGTCCAGGTCGTAGATGCCCGACCGGAGGAGATGCTCCCGATTGCCCACGGAACTCACCCCGTGCGTCTGCATGGTCGGATTCCTCTTCGGGGGATAGGCTCCTTGGGCATCCAGGTGGGTTTGGAGGTGGGGTGGGAGGATGGAAGCAGCGCGTTCGAGGCTGAGGAGGTACTGATTCGGCAGCACCAGGTCGGCGCCGCGGGAATGGAGGCATTGGCGCGTCGCATCGTGGCCCTCGGGCTTCTGGCGTTTCTGGTAGGTGGCTAGTTGGCGTTGCGCCTGGCGGGCCAGGAGGCGGATGCGGCCGTGCAGGGGGAGCGAGGCGGGGAGGAAGGGGAGGGCGATGCCGTCGGAGAAGGCCAGCATCATGGAGTCCGGATCGCTGTGGTGGTTGAAGAAGGCGCGCGGGTTGAGCGGGAAGCCGGAGATGAAGGCTTTGCGTTCTGCCGCCGCCCGTGGGTGCAGCTCTTCTTCGAATTCCATCATCACGACGGCGGCGAGGGCGTAGATGCCCGCTCCGACGCTGGCTTTGGCTTGTCTGCAGAGGTTCTGCAGGCGACGCATGCCCGCCAGGGGCAGGTCGACGTAGACGGGGTATGTGTTTAGCACCGGCAGCCTGCTGTATTCCAGGACGGGATGGTACTTGGGCGGTAGCCGCTCGACTCTCGCCGGCCTGGGACGCTTGAGGGGATTCTCGAAGCCCGTAGGAAGTTGCTTCCGGACATGGCGAAGGATTCGAGTGATGGCCCAGAACCACCTCTGCCGGGCCACGCTTCCAGGTATCTGGGGATAGAGTGCTTCCTGCGGCAGTGGCAGGTGCCGCTGCATGTGATGCGGATCAATGCAATCCGCGATGCCTTGGCGCAGGACTGCCTCAGATTCGTTCAACGCTTGGACAAAGTCTCGCATCCAGACCCATGCTTTTCCAGCGTATCAGTGAAAAACGTACGTAGACCATCCCCCATCGCTTGGGAGTGAAAGTTTTGGAGGAACCCACCACTAAGCCCATCCGCAATCTGATGCGCAAGCACGAGCTGGAACCGCAAGATATTCTTCCCGTCAATGTCAACGGGCAGAACAAAGCACTTCGCCAGCGCCGCGTCGGGGTCGATGACCCGCGCGGTGTTCTGACAATGCATCCAGAACTCCCCCTCATCCACTCGCGGGCCGAAATGATCCTCGAGGAAAATGAGAAAGTCGCCCGCAGACTCGATCGCTCTGCCCACACTCTCCGTGACATCCACCAGGAACCATACATCATCCCTTTTTTCGTCGTCGTCGTCACCGTCGTCACGCTGCTTCCCAAAAAAAGTGCGAGCTCTCAAAAGCGAATGCCAACATCGGACTCGCGTCCACGCCAGCAGAATCCTCTCCCTCAAGTCCACCGGGCTCAGTTTGGAGTGGATCGCGACTTCGAGGAGACAGTTCAGGTCGGCCCGGCCCTCGAAATATCTCCCATCGCCGTCGAAGCCGAATTCGGTGCAGCCGAGAGGTCGGCAGAAGGCGTCGGTGCCCGTCCCCGCCGCTGGGTCGCGTCGCCATCGGTAATGGTGAGAGTCTCCGTACCGTCGCAGCCAATGTGAAGGCTGTCGGATGGGATCCATGGGGTACGTATGTACATGTGTTGTTTTATATAGTAGCAAGCACCGCCTGTCTGGTTGTGAAAGAAGATGTAATGTCGTTGTTGGCTCTCGGCTTCATCGGGCCGAAGTGTGAAGGTGGGGATCGGGACATCATGAACACATGACTCCCCTCCCCATCTCGTGCCACCAACAACGACCAGACATCCGACAAGAAGTCAAGTCAAGTCCGTTGCAGCAAAAGTCATTCTGAAATAAGAGTACTGTTTTTCGTTCGTTAAAAAGATTGTATCTGCCCTTGATTGCGACAAAAAGGGACAAACACAGACCGCGGCAAATCTATAAAGCCAACGCGATGGGTATCTCAAGACAAAACACATCTGGCGCCCATTAAATGCAGCATCCTGTTAGATTCGCCGCCGTTTTCTCGGAAGACATTTCCAAAAAAGCAAAATCTCGTGGTCCATGTCAAGGAGACTCGTCTTCTTCTGGCGACCGTCCGCCACTGCTCACATAGGACCGGTCCACAGCCCAGATCCATTCACCACGTTCTTTGTCGTTTCTGCACGCAAACAACCACGCCTTGCTGGAGTACACCGCCCACACCTCCATTCTCACATTCGGTCTTTGGAGTAGGTTTGCGACTTTGGGCTCCGCGTCAATGCGAGAGTTTGTCAGGTTGATGGCATTGACTTCATCTCCTTCCTTGCTGTACAGGTGCAGGTACGGTCGCCTCAGCTCGACGTAAGTCCGTATCCAATGGGTACCAGCAGCGTCGGGACATAACAGCCAGCCGGCCTTTAAGAGGGTTGGTGACTTCGGGTTCCATTCAACTGCCGCCGCTAGGGGAGCCGGCTCGTCGTCACCGTTGGCCTGCCTGTTGGCGAACGCAGCGCCTTGCTCAGGCGAGTCGGTATTGGAGCGCAGTAGCATGATCTCGCTGGCGGACGGTCCCGTGTGCCATAGGTCAAGTATCTTCTGGGCCAGCTGTGTTTGCTTGTCTGAGAGACCTTCACCATTTGGCCGCTGTGCTCTCACAGGCGGAGACAGCGCGCCGAAACCCAGGACGCCTCTTGCCGCTTCAATCTCGGCCACTCGCGTCTGTCGCTTGCGCAGATTCATGAAGTCCCGGATTAATGAAACACTCCGGGGGGCCCAGCTTGAGAGCGCTTCTTCGCCCGAGATGTATTCGCCTGTCGTGTCCATGCGCCATAGATCACCTACTCGTTTGGCTGCGCTCGGCTTGAGAACAACAGCGTAGTTGCACGCAGTAGAATGTACTACTCGTTGATTGTAGAAGAGCTGGCCAAGTATGGAATTCTGGCGGAACCAAGTGCGAGGTCGTGTTTGGACGAACACATCGAAACTGAATTTCATCGGCGAGGCCACCCGGGGCGAATGCACCTGCCATCTGAGGGTAAGCTGGACACGATACTTGTCCAGGGTCGGCCGATCCAGCAACAGAGAACTATGTGCGCTTGAATCCCAATTAGCTGTCAGTTTAACACTGACGGTACCATCAGAATTGTTGCGGATGACGGGCGGGGACACGAGGCTCAAGGGAACGTAAGGCTGGTTGCTGTCAGCATCAGACACCTTTCCGGTGCTGTCGATCAAGCGCACGAAACCAGCATGTAATCTGTCCACGTCTTTCCACGGAAGGCTTCCTCCGGCACTGTGGGTCAAGCTCAGTACCACGCGTCTTTGCAGGCCCTGGTGTAACTGGTACGCCCCTTGGTCCAGAGTGTCATTTTGGACAACCTCTACGGGTTGGTATTTTCCCTCCTCATCGATTTCTAGTACTTGCACCCGGGCAAATACATCGTGCCTCTCGTCCGTGTAGTATTCGTGTTCGGGAATACGCGAACGCTGGCGCTTATTTCGCGGCCGTACATTGGCAGATTTAGACGCATCGCGCATATCATCCCAGCTGAGCAGCTTGTCAAGGTGCATAGACGTCACCTGTGCGAAAATACTGACCCGGAGCGTAGCCTCTCGCGGAGCGGACAGTGGCAAACTCATGCTGTGCACGCTCTCGAAGCGCACGGCGCCCTCGCCGAAGCCACTTAGCAACGAGGTGGTGGTAGCGCCGCCCTCTTCAGACACTCCAGGGATGAAGAGCTGAGCGTGTACGTTTGTACCTTCTCTCTCAGCAAAACCAACGAGGTCGTGCATGACGACATTGAACTTGAGAGTGCTACTCGGAGCCTCTGCCGAGCTCGGCTCCAGGGAGAGATGTACCACACCGATGATGCTGCAGGTATAAGGAGAGTAGACGTCCAATGTGAAATCTTGAACCCGGCACTCAAACACAGCTGCTAGGGGAATGTCGGCGTCACCCACGCGGGTGTACTCTGGCATACACTCCTCCTCGAAAGGGTTGCCGATGTTGAAGTGCTGCATGTACTCAGGACGATCCAAGTATTGTAGCATCTGTCGCATGGCCTTGACGCGTTTGTGGAGTTTCTCGATGGACCAAAGATGGATGACGTTGCATGCGAAGTCCACGACTCTCACGCCAATGCACGGCTTGAGGCATTCTTCCAAGTCCGGGTCGTTGATCTCTTCGGCAGAGACGCCATTCAATACCAGATCATAGGACGACGCAAGAGTGTGGCCAACGTCGACAACGGTGAATTGAAAAACGACACTGCGCTCCATCTGTTGGCTCATTACCTGCGCCTCCTTTAGGGTTGAAGCATTCTTCAAGACTGCGGCAGCCATGGCAACATAGCGATGACGTCTCCAGTGGTCAAAGACATACGTGGCGAGGTAGGCTTCGCGTTCAGTGAGCCCTAGTTTGCCGTGGCTTTTTCTCCTCGGTTTGGAAGGGCCTCTCAATACCGCTAGTTGACGGTGGAATTCAGCCTTTTGCTCGGTAAGTTGCTTCTGCAGCTGCTCCTTCATTTCCTGGAGATCGGCTTCCATCTTCACCTTTTCAGAACGTAGTTCTTCGATCTCGACGTTCCCTTCTTCGGCAGCTTGCAGCTTCTGTTGATACTCCTCCTTTTGCTTCTCGAGTTGCTCTTGCTTCTCTTCCCGCGCCTGTTTCATTCTTTCGTCCTCCTCAGATTGCCGAGGAGTCGATGGTATTGTCAAAGCAGTGTCAAGGCTGAAATTGTCCAATGTACCATTGCTGAGGTATTTGTCCCGAGTAGGATGTGAGATCACAGATTCTGTATCAGTGTCGGCCCCGTTCATATCGAAAATCCTGCTCTCTGGCCTAGTTTTGCGCACAGCGCGGACCCTCTGCAGGTCCTCGAAGAGAACCTCCAGCTGGTCGTCTGTCAGATCTGACATCTTCTGGTCCGGTCCAAGCGCCGATGAGATGGCTTCTCGCCGAGCAAAAGCCCAGTCATTATCGCGGCCGGAAGTCCTCCACGGAGCTGGCGATTCCCTGCTTGGGCTGCCCACATCGTCATCAACTTCAGATAGAGCCCTGCTGACGCTGCTAGAAGTGCGCTCGTGACTCAGGTGTCGGGAAGGTGAATCGAGCTGATCCGCTGTGACCGAGTATTTGAGCAAACTGCCTTGCTCTGCACGCTCCTCGCGGGCTTCCTGGGGATGGTTGAACCGAAAGATGTGAAAGTCGCCCAAGATGACGCGATAGCCAGGCCGTAGGCGTTTGGGAGCTTCAATTCTTATGCCATTAACCATGATAGCAGCGCCGTCTTTAGGTACTACAGTCACCGCCCCGTCCACGTTTTCGAATGTGCAGTGGTCATGTAAAATCTTTGATCCATTGAGCCGGATGTCGACCGCTGTCTGGCCATTGGGTTCCTCGCCTTCGTTGGCGGCGTTCGTCTCAACGTTTCCCACGGTTGTTGTTCCAGGCTTCAAGTTGTACACAAGGCATTCAGCGAGCAGCGGGTCGTCGCTTAGATTGACCAAGTGAGGCATCTTCTTGGGGGTAGTTAGCCCAACGTTGCCCTTTTCGATGCTGATACCAAGTTCCTCGAGAGCGGCTTCGCGTTCCTTGTGGATTTGCTCAGTCATCGTCAGCTTCTCCTCCCAAGTCTGATTGAGGTCCTTGTAGAGCTTCTCGGACTGTGATAGCTGATCTTGAATTTCCGCTTTAGACACCTTTTTCACGGTTCCATCAGCTTGCGTGAAGCTTACAATCTGTTTCTCCAAAGGCGTGTCTGCACTATATTGCTCTTCTGCGACGGTACCACCCGAGGACAGTTTGGATCGCAGCTGCGACAATTCTTCTTTGAGCTCGCGAATCATGCGAGCATTTGGATCTTCGTTCACAACGGCGTGGTTCTTGATGCGCTTCGCGGAGTCTGCATATCGTAGAGTAGAAAGCGTCTCTTCGAAGTTGATGTCTGCAGGCGAAATGGCTGCAATCATGGCAGTGAGACTGTTTCCGCCCAGACTGTCTTTCAACAGCCAAGTCAAGACAGAGTCTCGGTAAGGCACCTGAGCTCCTTTCGACTTCGCTTTGGCAGAAGTCATATCCGCAAGGGCTGCAATGACACGACCTAATGTGGAAAGAGAGCGATTAATCTCGGCTCCTTCTTTCAACCTGGCTCCCGTTGCACCAGTGCTGGTAGCACGTTCAGAACCAGCCAAATCGACCAGACTGATCTTGGCGACCTTCTCGGTATCCATATTGGTCTCCACATCGTGCCTCTTTTGGGTCAGAGTCAGCGTGAAAACGGCGTGAGATCGTGAGGAAGTCTCGTTCATGTTCGTAGCAGCAACGGTTCGCGCCTTGTTTCCCTCGTCCATGAGATGCTCGATCTCGCTGAAATTGCGAACGACTAGCTTGGCGAGGTCTTCGACGTACGGTCCCGTAGACGGATGCTCTCTGACCTTGAGATTGCCCTTGTTGCTGGGGTTCAGGAGGTCGCGCACGCGTTCGTTGTAGATTTCCAAGTATGAAACCTCCACTGTGGCACTGACGTTCTTGTCCTTCTCCTGCATGCCTTCTATTCGCTGGTACATGTCTCTGCAAATGCGCGGGATGACGCCTTCCTCTTCACCATATCCCATCATACTATAACTCTTTCCAGAACCCGTCTGGCCATACGCAAAGATACAGTTGTTGTACCCCTGGAACGCATTATCCAGTAACGGCTTGCCAAGATCTGAGAAGACATTCTCCTGGCCGGCAAAATGCGAGTCCTTACGATTGAAGGACCAGTAGGACTTGTCGAATGCGAACGTCTTGGAGCCTTCGAGGGCTGCCTTGACCGGCTTGCTCTTCCCGTCAGGCTGCGGAGGGGTCAAGACAGTCTGGGAATCTTGCATCGACACGATACATTTTGCATTGCGATCGGTCTCGCGCGAGTTGAAGGGCCGGACTCGTACGACGACCTTGATATTCCCCCCGCCAGCGGACGCCATGTTGGGCAGCGGATGCTCTGCGCTTCGTGCTATCGCAGCTTCATGTGCCTTTCGCGACCGCCCAAACAGGCGGCCACAGGATGCGATTCCGTCTCCAGGCTGGCGTCGATCGAGCTTCTGAGCCGGTGGGAGGTCTGCTTGTTGTGAATATGGCTTCGTTTCCGTTTCATCGCGCATGCAACGCGACGGAACTTGGAAGCGTTGGACGAGTCCCTGAGCGCGGCCGCTGCCGACGGGCCGCCGCGCGTGCACTCACGTACCCCTGTAGGCGATCGCAGGCAAATCGATCGGCCCAAATGGAGATATCTTCCGGTGTGACTACCGCACATCGATCGAATGAGTACACAAATAGTCGCAAGCAATACGACCTCGACACAACTTCATGGCAGACGGCATGTGGCGTCCGCCCATCAACCGATTGATGCGAACGCTAGATCGCTCGTTCTTCCAGAAAACGATCGAGCTCAAGGCCGCACGGGTGTTCGAGAACAAGAACATCACCAAATGCAGAGCAGCTCTAGAGAGGAGTAAAGATGCGCTCGCCCAGGATCGGCTGGGCAGCGTGCATCCTGACCCCGATGCTGAACTGGCGAAAGCAGGCAAGAAGTGTATTCTGTTGCGGCCCGAAATCAGCCCTGACAGCGCGTCTGTTGCGAAGATCAATGGCGAGGCTGCGCAAGCCACTGGGTCAGATGCATTCTGGCCGCACTCTCCAACCGTGACGGAGCTTGTGAAAGAACAGCTGATCTCAGTCGTACCCTTCCAACTGCAGCTGGATTACAATTACTGGACCTACCACGATATTATATCTTCCATTTTGCCAGAGGACGAGCAGGGTGAGATCCCATCGGGCTTCACTCAGGTTGGCCATGTCGCACACCTGAATCTGCGAGAGGAATATCTCAAGTACAAGCACTTGATTGCCGAGATCCTGATGGACAAGAACCCAACTGTGCGAACCGTTATCAACAAGGTGGACGATGTCGGCGAAGAGAGTGAGTACCGCACGTTTAGCTATGAAGTACTTGCTGGGCCCGACGACATGAACGTGACAATCTCGGAGGAGAATTGCACCTTCAGGTTCGATTACAGCAAGGTCTACTGGAATAGCAGACTCAACACCGAGCATCGTCGGTTGGTTGCCCTGTTCAAGGAGGGCGACGCTGTCTGCGATGTAATGGCAGGAATCGGTCCGTTCGCTGTGCCCGCTGGCAAGAAGAAGATCTTTGTCTGGGCGAACGACCTCAACCCGGATAGTTACTGCAGTATGCTGGACGCTATCAAGAGGAACAAAGTCTCCGATTACGTGCGACCGTTCAACGAAGATGGAAAGACGTTCATACGCAGCGCTACCGCCCATTTGGCGCAAATGGACCATCACGTTCAAATCACCAAGAAGCCGTCGAGGAAGGACCCTCAGGTACACCCAGAGACCCTGCAAACTCTTGTACAGCCCAAGACATTTCAGCACTTCGTTATGAACCTTCCTGCAACGGCCATCTCTTTCCTGCCCAGCTTCATCGGCCTCTATCCTGCATGTGTTCGCCAGCACTTGCCGTCAGATTTCGAGATGCCCTTGGTACACGTTTATTGCTTCAACACAAAGAGCGATGACAATGTCGAGGAGGGGTTCAAGATCTGTGAGGAGATTTCGAAACAGCTCGGGCATGACGTGGCGCCTGGCAGAATCGAAGACGGCCATGTTCAAATCTACGATGTAAGAGACGTTGCGCCGAAGAAGCGCATGTTCTGTGCCAGCTTCAGATTGCCCAAGGACGTGGCTTTCAAGGACGTCTAGGTTGTCGAGCTAGTTTTGGTACTGTCTCCTGGCCTGCGAGGCTCGTCGAATTATTTGCTGCAATTCCCAACCTCGCCGAATTCTGGGACCATACGCGTGTTCCGGACCCCTAGGAGCACTTACGGGCATCCAGGGCCACTAGACCGACGGTTTTTACTAAAGTCGCATCCGGAGTGCTAGTGTGGCAATATATCCAATCTCGCCGCTCAGGAATATGCTGCCTAGTCTCAGTCTACTGGCCAACAATCCGTGCTTTGAAGCCACGAGAGGTCAACAGCTCGGACACCCTTCGGGACAAGTATCAAAGGACTGTTTCACGCTACGTCGTACCTTATCCTGGAGTCCTGAAAGCAACTGTGACTCCTCTGTGGTGTGCTGGCCTGACAACGTGGGTTGCTGCCTCAGTAAGTAGCAATCCTCGCAACTCGCACTGATTCTTACTCCGACTACTACGCGAAACTCTATCTTTGTTTGCCCTCAAGTTTCCTTCTGCTTTCAGTTATAAAACTCATCAACACTACCATGGTGACTCGACGAGACATGAGCGCAGACATGGGCGCGTGCGTGCTCGCAGCGCACGGTGAGTACTGAACTCTTCATAGTTCAGACAATTTGCTCACTCGCTCAAGCCGCAAATGGTCGCGTTCAAACCGCGAAATCACACGCGTCGATGCCAAAAGACACTCCGTGCAATCCAATCTGAGAAGACCTGTCCGAGTCTGGGTACTTCTACGAGACTTTTCGACGAATCCTCGAGATGTGGAACCTCGACAAGGCCTGTCGAAACGACAGTCAATCGTATCGCCACTCGGGGCACGATATATATCGCAAATTGGGTTGCTGGCGTAATACGTACGCGTGCGCGCCACCTGCCGCTAGACTCGTTGTCCTTTTTCAAGGACAGATAGGTCTCGTACTTGGTAGCTATCGATACTCGATGACGATGGATATACTCGGTAATATCGTCGGTCGGACCCTCCGCTGGATCAGCTATGAGTCGGACGATTCGGGCATGTCCGATGTCAATTGAGTTCGAGTTGATGATTGCAGGAGAGCATGAGCGCGATGACTGCTGGACTGACTAACTGTCACTTTTCGCATGGATCGGGAATATAAAGACCAATGGCGTCCGGAGATGAGGCTTGTTCGCGACTATAACTAAGTCACTGCTTGCGGCTTGCGGTTAAGACCCGAGTATAACATGCTGGAGACGACTGGCTGTATGTATATATGTTCTCCAAATCGCGAAGCAGAACGCCAGAATTCATTCCAAGCCAGTTAGGTGCAGGGGACTTGGGGGCTGTGCATAGATGTATAGTATCAGCACTCTCCTACAGCAGAACCATGGGCTCTGTATACGCCGCATTGCCACGATCAAGTGAAGCTGGGTGTACGATGCTTCGTGCGAGGTGCCCTGACAGGACCGGCATGTGATCGGCGTTCGTGTTCAGCACTTCGTCCGCTTTCCATCGAGAGAGGAGATGTGAGCAAGAAATCTCCATCTTAAAAACGGTCAAACAGCGCGAGAGAGCAAAAGCGGTACCAGCTGAGGCTGCTACTCGGATAATAGCACCCCAAGTGGATATTCCCTCGGTATGCTATCCGTATTCGGCCTCACATTCGGAACGGTCTCGTAGGTCTTCACTTCGACCTTCTCTTTCGCCCAGTGCGGCATTCTCCGCTCCACCCAAAGCATCCGCTCCATCTGCCAGGCGATTCCCAAGAGTTTGCCTTCTGTCCAGGGCAATCCCAACATTTCCATCCCAATGGGCACTCCCTCCGTTGCCTCCTTGGTCGGATTACTATATCCCGCTGGCACAGTGACAACGGGACTGCCCGTCAAGGCGGCGAGGATGCCATTTCTGCCTCTCTGTGAGGGAGATCCCACGGGTACGACGAGGTTTCTTTGCTCGGGATAGATTAGAGCGTCCAGATCGTGTTTCTTAAACGTCTCATGCAGTGCGTGCGTCAAGTTTTGGATACCTTGTCTGACATCCTGGTAGCTTCCTTGCCTGCCCGTACTATTTGACGTGGAGGACACGAGGGCAGTGCTGACGTATTCATGCTGTGCCGGTATCACAAGGAACATGCCACTGCCATAAAGCTCGTTCAGGGTGGTTGGATGTTCTCCGCCCAGATCTTTCCGCTGTAGGTACGCATCCATCGATTCACGGTACTCAAAGCGTTGCGTGTCGAGCTTCTGTATGATTGCATCCGAGTTGTACATATTGTCTGTGATGCTTACGACCTTGGCTCCTGCGGCTCTCACATGTGAGACCATGTGTTGCATCACCTCATTCACTGGGTCATTCTCTGTTGACGGAGTGCGGTTAAGGAATCCCTCCACTAGACCAAATCTCATGCCGGTCAGAGGGTATGCTGAAAGAGAGGAGGTATAGTCGGTCCCTCGTATTCCGGCAGGGACCAGAGCGGTGGTGTTGTCCTTTTCGTCGTACCCGATACTGGACATCACCGTCAGCGCAACAGCTAGATCTCCCACACATCTCGTAATGGGCCCAACCGCATCCTGGGTGTACGAAACGGGCATGATTCCATCTCTGCTAATCAAGCCTCGAGTAGGCCTAACGCTGTAAAGTGAGTTGGCGCTCGCGGGTGAACGCAAGCTGTTGACTGTGTCTGATCCTGTTCCAAACACCGCGAAGGAAGCTGCGACTGCGGCCCCTGTCCCTCCAGAGCTCCCGCCTGGCGCCCGTGTCTTGTCATAGGGATTGAGCGTCTGTCCACCAAGAGAAGAGACAGTGAGTCCTTCCAATGCGAGTTCATGGAGATTTGTCTTGCCAAGTATCACAGCGCCAGCATCTTTGAGGACCTTGACTGCAGGGGCGTCTGTTGCAGGTCTGGAGTTGGCCAGACCAAGATTACTCCCGGTGGTTGGCATGTCCGCGGTGTCGTAGTTATCCTTCAGCAGAGTCGGGACACAAAAGAGCGGTCCGTGCGAGGAGTCATTGCCTCTTAGCTTGGTGTCGTAATCGTCCGCCATCTGCAGTGCGTGCGGATTGAGCGTGATTATGGCATTTGTGTTGTGGTTCAATTCCTCGACTCGTGATAGGAACGAGGAAACGACTTCGCGGCATGTCGTCAGGCCTGTGTAGAGTGCATGATGAGTGGACGCTATCGTTGCTTCACGCGGGTCGAAGGCCTCGGTAAGAGGCAAGACTAGAGGCAGAAGGGAGTCCATAGTTAGATGTGTCTCGTTCATTTTGTGTGTAAAGAATGATCCAGTATAGGCCAAATGGAGCCTGAAGAAGCATCCATTCAATATAGTTAATGCACGTTTGTCCGCCAAACCTCCCTAGCTTACGGCTTGGTTGCTTCGCATGGTGATAAAGCTAGCCCCGGGACCAGTTATGAAAGAGCTGGCCTCCGGTACGGTGTACCTGCGTCTGACGTACATGAGCTAACTCATTAGAGAAGGTGGGTGCATGTTTTGAAGCAGCAGAAATGACTTTAGGCCGCTGCCTATCTGCTAGACTCACTTGCGCAGCTCTCTTGGTATTTTCAAGAGAGACTTCTCAGGACGCGAAAACATCTCAGAGAAAGTGAAAGGCCCAGTCCCCTTGCGCATACACCCATGGCTAACAAACGAAAGGCGGCTTGTACCCGATTTCTGAAAGATGCGTCAGAACACGCAAGTCCAGTCGCGCCTTGATGGGCATTGAATGCACTCTTGGCATCATAGAACGTTGCTGTTGATGGCACTCCGTCGGCTTGCAGAGTGCTGCCGCCTGCTCTCACCGGCAGCTAAACGTTCATTGAGAAAGATGAGATTCTCGAATGTGCCTACTGCGGTCAAGTCGTTTCCTGCAGGAAACGACTTGATCAGGATTGAGGGCGAATTGAGGGCCTCACAGACAACCTTACGGCTCAACCTGTGCTGCCTGTCATGCCCTCTTCAATACCTTGAGCTCCTTCTAAGCTCTCGAAGCCCTTCTCATGAAGCACATCGGTATCTAGCTCTTCCATGACCTGAATGACGGTGCCGAGGGATTCGAAGAAGCCATTGACAGCTACCCGGAGCATGCGGTTGGTCGTTGCCTTGTAGTCTGTCTTCAAGATCGTCTGAGTCGCGTCAGAGCTGGTATCTATCCCGGTACTATTGGCAGAATTTGTCGTGGAAGGTGCGTGTATCGGTTCGTTGGGCGCAGCGTTGACGATAAGGGACGCCTTGAAGGTATTGCTCTGCACAGCGGTCGTGCTGTCGGGGAGCGCAGCTACTAGAGAGAATGCTCGTTGCACCAGTGGAGAAAGCTCCTGGTCGACAGATAGCGTCCGTATAGCGGCAGTAGCGAGACGACTGGTCGGGAAGGGAATGTGAATCGTACTGTGTAGTGATCAGCATCGAGACAATGACACGGGGTTGTCGTACGCACAGCGAGCAGGGAAACTCCGGATCGACTGCTTGCGCCGAGACTGTCATTGTATGCTAAGATGCACTCCGATGCGGAACTCGAGACGCGCAAGAGTAGGGCGTAGTGTTGTCCAAGTTGTACATTTGCTTGTGCCTAGAGATTTTGACAAGCGCAAGCTGTGCAAGCATGTGAAGAACCTTGAATGGTGCCCTTGCTCTCCACGTGGCTGTGTGGGGAAGAGTTCGGCCGCGGAAAGTCAATCTGGAGTCTCACATCGTGGATGTCATCAGTGGTCATTGCAGCCCACCTTCAAACAACACTGCATACGTCGTCCCGCAACAATGCTTCCCAAACATTGTCGACCACCTTGACCCAGATCATCACAACAGGTAATTCACCTGCAATCTCAGCCTCCTGATCGAGCGAATAGTCCAAGCATCATGGCGACTTCATCACCATCCGAGTTCTTGACCTTCCTCCGAGCAGCTGCGACTAGCCGAGCTCTTCAATGCAGCTCAGTCTCGAGACAATCTGCCCGATCCTTCGCTTCTTCGATTCCCCGACGGCAGGGCTCAGCATCTGATAAGAAGGACGACATCGGTGGCCCGGCTCAGAACAAGAAGCATGCAGCAGAGAAAGGCTCCGATGGCGAGCCGAACGTACAAGCTTACGAGAGCAAGAAGGGCAGAGAGTGCGTGTTGTTGTTCGATGAATGCTAGGGGTTTACGTTAGGCTGATCCATCATACAGGAATCGCGCGAGGGGCGAAGGCGGCGTAGCAACCGAACAGAGAGATCCAGGCAAGTCGGCAACTAAAAAGGCAAAAGAAGAGTTCCCAGAGGCACCCGTCACCATTGGCTTTCAGGACGAAAGGGGAGGGAAAGGACATTAAACAGGAATCTGACTAGTTTGGCATTTCTCGGTTGTGAAATGAGCGTTCGATAGCGGTGCTTTCGAGACAATGCGACTCAGACCGATATTCCAAAGCAACTTTTCTGTCTATCGAAACGCTGTCCACGGTCGTCGTCAATCGCGCAGTCGACGGGATGTACTAACCAGGATTGGTCGAAGAGACTTGTTCGGGAGCCTACTCATCTTTTCATCACCGTGAGACCAAACCATACGTTCTTGCCGATCCACTTTCTTCCTCGCTCAGGCACAAGTCCACGGTCGATCATATCGGCGGTCACAGCAACCTCGCTCACGCTCTCCTCTTGTACTTTCAATCCGACAGCTTCGGCAGCACTGACGGCCTCCTGAACACCATGCAAATGACTTCTGCCCACAACCCTCCGCCGATCTTCATCGTCAAAGCCGGCTACCGATGCCATACCCATATCTGGATGCATGTTCGATACGTATGCGACACCACCGGGTTTCAGGAGCCGGAAGATGGAGCCAAAGAAAGACGTAGCTTCAATGTGTTCCAGTACGAGGGTCGAGAACACGATGTCGAAGACGTTCTCAGAGGGGAGCCTCTCTGGTCTCGACATGTCAACTTGTCGGAAGTCCAGATCGGCATTGGATGGAGTGGCTGAGGAGCATTTCTTGCGGGCTAAGTCGAGCATTTCGGCACTTGCATCCCACGCTGCGATACGTGTACCCGATCGGGCATTTTGGAGAAGCTTCATCGTCGTCCGCCCTGTTCCGCAGCCGAGGTCAAGGATGTCAATGTTGGGATAGCTCTCCAGTCGAGCAAGAAGGACGGGAAGTGCACTTCGCGTTTGCAAATCATCGACTGCCTGGAGGAAGTTGCCGTCCGTATCATATGTGGGACTGTTTCGATCAGCGTTGCCGGCGCTCGATGCAAACGACGTGCTCGCACTCACGCCCACGGGGTATATAGCTCCTCTGTCGACACGTGCTTCACATTGCGATCCTGTTGGGGCTGAAACGGGTGGTGATTCTCCTTGAAAGAGGTCTCAGACGGGGCAGTGTCTGTCGACGAGAATGATCGTTGAACATCCACCAGCGAGGTGTCGAAAGTCTTGGTCAAGGAAGGGGTACTCATGTTGCGTGCCGCTCAGAAGACGAATGTCTGCGTCCACTGCATGCTGGAACGATCCGTCCTTGATATGTGGTTGTAGGATGAGTGGTACAACGATACCACGCTGCCTCCACATTCGAACATGACTCACAATGCTGCAGCTGTACAGGAGCTTACGCCGTTGCCGTGCCTCGACCATGGGAAACATGGCAGAAACGGGGCATAGAGTAGGCAGCAGGACCAGTGTTTGTAATTCGACGATGGCAAGCCTCCCGGCCCGACCATGCTTCCGTCAGACATTCAACTCTTTTAACCCGAATCTTTTGCAAGTGCCTTCCAGATTGAGCTAGCCCTGGACGTGGTCTTTGACAACGAGACTGACCTCTCTGTACACTTCCTCATTATTCACTATTTTTATAGTTGGTGTATATGATGAGCCGACTTTATCGTGCTTAACGTTACACCTGTAGTGCTCAAACGCGGTGTAAGAGCTTTAACTAACAAAGAAGGTTTATAGCTGGGCTATCTATATAAGGTTTTAAGGTGTTTTTATATTCCTTCTACTTAGCTGCTAAGAGCAGAGTTTTTTATACTTAGGTATAATACTACTTTAGCTAGTATAGTATAATTCCTTAGTATATAGACTAAGGATCTTATATCCTTCCCTACTTAGACTTTAGTACCTACTAAAGCCTTAGTAGAGCCTTAATTATCTATAGATTAGTAGTCTCTCTCTATATACTAATATATAGTTATCCTTATAAGCCTTAGTCTTATAAATAGGTTATAAGCCTTAGGTAGTAGTATTTACTAGTATATAGGCTTTATCTTTCCTAATTAGGAAGGATATTTGCTTCTACTTACTAGATAATAGTAAATTTTTACTATTTATAACTTACCTATATAATCTAGTAATAAGAGTATAAGACCTAGTTATTAGAAGGTAAATAAGTAAGCTTCTAGAAGCTTATATAGGTAGGGATATAAGAGCTTCTTCTCTATTTTTATCTCCTTCTTCTTATTAACTACTTCTCTACTCTATTCTCCTTCTATAATAATAAAAGCCCTCTCTAAGAGGCGGAGTATATATATATTTTCCCTTCTAAGCTTCTAAGCTCTCTCCCTTTACTTCTAATAATAATATTTATTAGTAGCTCTTATTAGAGCCTTAGCTAGTAGAGCTTATACTATATCTTCCTTTTAGGCCTATATAGCTACTATATATTATAGCCGTAAGAGTAGCCGTACTAATCTTAAGGCTAGCCTATTCTCTTTAGAAAGTAGTAGTAGAGAGCTACTAAAGTAGCTACTAAATTTTAGACCTATAGTACTAAGCTTAATAGAAAACTAGTTCTAGTAGATTATAAATACTCTATAGGATATATAGTTCTACTATACTTCTATTACTATAGATCTAGTAAAACTTCTTAAGCTAGCTTATATTATCTTTATTACTAATAACTATAGCCTTATCTAGCGCTAGTATAATATCCTTCTAAGTAGTTCTAGAAATAGCCGGCTAAATATAACTCTATTTAACTAGATTACTTCTTCTAAGGCTAACTTTAATAATAATTATAGTAATCCTAATATACGCCCTATTAATAAAGCTATAGTTACTACTATCCTAGGTAGTCTAGCTAGAATAATTACTATTAATCTATATAGTAGTACTAGCTACCTATTTATAATTCTTAGTACCCTACTTAAAGAGGCTATTATTAACTCTAGTCCTTCTAAGTAGTCTCTAGATATAGAGGAAGATAAGTAGAGCCGTTATATTTAGTACGGCCCTAAAGATTCTAGAAAGAGTAGGTTTACTCTATATCGCTAGATACTAGATAGTTAGGGTAGTTAGTTACTTAGAGGTACCTATACTATTACGGTATATAGGACCTAGGTAGATTACCCTAGTAGAGGTAGGGGTAGGGCGGTATAGCTATACACCCCGTACCTACTTAGTAGATAGCGATAGTAGATAGATACGCTATTAACATTATTATACTACTTCTTAGCGCTTACTTCTTACTACGAGTACGGGGTAACTAGCGCTTAATAATCTAGTAGCTAAGAAAAACTAACCGCCCGCTAGCTATAAGCTTACGAGTATTACACGACCTAGGAACTACGGCGTATAGCGCCCTAACCCGGTTAAACGCCCTTACCTTCCGCCGAACTATTTATACGGTATCGGATCGGAACCTCTACTACGCCGTACGTAACGATATATAGTATCGACGCCTCGACGGATACCTAGTACTTACGACTCTACGATATACTACCTAATCTCGGGCTCGTCGTAGTAAAGCAGCCTTGCCGCTACTCCTACTATCGTACGTATAGCTCTTACCGGCTCGAAGGCTTAGGAACGTAGTTACGAAGGAGTAGACACGGCGTACGACTACTAGTAGTAAGGGTAAGTACTTGTAGCTCTACGCTAGGAAGTAAGAGCTAGCGTAGGGACTATTAATAACGCCCTAATTAACCGAGAGGCCTACCTTACCCGGGCGTACGATACGCTTACCTCGTATAGTACTACTTAACTACTCTCTACTCTCCGATCCCTAACTATTCTACCTCCCTTGTCTATTACTCTTAAGCTCTATACTATTAGCTCGCTTAGCGAGTCTTACTAATTTCCTCTCGCTATACCTACTCTAGTTAGTACGGCTCCTACTTTGCTAATCTAGCCTTAATCGACCTATTTAACGTTAATCGTAGGTTCCCTAAACTACTACTAGAGGTAATCTTAGTTAGTAAATATCTTAAGGCGTACTTAGTAGACGAAGCTAGGGCGACGAGGTTCCGTAAGAAGTATAAGAAAGCCTACCTACTCGCTTACTTCGTTACTTATAAGTACTCTTACTCGATTACTCTAAAGGATTCCTCTATATTTAAGCTCTAACGCGAAAAACTCTACCTAAACGATATTCTTTTGACCGAACGCTTCCCTTAGTAGTAGGCCGTTAACCCGAGCGCCCTAATAGCTACAGTTAATAAGCTAAAGCAGTCTATATAAGGCGTTCTTACTAATAAATACTACCTTTCCCTTTATACTCGCCTAGAAGATATAGAGTAAGCGAAAGGTTACGTATAGAACGCTTACGTATAGGACGCTTACGTATAGGACGCTTACGTATAGGACGCTTACGTATAGGACGCTTACGTACAGGACGCTTACGTATAGGACGCCTATATATAGGACGCTTACTAACAAGTCGCTCGCGTATAGGACGCTTACGTATAGGCCGTTCGTATATAGGACGCCCCTACTCCGCTACCGAACGTATTACTACTACGTAGAGTATTACTAAAACTACCTTAATAGCCGGAGCTAATCGGACAATCGCTATATCTACTAGTCGAATCGCTACTACGTCTGTCTATAGCGTTACCCTCTCGACGCCTTAGCTCCTTAGCCCTTAAGTATTTAGAGTAACGACTCTTCTCTACTCGTTATACTCGCGAGGCGTCCCCCTTAGAAACTACGCTTCTCTTAGAGTATAGTACTACTCTCCGTTTATACTTAGTAAGTAGGAGCCGTTCCGACTCTCTACCCGACTCCGACCTAGTAAGGAGAGTATACGCCGAGTCGGTTTTGTCCCTCTCGCTAGTATAGTTAGTAATTATTAACTATAGGTCCGACCTATCTAGTTTACCCTTTCGAGACACTCTAGAGTTTATACTACTATAACCTACTATATACGGAAACGCGAATATACCGCTAGGCGGCACTCCCCTTACTAAGAAGGTTACTCGTAAGGATATCTAACGCGAATAAGCTTATAGGGACCGTAAGCGTATTCGGGATTAGGCTACTCTAGTAGGTGTCTAGCTTAATAAGGTAGCGCTAGACTTTATAGTAGTAGAAGTATTAGTATAAGGTACTACTATACCCCCGAGCGAGCCTTCTAGAGGCCCGCCTATAGGACTGAATTTAGTAGCTTAATACGAACGCTATTAGAGGCATAAGCGCTTAAGGTAGGCTAACCTACTAATTAATAGTACGAATAGCTAACTGTCTAACTACCTATATCCGCGACAGGGCGATAGGCTATAGGATTTAGGATACTCTAAGGACGAGTACTATAATCGTAGATAGCGTAAATAACTACGCTAACGACGCTACGAAACTTTACTCTGTCCGCCCCCTAATAACTATACGCGTAGACGACGCTACGAATCCTTACTCCGTCTATCGCCTAAGAGGCGTAAGGATCGCCGCCTATACGCTAGTCGTACTCCTTAACCCGACCGATATAACTAATATAGCTAGTATAGGCGCTATACCTACCGACGCTACGGCGATAATAGGGACCCGAATCCCTCGGATAGTAGTAGTAGCGATAAGAACGCGCGAGATCGACGCCGGGACGAGCGCTATACGCGGCGACGCTAGTAGCGACACTAGGAGTATAACGAGTCCCCGAGCGACAATTCCTCTAATAAGGGAGACTATCGCTAACGCTATTGTCGAACCTATAGACGCCGAAAGGACCGCTACAGCCGGGCCGAAAGCTTATATAGTAATAAATCCGATATTAATATCGGCCGCCGTAGTACTAAGATACACTTCGATCTAATATACCTTAGGTTCTTTAACCTCTACCTTAGGGAAGAGTACGGACAAGGCGATATCGTAATCTAAGGTAATAAGACATACTACCGTAGCGTTATTATATTTATCGATATAATCCGCGACTATATTACTATAGTACTAGCGGAGGAGGTTCGCTTAGGAATTCCGTAATACCTACGTAGCGTAGCTATAGTATAGTATACTACCTAACTCTTACGCGAAACTAAGGCGTAGTTACGCTAGAGTACCGAGGCCGAGCGCTAGTATAAAGCCCTCTATAACAAGTTTAAAATATCGGTAACTAAAGTACTAGACCTCCTAGATTAATAGCGTTTTAGACCTACCGAGGTAAGAGCCGGGAAGCTAGTAAGCGAGTTTATATACGCGGTAGTACGCTACGCCTAAGCGGCCGAGATAGGGGCGTAGGACCAACCTAGCCTTATTA